GTCGGCTAGTCCCTCTTTCAGCAGCAAAGCTTCCCCATCTGATTGGAAGACGCAGAGAGTCACCTCTTAAGAACGTTTAATTTCATGTTCCCTAAATGCTTCCCTTATCCATCAATTATGAAGGGTTGATTAAGTTGATTGATGACACGGAGAACAAGCCTAGGAACAAATACTGCGACTGCAAAGAAGAGCAACTGACAGTCTAATCCCGAGCATGTTTACCAAGAAGCTCAGCCTGAGCAACTTGATGTCAATTCCCAATTGTCCTAAATGTTCAGCAGTGCTTGATTAAGGCCATTGTCCATAATGAAGAGGACAGCCTTTGTAACTTATCCAATATCAAAATAAGCTCCAATAAACAAGAGGGAAAGACAACAGAAGCAGCCTTTGAAAGGCACAGCCCACAGAATGATTCCTGCTACTCCCCAGAGGAGGGGGAGATGAGTCGGGGTGATAAGTGACCCCTTACTGAGGGGAACAGAGGCAGCAGTGTGTGGAGGAAACACGATGTTAAGGGAGGTGTGCTGTCTTCTGGGTGCAAAGATTCACGATGTGACAGAGAAGTTGCCAAGTCTTCTAAAACCCACTGACCACTACCCCTTCTTTCTGATTCATGTGGGTTCAAATAATGCTACCACACACAGCCTGCAACACGTAAACAAACAAACAAACAAACAAACAAACAAACAAACAAACCTTCATTGTCACTACACCACCTGTGTGCAGTGAAATTAAACAAGCCCCCCTCCCCCTCTCCACATAAACATAGCAAGGGATTATGAGACACTGGGCAGGGGGCTGAAGAGACTTGGGGCGCAGGTAGTATTTTCATCACTTCTTTCTGTTGAAGGTCGAGGCTCAAGAAGAGAGAGAAAAATATTTGAGGTAAACCACTGGCTGCACAGGTGGTGTCGTTGGGAAAGGTGTAGCTTATTGGATTGTGGTCTCTGCTTCCTTGAGGTAGGACTTCTGGCGAGAGATGGGCTGCACCTCACAGCAGTTGGCAAGAATGTGTTTGCCAAGAGTCTTGAGAATCTGATCAGGAGAGCTTTAAATGAGATATTGAGGGGGAGGGAGAAAACAATACGAACGACAAAAGAGTACTCGTTAATGGTTCCCTGTCATCCTGGAAAAAACTGACAAGTGGGGTGCCGCAGGGTTCTGTTCTGGGCCTGTTGTTGTTCAACGTCTTTATAAATGACTTGGATGAAGGAATTGAGGGGGTGCTCATCAAATTTGCAGATGACACCAAACTGGGAGGGGTAGCTAATGCCACAGAAGACAGAATCAGATTTCAGAATGATCTTAACAGATTGGATAACTGGGCACAAGCTAACAAAATGAATTTCAGTAGGGACAAATGTAAAGTTCTGCACTTAGGCAGGAAGAACCAGATGCACAAATATAGGATGAGGGACACCTGGCTTACTAGAAGTACATGTGGGTCTTGGTGGACCACAAGCTTAACATGAGTCAACAGTGTGATTCAGCAGCAAAAAAGCTAATGCTATTCTAGGCTGCATCAACAACTGTATAGTGTCCAGTTCAAGGGAAGTGATAGTACCACTCTAATCTGCCTTAGTTAGACCTCACTTGGAATACAGTTCTGGGCACCATAATTTAAGATGGATGTTGACAAGCTGAAACATGTGCAGAGGAGGGCAACCAAGATGATCAAGGGTCTGGAAACTAAGCCTTATTAGGAGTGCTTGAAGGAGCTGGGTATGTTTAACCTGGAAAAGAGGAGATATGATAGTCATCTTCAAATATCTTAAGGGCTGTCACATGGAGGAGGGAGCATGCTTGTTCTCTCCTGCTCTGGAGAGTAGGACTCAAACCAATGGCTTCAAGTTGCAAGAAATAAGATTCTGACTAAACTTTCGGGAAAACTTTCAGACGTTAATAACTATTCAGCTGTGGAACAGACTCCCACGAGAGGTGGTGGACTCTCCTTCCTTGGAGTATTTTAAGCAGAGGTTGGATGGCCATCCGTCATCTGTCAGCTTTAGCTGAGATTCCTGAATTGCAGGGGGTTGGACTAGATGACCTTGGGGTCCCTTCCAACTCTAAGATTCTATTATTCTGTTTCTTCCCAAGCAGATCAGGAGGAGGGGAAGGTCTGGTCTTTCTGTGCCACACAAGGACAGCGAAAGGGATTTAACCTAGTGTGATGATCTGGGGTGAGGGGCGGGGGATGCTGCGAAGCAGAGGATGTACTCAGATATTGAACATGTTCATCCCCATTGCACAAGCCCAACCTGTGCAATCCCTGGCCTGCGTGTGTTTTACAAGCCTAAATGTGTGGAGCCAAAGGCCCTGCCTCTTTTCTGTTCTATGTTTCATTTTGTTTTACATCAGCACCACTTGCTTAGGGAACCGAAAAGGGATGGGAGAAGCTGCACATTCTCTAGTGAGGCTTTTTGTTGTGTTTGCATAAGAGCTGTGCAAAGGTTGTGAGGAAGGCAGAGGCTTATTACACTGACGAATTCTAGTAAATCCCCACCTTCACACCATAAGGGCACAGACGTAGCAGCAAAGAACAGAAGCACATTGTAGACAAAAGCCAGTTGTTTCTTCTCTCCAGGGAAATCTAAAAATGTAAAAATAGTTCAGATGGATTGTGCAGGGGTTCATCTAGCGTTCTGTTTCTAGGCATGGCCAATCAGATGCTTCCTGGGAGTCCATGAGCAGGGCAAGGCAGCGACAGTCCTTCTCCATTGTTTGCATCCTCCCAGAAGCTGGGATTTTGAGGATGCTGCCACTGGAACAAGGAAGGGCCATTTAGCTATCCTGGTTGTTGGCCACAAATAGACTTACCTCCCAAGATTTTTTTTAAATAATCTTGTTTTAAAGCTAGTGGTTATCACCATGCCCTGTGGCAGTGAATTCCATAGTGATGCGTAGTTAGAAGAAATTTGCCTTTTTAGCCTTTCTGAACCTGTTATCAATCAATTTAAATCAGGGGTCAGCAACCTTTTTCAGCCATGGGCCAGTCCACCGTCTCTCAGACCTTGTGGTGGGCTGGACTATATTTTTTTTTTTTGGGGGGGGGAATATGAACGAATTCCTATGCCCCACAAATAACCCAGAGGTGCATTTTAAATAGAAGGACACATTCTACTCATGTAAAAACATGCTGATTCCTGGACCGTCCACGAGCCGGATGTAGAAGGCGATTGGGCTGCATCCATCCCCCAGGCCTTTGGTTGCCTACCCCTGATTTACATGGATGGTGACCGCAGTTTTCGGTGGTTCTCGCTTCTGCCTAGAGTATTAGTAGCACACGGTGCATCATGTAAGCTCAGTGTTTTAGGATAGTCCTTTGCCAGATGCACATATCCATTCGGAACAGGTGTTCACACAATGGAGGAACTCGCTCCTCTGCTACAGAAAATGAATGATAGGTGCTAATTAACTAGGTGTAATAGCTCTACGGAGCTCCATTGTTGAAAAAATACTTTACAATTAAACTGTAATCTTCCATCTTCAAACAAAGGAGGACAAATTATTCAGAATCGAGCCAGGCACTGGAAATATCAGGAGCCGGAGAATTCCTGCCAATCTACATATTGTAACAAGGTAGTGAACATAATTTGCATTGAAATAACATGAGCATGGTGGGTGCCAACCTGCTGCAGGAGGACATGTTGCTCATGTTTTGTGACATGTGAGGAAAGATCAGTGCACGCTAATGACCTTGGAGAAAAGTAACACAGAGATGCTAAGGCTGCCATGTTACTTAGGGATACTCATGCTTTTCTGTGCTTATAATATGAGGCAGTGCAGAGTGCTGGCCCTTGCGGCAACCACTCCCAGCTCCCATCAGGTTGTTCAGAGTTCTGACTGGCTGGACCATGTATCAGTAACAAAGCCATTATTGGCCTCACAGATCAGCTTTTTCAAAAAAAAAATAATAATCTACAAGCACATATGAAGGGGTAGTGCTGTGTGTGTGTGTGTGTGTGTGTGTGTGTGTGTGTAAGATAAAATTCTAGACTGGATTTTCAGCCAGTGAAGCAAATGCAACAACTTATAGTGAAGCAATGATGGGGAGAAGCAGAATTCAAACCATAGGAGAAAAATCTGCTCCTGGAGGGGGATATGTTTGCATACAGCCTTAATTATGTGCTGAATGAAAAGTGCTTCCTTTTCACCTGATCCTGATCCTAAAAGCAATGCCTTCAGGTATGGGAATGCTCCCCCAAACAGTATCCTACAGACTAAGATGGCAACAGCTTTTAGATTTCCCTCCTTATTTATTTAATTAAAGTCTTTTTTACTCCACTCGTCTTCAGGCCATATATCTTCGGGTGAAATACTAAGCGTGTCACGTTAGAAGTTTAGTTGCGAGTTGGATTCACTTCAAGGCAGCGGGGAAGAAAGAACCGCTTCTTGAAGATAGCTGTGCCACAACGAGATAGAGAAGTTTGTAGGGCTGGTCCCAGACGATTTCCCCAAGACAGTGCCTCCTGTGGCACATACGGAAGTCAGCCTGACTGACAGCTGAACCTTACTTCAACTCTGGCAACAGGGCAGCATTCTGTTGGGTAGCAAGCTAGCTTAGGAAACCTGAGGCACACACAGAGCTCTACCTTCCAACAAAAGGGGAATAGTCTGGGGGATCTGAAGATGAACATCTGCTCTTCTATCCAATTTCTTCTAGCTAATGTTTTGGCTGGCCCTGGAAGCTGAAGTGCAGTGAGCTTTCTGCTTTCTGCTGTGTCTCCTAATATCTGGAAAGGAACCTTTTGCATTTCCTCTGGGACTGAAGTGCACGGCTTTCCTCTCCACCAGGACTCCATGCATCACGCTGCTGCTGCGCCCCGTCTGACATTCCACTGCAGAAACCTTGTCACCCGCAAACAGAGATGTCAAAGGAATGCATATGTGCACCACCTCAGGTTTCAAGTTGTCGCTTTGGCACTAATTTTGGACACCTAAACTATTAGTTTGTTCCACAAAATTATACTTCTGATGGATGCAGTTACACCCTCAAAACATGCGTTTTATATTTGTTTTTATTATTATTTTAAAAATGTGCTTAATAACAGCCCTTCATATCCATATTTAGGTAGAAAATTGCACAGTTCTTCAGAAGCTGAAAGGCTTTGGCAAAAGGGTGGGTGTTCCATTAAGACATCTCAGCAAGCATTCCAGCAAACAAAGAGTTATAAGGTACAAAGTGATCTAGGGCTTAAATGCAGTAGTCAGATCATAGCTTGGACTGAGGTCCTTCATCCTTCAGTCTGAGGTGAGCCTCTCGCTTCAAAAGGGGGGAATAAAAAGTAATGCAGAGCAAAGGTCTCCGTTAGAGCACTATATGGGGATACCATACCCTCCAACATTGCTCAGATGAAAATAAGATCATTTATCACTCCCACCCCAACCGACCCTCCTTGAGCCCCCATTTTTTCCTCTCCCTGCTCCTGCAGAGCATTTTCTATCAGAAGAATGGTGAGTGCCACCACCACTAGACCACTGGAAGATGTCACACATGCATTCCACCATCCTGAGAAAACTCGTCAATTCCAATTTTAGTTTATTTTATTCTTTGGCAGATTTACGAAAAGAAAGATGACTTCTCCAGGTACCTTCTAACCATATGAATCCATGATTGTAAAAGGAGACTGAAGTTAAGAAAAGCTTAGGCATTTCCAAATAAATAGGCTGTTGGCATTTAGACACAACCTCAAGATGTACTTGCCCCAAATGCCTTTCCAATGCCACATGAGCCTTACCTAATGACACAATGGCAGCTGGTGATCGTTGCTGTTGCCAATGATGCAGCTTCTACTAATTCTAATGCAAACATGGCTCCAAAGACAAGAACACCCATTTCAGGAGTTTGTGGACTGCACTGTCAGTGTACCTTACTCGAAAGCAGCCTCTAGGGTTGACTTGGACTAAGGATAGAAATTATCTCCCAAGTCAGATGAGTGTAACAGGTTGACAGTGCTGCAGGAAATACCAATCTGTTAACAGGTGCCGGTTTTACTGGCTTGTAAGTACAGCTGTCTTATTATCCCTCTGGACAACTTCGGGAGAGATCTAGCTGACATTGTTGAGGTCACAACCAAAGGACAGTAGGAACATGCAAGCTCAGAATAAGGACCTTTCCCCCTATTACTGATACAGTTTTTATTTAGATTCTGAACTAAGGGGGGATAGTAGAATGCGAACAGCCTACCAACAATGAGGTAAACTTGTTTTGGTGTCAGAAAAAACCCTCCGCTGATTTACGGTATTTATCTTTGGGTACACCCAATGCTTTTTGAGTGCACTTCTCTTTATTAATGGTATTTTACTTCTGCTATTCTGTTTTAGATTGGAAACAGCCCAAGAAATGCAACTCATGGCTTATGAAAGAAAGCAGCAAAGCTGGAACAACCTTTGATAAAAAGCAATATGCTCAAAACATGCTGGGTAAATTTCAAAACGCACATCAGCTTTCTATAGCACCTGTGGATATTTTCCTCCTTCTTCCACCTTCCCCAATTGGGGCATCTTTCTTGTTTTTGGACTGCTCACTTCTTCCGCAGTGAAACCTCATGGCAATTCCCGAAGGATTTGTTTTGGGGATCATAGCTGCTGAAAATATATAGCTCTTTGTGGTCAGCTTTCTCAGTTCCTACTGCAGATCTCAGCTGAGCTGCATAATTCTTATACTCCTCTCCTTTGGCATTGCCTTGAAATCTCCTATGAACAAAGAAAAAACAAGAGAACAATAAAAACAAAGGGGAAAATTAGAGGGTGGTGTGTGGACCAGTCCCTGAATGTAATTGCAGAAGAGGAAAAAGAATAATTCAAGCAGAGTTTTTAAGTAGATTTGTTAGATTTGCAAGTGCCTTTCTGTAATGTGCCCCAGAAGCAGATCTCAAGGCAAAGCAGGTGGCAGATTTCCAGTGCCATTAGAGGTGTCCAAGCAGGAAATAAGACAGATCTGGCCCATGGGATACAATGCACTGGGATGTTCTCATGCACAAGCCCTACTGAAAGGAAGGAGAGTTGCATAAGAGCATCATTGTGCTCCTGTTCATTTCTAAGTTGCGTCCTCGGCAGAAAGTTGAGCAGAATGGTACTGGGTTCCCTTCAACATAGATAGCACCTTAAATATGTTCACAATGGCTCAATCAGAAGAGCATCTAAAATGGTTACTGTGTGTGAAGAAAGGAAACAAAAAAGACTGTTCAACCACATCCGTTAACCCACTCCCTCTCCCCCTTTTTTTACATTTTTGTTTTCATGGGACTTTGGTAAAAGAGGATCAAATCCTATTTGCCCAGGTGTCATTCATGGTTAGAATCAATATGTGTCTTTAGTGGCAATTTCCAGAGATGTCAGTCAAGCGAACCTCATCTACCATAATAGCATAAAGAGTGGTTGTGGTTAAGGCAACTGCCACAAAGGGAAATTTGCTCCCAAAGCCCAACATGACATTTTGTGCCAGACATTTAGAATGAACAACGGAAGCCTCCTCTTCATATTCCCCTCGCTGCGCCTGGAGAATTAGAGTGGATTCCCAGTCCCCTTGTGTTGACAAAGAGAGGCTTACTTTTTCTGAAATGTGGTCCTTGACAGCCGACTTCATCGCAGGAATTGCAATAAAGTTTTGCTTTCCCTTGACACCAGAGTGACACCCAAAGGCCATTTGGGCTGAATGATCTGCTGTATCGTCCCCCCCCCACACACCCCACACCCCCGGGAAGTGAGTGTGCATAAACAAGCTCCCCAACCAAAAGTGGCAGGCCAAATTCATTCAAGATCTTTCAGCTTGGTTCAAAGGAACTGACACATCAGAAATGACAGGCTATCAATTCTCGATACATCTGTTTGGGCTACTAATGGATTTAGCACTCTAGACATTGATGGACAGCTGCTGTATAACATCTTACTGGCTCAGAGCCGTAGCTCAACTAAAAGAGTTTCTAGGCCTCAGCCTTGGGTATTTGAAAGTCAGGGTTCTTGCAGAATGGGGGACACCTCCCCCGGGGATGTATGAGCAACTTTAAAGGAAGACAGAAACTAACCACAAAGCCTAGTGTTTGGGTACACATTTTGACCGGGACAACTAGCAAACTACAGGCCCATCCTGCTCTCATTCTCCCTAGTGTTGCTAACAGAAATAGCATTCTGAGCATGATGATCAAAAGCTGGGCACCAGAGTCACTCTAACAGGGCATTCCTAAATATTTAGGAATAATGTATACTGCCACTGTATATTGGAAGACCGTTCGAGTTCTGAAATGTTTGAGTTCCAAGGCTCGGTTTCCGGTTGGTTGCAAGAGCTTCTTGCACTCAAGTGGAAGCCGTGTTGGACGTTCGAGTTCTGAAGAATGTTGGAAAACCGGAACACTTACTTCCAGGTTTTCGTCGTTTGGGAACTGAAATGTTCGGCAACAGAGCCGTTCAAGTTCCAAGGTTTGACTGTACTGTAACTGCTAGGCATTGGGTGTGTGGTCAATATCACAGCATGTTGAGAGGGGACATGTAAACTCTCATGGCCAATGGTTAGGGATGATGGGAGTTGTGGCACAACAAGACCTGGAGGGAACCAGGTTGGCTTTAGAGTTACACAACCGGCTTAAGAAACCTACATGAAGAAAACAGCCATTTTCCCTCTCTGTTCAATCCAGATGCTCTTATCAGCGGGTGAAGGAGGACTGGCCTGGAACTGGCTTGGAATCTGTAGCGAGACTTTCACCTTCAGCTGCAGTGACCCATCATCCGCAGGCAATGCAGTGATACACACTCGGTCTACCACACCCATCTTAGCCCCTGCAAAAGAAATGCAGATCAAAGATTCCACTTTTCTGAGACACTCACAAAATGACAAATATGAACAAATACATGTTCATGTTGTCTTTCCCCCCAAGGATTAGATAATGAACAATTAAGCAGCTGAATTAAGGGGGATGTGAAGAAAGTATGTAAAGCTTTTCACCTTGGTCATTGCTTCCTTCCAAGTATTTATACAGTTTTGCCACGGCTTCAAGACAGGCCGCATCAAAAGTTTCTCCGGTGTGCTCGATGGTAGCAAACTTTCCTCCTTTGTATTCTTTTTCCTCATAGTTCGGCTTTTCCCCCTCATGGGAACACAAAAGTTAGATAATAAATTCCTTGACAGGCGCAACCCATGCATGCCTTCACAAGGCAAAGTTGATTCCTGCAGCACCACTAGGCAGCCCTGCTATTCAAAGACTATCTATCCCTTCAAGGAATAGAACAGATGCTGAAAGTATGGCTGTAGCATTCAAAGTGTAGACTTCATTTAACTAGAACAACATTGCGCACTTTGTACTTTAGCCTGTATTTAGTATCATTTAGTGAGGAGAAAGCACATATCTTAAGCTCATTCATGGGGGTGGGGGGAATGCTCATCCAATTGGCAGATGACACCAAACTGAGAGGGGTAGTTAGTGCCACAGAAGACAGTATATATCAGTATTCAACATGACCCTATCCTAACAGATTGATGAACTGGGCCCAAACTAACAAAATGAATTTCAGTAGGGACCTAGGCAGGAAGAACCAGATGCACAAATACAAGATGGGGGACACCTGCTTGCCATGAGTACTTGTGAAAAGAATCTAGTGGTCTTAGTAGACCACAAGCTCAACAGTATGATTCAGCAGCAAAAAAGCAATGCTATTCTAGGCTGTATCAACAGAAGTATAGTGTCCAGTTCAAGGGAAGTGATAGTAACACTCTATCCTGCCTTAGTCAGACCACACTTGGAATACTGTGTCCAGTTCTGGGCACCACAATTTAAGATGGATGTTGACAAGCTGAAACATGTCCAGAGGATGGCAACCAAGATGATCAAGGGTCTGGAAACTAAGCCTTGAAGCACTTGAAGGAGTTGGGTATGTTTAGTCTGGAAAAGAGGAGATATGATAGCCATCTTCAAATAAGTATACAGTATATGGAAATTTAACTGGTGAGCCAATTGCAGCATTGGAGAGGCAGAGAAAAGGGAGATGAAATTTTCATTGGGACCATGAAGTGGATACAAAGGATTAAACCCCTTTTGGCAGCTGTCTTGTTGGGGGGGAAAGTACACAATTTCTCTTTTGGCACCCAGAACTTCCCTACTCAAAAAAAAAAAGTAGGGAGGATCCAATTGCCAAAGCAAAAGAAATGCATGGGAGAAGGAGGAAGAAGAAGAAGAAGAAGAAGAAGAAGAAGAAGAAGAAGAAGAAGAAGAAGAAGAAGAGGAGTTTGGATTTGATATCCTGCCTTTCACTCCCCTTCAGGAGTCTCAAAGCGGCTAACATTCTCCTTTCCCTTCCTCCCCCACAACAAACACTCTGTGAGGTGAGTGGGGCTGAGAGACTTCAGAGAAGTGTGACTGGCCCAAGGTCACCCAGCAGCTGCATGTGGAGGAGCGGAGACGCGAACCCGGTTCCCCAGATCACGAGACTACCGCTCTTAACCACTACACCACACTGGCTCTCAAGGGAACTTAAAATCCCCCTCAAGGCTGAGCCAAGACATTTTACTATCTGAGGCATCTTTTCCCTGTTCCAGTTATACAAGTTGACTGGACTGGCAATGAAGGCAGCAGGCCGGATTAGGGGCCCCAGGAGAGGCTGTGTGCCACAAAAAAGGAAGCAGGAGGAACAATCAGGAGCTACTGGCCCCTAGCATCTGCCGCCTGAGGCAATTACCTCATGCTGCCCAATGGTAGGGCTGGTCGTGTCTCCTTTCCATGCTTGACCTGCCCACAGCCCCTCTCCCCAAGTACTTTTCTCTTAGGCAGGTTCAGTTGGGTATTCTAACTACATCTGAGGGGAAACTGCATGGGCAGAGAAGTTATGCAGAGATCAGCTGCGCACAGACCTTGGTTCGAGGAAGGTTCTGCAGTGCAAATCCACACACCCCTTTTGTTTTTACAAATGCACCTCCCATTTTCACATGACTGGGGCAGTGCCATGTTTACACACACAGAACAACTTCAAACCTGTCTAGCGTGGCTTTATGCCTCACTCTGATCTACTGCACAGGGCATTGCAAAGCTAAACCAGCAGCCTAAATTCTTTGCACGAAGGATGGGATGCAAACGGTAACAAATAAGTGGCAGATAAGAACATGCAAATTAACGCAGAACAGAGTGCTGGGAGAAAACACTGCCAGCTGTGAAACAGCAGGTGACTGGCATTCTTTCCTTCAGGGAAGGAAGAGTTATGACCTTGGGTAGCCATAACGCAGCTTGATCTAATACCACATGCCACAGAGCACCAGCACTGGGATGTTCACACTCTTCAGACTGCAATTAGTTTCATACAGGGAAGACAAAATGCACATTATAAAACAAACCATTTCATTTCTACTGAATGGCTGTGGCCACAAGGCCACCCCAGGGAGCTATAAGGGATTTAAGATATGCATTTTGCCATAAGTACGCCGTGTAAAATGCTACACACAAATAGCAAGATTTCTCCACAGATAATTGTGAATAATTCCCTCCCCCCCCACCTAAGTGTCACACAACTCCACTCCCTTAACAGCATTTCCTAGGGTAGAGAAATGATATACTGTGAGGTGTATTTCCACCTTGTTTTTTTTTTTTTTTTAAGTGAGGGCTTTCTGCTTTACCCATCTGCATGACACACAAAATTTGACAGGTGCTGTCTGTCCAGCCCTACATTTCTGTGCTGAAAAAACAAGCACTGTTTATATTTCCATTAAAAAGGGGGGCCTGACAGCAGCCATGATATCAAAGGTCCTTGCTACTGGCTGCATAGGGGCAGGGGGCTCTTGGGATGAGCGAATCAGCAAAAAGATGCAAAACTTTCAGGGATGTCTCAGTGAAAAAAGGCACACAAAGACTTTAGACTCTCTCTGGAAGATGGGCATGTTGGTATCTTTTGGAAGGGGGGATTTATCCTTTCCGAGAAGAGAAGGCCTCAAGATGGGTTGCTAATTCAAATCTCTGTGGCACATGATTAAAGAGGGGCACCTCCTGTAAGGGCTGCTGGCATAATAAGAACAGAGGAGCCTGCTGGCCCATCTAGTCCAGCATCGTCTTCTCACAGTGTCAACCAGATGCCTGCGAGCAGGATCTGAGTGCAACAGCAATTCCCTTCTCCTATGTTTTCCAGCAACTGGTATTCAGAAGCATTACTGCCTGAAACAGTGGAGGCGGAACTGTCTGATCCTTTTTTCTTTTCTTTTTTTTTGAAGCCACCTACGTTGGCTGACACTGCTACATGTTGTGGGAACAAAAATCCACAGAAACTTTGTCTCTGTGTGATGAAGTCATTTCTTCCATCTGTTGGTAGAGCATGAGACTCTTAATCTCAGGGTTGTGAGTTCGAGCCCCACGTTGGGGAAAAGATTCCTTCATGATTGCAGGGGGTTGGACTAGATTACCCTTGTGATCCCTTCCTACAATTCTATGATTCCGTGAACTTCAGCTTCATTGGGTAGTCCCGAGTTCTAGTATTATGAGATGTCTCCCTATCCACTTCCTAATCGTAGAACTGTAGAATTGGAAGGGACCCCAAGAGTCATCCATTCCACCTCCCTGCAACTGAAGGAATCTCAGCTAATCTGAGGGTCTTCGTGGTGTTTTTGTATGTCGACCCCCGCCTGTCATCCTGGAATGGTCTCCCATCCAGATCCTGACCAGACCCGGTCCTGCTTAGCTTTCCAACAATGTGGCTGCGTTAGGTGCCAAGTTCACAGACCGGGACATGTTTCCACAGGCCCTTGTGTGGCGCGCGCCTCCAATCGCAAGGCGCTTCGTGCGGCGGCATTCCTAGAAGCAAAGAAATAAATGGACCAAAAGTTCATTGGCAAGCGAAGCGAAGCCACCACGTGAGAGTGACGTGGGTCCAAAGAAGCCGTCTAGCTGCTAGCAGCAGCGAGTGGCAGACCTTCTGCAAAGCCAAGCAGCGCTCGACAAGCCTCAGATCGGGGGGGGGGCAGCAGCTCCACTCCGTCCCCCCTCTCCGGAGGGCGAGGCGAGCGACCCCCAGCGCCGCCTCCTCCCCGAGACCGGGCATCTCCCTCCTACCTGCCTCGACCAGGTGCGATATCCAAACATGCTGTGCTTTTGGTCGGGTCAACGCCGCGCAGCAGGCTGTCCGCTCGGTCGGGGCTCTAGTATTTATGCCGTGAGAGCAGCAGCCCTTTTCCTGCCCGGTTGCTCAAGAACGGAAAGCGGGCGGGAGAGGCACAGCAGCGGGGGGCGCCTCCTTTGCCCAAGGACCGGGCGCAGCTGCCCTTGGAGAGAGAGGCTGGGGTGTGGAGTGGGGGTTGCGCAGGGCGGGCGAGAAACGAAGGCCGCCAAGCTTTCTTTGTCCATTGCTGGGCTCCTGTGCCATTACTATTAGCAGCAGCTTGGCAGGCAGAAATAAAGCGGGTAAAGCTTCTCCTGGCACAACAGTAGGGGTGACAGGGTAGGACGAGGACGCCCCGGAGATCAAGGTTCAAATCCCCGCTCAGACATGTATCCCAACCTCGGCCTGGCCATAGTCTCTGAGCCAACCTGGCAGGGTTATTGTGAAGATCAAATCAGGAGGAGCCAACTCGGAGGAAAACTGAGCTGTAAATGTAATAACTATAATTAATATTATTATTTATTACAATTAATAAAAAAAAACCCTAAAGCGATGGTGGAAAGGAGCTCCGATTTCAGTGTTCCATACTGCCGTCGGGAGACACAGGAGTAGGATCCAATCCAAAAGCTGACAGGTAGGGGTGACCTGATGGCTTTGATCTCCTTCCCCTGTCAGAGACAGTATGCTGGGAGTTGCAGGAGGGGAGAGTGCTGCTGCCTGCTAGGTCTAGCTTGTGGGCTTCCCACAGGTATCTGGTTGGCTGGGGATTCTGGACTAGATGGGCCTGATCCAGCAGACTCTTCTTATGCTCTTAGAGTGGTTTCAGAGGTTACAAAGAAATTACACAGAAAGCCTGAGTAAGAATTAGCATGGAACCAAGTTTAGCGTGCAACCACGTTGGCATGAGGTGGTGGTAACAGCACGCCTGAATGCATATCACTGCCTGTGTGTACATTGATAAAAGGTGGTACAGGGCCCCTGTGCCCAGATCTTTTGTACTAGGCATGCCCCAAATTTCCTGCCCCTTTCCCTTTTAAAAACTTGTTTTTGTTTTTTTTAAAAAACCTTTAATATGAGACCCCAGCCACATGCCATCTTTCTTTTTTTATATGATATTTATTAAAGTTTCAAATAAAAGATTACATAAATAAAAAGAGAAAAAGAAAAAAAGAAAGAAAGAAAAAAGAAAAAAAATACAAAATACAGAAAAAAGATTAAAAAAAACACTTAAAAAACACATCAATCTTTCCGTGCCTTACATTTCATTTCCTTGCTTCCCTGACCTCCTCACACCTCCCTTTTTTGTATTCCAGTTCTATTAATTAATTCAGCAATTCCTTTCCCTCTTTGTTTTTGTCTTAATCCTTTAACTTAATATATTATAACTTTAGATTTTCACCTGTTAACAATCCGTTTTTACATACACCTTAATAACATTGCTGCTAAAACCACTTAACTTCATTCTGACATCATTCTAACATTCATTAATTTTGCAGTATTTCTGTAAATAGTCTTTAAATTTCTTCCAATCTTCTTCCACCGACTCTTCTCCCTGATCTCGGATTCTGCCAGTCATTTCCGCACATGCCATCTTTCTTTGCCCAGAGACAACTGTACATATTAATTTATATATGCAAAGATCATACAAATTTGTTCCATGGGCCTCTGCTGCAAGTACACTTCTGGGGACTGTGTCACACATTGTGACAAATGCATGGTGAGGACCAATGGCCAGTTCTGGCTCCTTCATTCATGAATGTTTCTTGTGGCAGGTGTGGGATGTAATATAAGCCGTCAAACACAACACTTCCCATTTGCTCAGGGGGATTTCCCATTTGTGGACACAGGGGGATGTTACTCCAACCAGGAGGATTTCCGGTCACACCTGGTCTGGAGCATCCTCCTCTTGCGTGTGACCAGGTAGATGGGCATGACCCTGTGAGACCCCATAAAAGGGCTGGTCACGCAGCCATCTTCCTCTTGATGCCATGCTCTCTTGACTCTTGACTCTCTTGACGCCATTTTTTCTCTTGATGTTGTTTTGCTGTCTGCTGGCTCCTAGCCAGCAGCACATGAGCTCAATCCCCATATGGGATGAACTCAAACTCTCTTCTGTAACTTCCAGCTAAAGCCTGCCTTCAGGGAACCTACTGTGAACTGAATGTGAGTAAACGTCTTATTACTTTTAAGAGAAGACTGTTGTGTCATTATTCTTTTTAAGAGGGATTAAAGGGGAATTTACCAGGAACAAACCCAATCTGGAGAAGTCAGATTGGATTGCTTAAGTAGAGAGATTCAAACGAATCTACCAATTAGCTTCCTGCAATATACTGGGGAATGTACTCTGCTACTGACTCACTAGTGTGAGTGAGAAAGGATAATATTTCAACAATATATCCTCTCCTACTATCTACAACATTCCCACGAATATATGCAAATACCATGCAAATTTGTGCCATGGGCCTCTGCTGCAAGCACACTGCTGGGGACTGTGTCACACACTGTGGCAAATGCATGGTGGGGACCAGTGGCCAGTTCTGGCTCCTTCATGCATGAATGTTTCATGTGGCAGGCAGGTGCTTGTTGAGTATATGCAAGCACACATGCCCTTTTGGTGTACATTAAAAACATATTTGCATGCATATCTTAAGGGCATGATGTACATGCCAACAATCGCATGTACAGTATAGTGGTCTGGGGTCATGAGGGGTTGAAGGGTCCCTGTCTCCTAGAGCTGCCCAAGCAGCATGAAAGGTGAGGTTTTTAACCACTGAGATGAGGAGCCAATTGGGAGTGAAAGGAGATGAGTCAGCTGCTGAGGACTGGCTCCTAGGGTCACTCTGGAGAAGGCACTTGGGAAGAACACCAAGCTAAGCATTTGGGAACACTGAAAACTCAAGGTTCTGCCATTTCAAGAGAAAGGTGTGGAAGTTCCATTACCTGCAATGGAACTTCAAGGACAGCACAATTTAAGTCACCCCAAAAGAAGATATCAGAGCATTCCAACTCATTTGCCTGTGTACATGCACAGAAATAATAGTTTTGGCAACACAGCAGAGATCTGCATTGATCCATTGCAATGCATCCCTAATTGCTATTGTATAATTATAAGATTATTGTGTAATTTTAGGAGATTGTATAATCTTGGAAGGGGGCTTAGCTGTGGCTACCATGAAGGGACCGTGTGTCAGTACATTATTGGACATATAGCAGTTTAGTTCAACTAAAATCTAGTTGTCCCCTTTCACTTCCATGCCCCTATAATCTCAGCTGCTGGACATGTTTATTACAAATCTGAAAAGATTTAATTGTGAAATTTCCCCACCAATAAACACGAACACAGGAAGTTGGCCCATAATACCAAGTCATACTGTTGCTCCATCTGAGTTTAGTGTTATTCACACCCACACTTACTGGCAATGGATCTGTAGATAACCCCAAAACAGGGGTCTTTTATAGCCCTTCGTGGAGATGCCAGAGATCGAACCTGGAACCTTTTGCGTGTGATCCATTTGTTCTGTCACTGAGCTGCAGCCTTCTCTGCCACCCCATAAAAAGGAATTATGGCATTATAACAAGCAAGGTATCACTTGAAATATGGGGCAACTACAATGAATACACCATTGAGTTTAGCAAAGGTTGCACAAAGTCCTTGGAACAAAATTCTGACTCAAAGACATCCAGTCTCCCTCTCCTGGTTTTCTGATTTCCTCTCCTGGTTTCCTCCCACATCGGTCAGCCAGCATTCAAGCGTGCTGAGCATGCTCATTTCACATTGGCTTGTTTTGGGGTGGAGGTGCGACACTGGTGCCTAATCTCAGCTACATCTAATACAACAGGAGTGGGGAGCTATTGCAGGCATACGGCCTTATGGGTAATTTCCGGGGACCTGTGGTTGGCTGGGCCCGAAGCAAAAGTGGGTGGGGCAAAATAAGTCACCTACATTCCAGCCACTCAGAAGGCAGAGGTTTCTGCACACTCTTAGTTTCTCCATCTCTTTTCAGGCAAGCAAGGGGCATCATGACACTTTAAGGACCCGTTCCAGCCAAGCAGAAGCACTTGAGGAGGACACAAAGCAAAACCGATGAGGGGTGGGGCCTGGGGAAAACCTTGAAGACCAGACAGAGAGGTCTGGAGGCCATATTTGGTCTCTGGGCTTGAGGTTCCCCACTCTTGTAATACATTATTTTGTGCCTCCTGTGGGCAACCAGATGCCAATGGGAAGTCTACAAGCATGACATAACTCCAGAAACACCCACCTACCAATTCATTCTTCCAAGCAGAAGTTATTCTGAGGGATACTGCTTTTGATTCTGGGGGTAGTGCAGAGCCATCATGACTAGTAGCCATTGGTCGCTTTAGTCTCCCACTCCCCAGGGCAAATATCCACGGGAAGTGGTTCCGTTTGTGCTGCACATATGAAATGAGTGAATTCACAATCTTTTCACAGGCACATTGGCTACAATTTATTTGGTTTCAAGATCTTTAGAGAGAGAACATCTTTTTTATATTAGTGCATACATTGGATTGGCTCTGAGAAGACGGACTGGCAAAAGCTGAAGTTTCTAAGGGTGAAGTCATGGAGGAAGTTGAAGGCCTGATGAGTTTCACTGAGAGTTGGGTTGGAGCTGTCAGTGGGTTGAAAGATATATATATAGGCTGGAGAAGGCAACTGTGTATCTAGGTTGCAAAATCATTAAAAGGATTTTTAAAAGGAGTTCAGGGAGATGATGGTGATTTCCTTTTGTATGTCTGCCTTTCTTTCAGCACCTACTAAAGAAAGAACCATACTGTGAATTTCACTAGTCTTTTGAGAGAATATAAAACATAAAAGTTTAGTCCAAAAAAGAAGCAAAAAGCATGCAAGAGATGCTAGGAGAGGAAACTGTTAAACTTTTTTTTTTGTTTGGATTGTACTATGCGTACAAGACAACTCTCTGTATCATTATGTTTGTACTTTTCATTTCATACTGGATCATTTCAAATGGAAGCTTCATAATCCTTAACCAGAAATTCTCAGACTGTCTGAAAACTACCTCTCCCAAACACCCTCTTCAAATACGATTCTGAAGTAAGAAAGCTCAAATTGTGTGCTCAGAAATAAGCCTTTTCTTTCAGACAAGGAATTGAAGGAAATTATTTATACATAGGAGTTCTAGGGATATATAGGCTGTAGGAAGCCGCAGCCAAAGGGGAAAGAGAGTGGGCAACATTTTGACCTCCAGATGTTGCTAAATTTCCACTCTCACCATCCCTGGTCATTGGTCATGTTTGCTGGGGCTGATGGGACTTGTAATTTCCATGCTTGCTTTAGACAAAGATCCTTTTGCAGATACTAGGCTGATCTGCAACTGCATGCATGCTACTACCTATCAAACACTTGTTGGACGTCCTGTGTACTGCTCAACTTTTTGTGTACACAGATTGTAGACATGTTGAACGTAGCGTGTAAACACCCTTTATGATTGCCATTCATGGGGAAGAGAAAGAAACCTTCAGTAATAATATTGCACACATTTTCTTTTAGTCAAAACTTCCTTTTATTGAGCTTTCTGATGAGGACCTCTGGAATAGAGATTGAGCAGAATTTCATCCTGGAGAAGAGCTAATTCCACTGAAGATGCCTTCTCATGTACCTCTTCCTCCTTTGCTGAAGCGATACCCTCCTCAGATGGATACTGCCAAGCCTCTGGCTCCGCTGGGCCTTGTAGCGGATGGGGAAGAGGGTCCTGCTCATGATACTGAGACGCTCGTTCAGCTCTGCCAGCCTCTTCTTCATGGAATGTACTTGCTTCAGGAGATTGTCAATTGCTTCAGAGATAGGCCGGAGGCTGCCGGTCAAAGAAGATCAATATTAAGAATGTATACAGATCAGGATTATTATGGCAGTTCACTGACAGTTTTTCTCAGTACGACTCAACACAGTCAGCACAGTTCAGAAGCCTGCATGTGTGTCACAACTGTTGTGATGATAAATAATCAGCGTGGCAGGAGGCTGGTGATCGAAGCCTTTTGCAGTGTGAGTGTTAACAATGATTCCTCCCCAGGGATCCATCAAATCTCATGCCTACTGGACCTAGCCCAGCCTTACTCGTTTTTGCTACTGGGAGAAAAGCAATAGGACCCATTGAAATTAAGGACACATCACACATTAAGTGCCCTCAGCTGCAATATGTACTTAAAACATGAGATAAGTATGTAGAAATATTTTAAGTCCTGCCCGACTTTTTTAAGGCTGTAAGGCTGCAATCCGATATGCCCTTACCCAGGAGCAGATCCCATTGAGATCAGTTGGACTTCTGAGTAGACATATTGTGACTTGACCGTAAGAAGGGGGCCTGAGGCTTGCTCTGCCAGTTCGCAACGCTTAGGATGAGGCACACCAACAGTTGTGTTAAGGCATCATCAAGCAAACTGTTATAACGCTGCAGAAAATAGTATATACCAGCAAAAATACTTAGATCTAGCAGCTTCGTCTGACCAAGTTTGAGAAATCCACTTCAAGGTTTGGATAGATGGTGGTGATTCTTCAATTAAATACCCTAAAAGTAGTAATTATTTATATAGTGTTGTTTGCAAGGTGGTTATATGAAAACTAACACTCATCCTGTTTATACATTTTTCTGTTGGTCATTCATTCACACACACACCTCTTTTGAATACATTTCCCCATCACTTTCCAAACTGCAAAAAATCCAGTTCTTCTTTAAAGTTGATGTGTTGCACTTGGGTGACAAAGCCCTTTAATCCACTTTAACTGCACAAACCTAAAGTTCCGGAAGATGCTAGAATCAATCCTGCAGAATGGTGGTAGCCTGGAGGCAACCTGAGTGAAGCTTTGACTCAAGGACATTTTGGAACACAGCGCTCTTAGGCTGCAATCATTCATTACCTCAGAGTAATTCCAATGGGACTTACATCTGAGTCCTGCTGTTAACCACTAGCCTCTTAAAGGGCAGGCCTAGGGATGTCTACTTTGCATCAGCAGTAAGTCTGAATTCGGAGGAATTTCCTCCTTGCTATGGGTATAAGCCACCTATGAACACAGATGCAAACAGAAACTGCTGCTAAAAACATTTTTGATCTAACAGAAACAACATTATTCAGTGTAATCATTAGAAAAAATATTAGCACCAACATTTATTATATATTTACGTTGACATTTCTTCCCATATAAACAGCCCATTAGGGACATTTGAACAGTTAACTACCACTCACACTAAGTTTTACACTCACTTTTAAGAGCATGTTGTCCACATGGGAGTCTTTCACGCTCACAGCTGGTGCCATAACTGATTCAAAATATAAGCAAGCAGATCTAAAACATTCTGGTATCTTTCCCCATTAAAACCCACTTTTTATTGTTTCTGCCAAATATAGGTAGGGTTAATTTTACTAACTGCTTTGTTGAAAATGGGATGGGGTTTTAAGGACATTTTGCTCCCCCCTCTCCCCACCAAGCTCTGCTTCAACTTTCGCCATCATATCTGGATGATATATAAAAGAGAATATTTTTGCCTAAAGGGGAATAGGATCGCCCCCCGCCTTGAATTGCATATCAGTTATTAAACTGAAATGTTTGAAAACTAGCCAGTTTGGACCAATGTATGAAATGTATGAAACATCATACTCATGCTTATTCAGGTGTAAATCACAGTGAGTTGGGACTGAGGCTCATGACACCCATATTGTTGTTTAATGCAGATAGCTTTCTGTACCTCCATGAATCTCTATTCCAAGTCACTGCCTTCCCTCTCTTTCCCCTCCCTCAATCCAGAATTTATCATGCCCTCTCCTTTTCAGAGTATCCCTGGTATGAGAAAAAGTGGGCTCATCACTTTGAGAGTTGGTCTGTATTTATGCTATCGGGTAAAAGAAGTTGGGACAACCCAGGCATATTTCTTCCCTTTCTAGTGAGTCTCCATCACTAACAGAGTTTTAAGGCTAAAATCCTAGTTGCTCATCCCCTTTGGGGTATAAAGAGTTTCAACACTGGGGAATTCTCTGTTCCAGAGAAAGCAGAGTGGAGAAAAGGCGAGCATTGCTCTCGTATTCTTACCTGGAAAGTTCAGGCAGGAGTGCGTCAGGGTGACTCAGCAAAGAGTGCTTCATTTGCCAAAAGATGCTGTTCCCCCACTTCTCCAGTGTGCGCGTAAAACTCTTTATGCCTTGGATATTCACTTTATCTGCTGCAATATCAGCAGGAATTCACGTGAGAATGAGGGGAAAGAAAATATTCAGGGAGGGAGAAGCAAGTCATTAATCAGTTATTTTATCTTCCAGTACACCTAAATCTTCATGGATTAAGTATCACTATAAATATACACATGTTTGCGTGTAATCCAGAGGTATGTGTCTGTGGGATTGCAGCCAGGTGCACAAAATCTGGCACATTCAGTTCCCGAAGATTGCTTTTTGCTTTTTTCAACACCTGGTTTCTAGTCCTATGAAAATGGAGAAATTCTCAAATTCTCTCCCGAGAGAGACTCACCCTTCCCATCACTGACGGCTTCCCTGGTGTTCAAAAACCTTCCTAAATGTTGCTCTCACTGCTGCTTATATTATTCTATTAATATTTTGTCTGCTCCTCGCTAATGTTTTAACCCCCACCATTCACGGATTTGTATTTCTGAATTTGATATTTTTCTTTAGCTACATCTCTGAACCTAGGTGTGTTTACTTAGAAGTAAATCTCATTGAGGACTGTAGCCTAATGACTTTACTTGTGCAATCACATCCCACAAATAATAATTGCAACTGATACACTATCTGGGGTAGTAAGCGCATTCATCCAAAGATAAAATTCTGTGGTGGAAGCATGTGACTGTACTTCTTCTGCAGGACAGGTGTTGAGACCCCCCACCCTTCCTTTAGGCAAAACCATAGTACTAAGACTCATTCTCAGTCACCAGGTGGCACTTCAGCTCCCAATACCTGCATGTACACAAATACTGTAGCATTGTATATTTGGCTTCCTGTAGTGTGAAGGGTTGCCATACATCCATAATAACCAAGATTCGGTTGTCAGAAACATATGTCAGGGCTGAAATGTCTGGGAAAAAGCTCAACAACTTTTGTGTGTGGATTTTCACTTTTTGAAATATGGCAACCCTACTGGTGAGGAACTCAAGACTGGGCAGGAAACTAGAATTCACACAAGCCTTTATCAGAAACGTTCTTCTTCATATTAAGACGGTGTTATCAGTGCGCATGGGCACCTTGCAGAGTTAGAAAACTAAAAGTGGACAGGCCCCTGCCTTCAAGGAGCTTACAAATGACTCCTGCCTCTGCCTTGGCTTGCTAGCACCTCTTACCTCCTTCTCTGTAATTCCACTCCTGAATGTGATTCTGAAATGCCTTCTGACAGCTGCTGCTGGGCAGGAGGTGGAAGAAAAGGAGAAGTGTCAGGGTGCCAACAATGGGCACAACCAGAGCTTTCATCTTTGTGTTCCTGTTGTAAGAAAAGGATAAAACCTACTTTGATTTCCTGTTCTTTCAGAATCAGTTTGAATGTGCCAAAATAACACATGGTACAGCCCTCACTAGGCTATATCACTATATACAGCACCAGGTGAGGAAGGCATGTGTTGAACAGCTCTCCGAAGGAACATAGGAACTTGCCTTATACCAAGCCAGCCCATTGGTCCATCTAGCCCAGTACTTTCTATTGTGACTGGCTGCAGCACTCCAGGATTTCAGACAGTGGTCTCTCCCCACCTCACTTGAAGATGCTGGGGATTGACTGTGGGACCTTCTGCATGCAAGGCAGATGCTCTAGCTCTGAGCTATGGTCCTTCCATGTACACTCCCCATCTCTAGAAAAGTAGCCAGTCAGAAAAAAGCCTTATCCTTGACAAGCTAGTTTTCTATGTGCAGAAAAGCAGGGGAGCATTCAAGCCTTCAGTCCTTCCTATACAGTCTGAAGTGCTGCTGTCCAGGCAGGACTGTGGCATGTGCTGTTTCTGCATATTCAAAACAGCCCTCACATAGGGTTGACAGTGAAAGGAAAGAAGCCTTTGAATGATGTGCATCACTCACAGGCCCCAAAAGACTGTAATGGAGTCTAGGCAATCTATTGAGCATTCATCCTGATTTGCTTGCATAAAGTTTACATAGAGGTTAGATCCTATCTGGTCTTTATTGAGCATTCATTCTGACATTTTTGCCAGGAGATTATATGACTATATGTATCTAACTTACACTCGTCCTGATTTGCTTGTGGGCTGCTTATATTTTGTCCTGTTAATCATGGTTCATTCCACACTTTTCAGCGCATTTCCTTATCAGTTTCTAAAGTGTGAGAAGTCTAATTCTTTTTTTAAAGTGGATTTGTTGTACTAGAGCGACAGAGTGCTTTAATCTGCTTCAGTTGCACAAACCTAAGCGCTCATCCACACTTTTGTTTGTCCCATGATGATGATGATGATGATAATGATAATAATAATAATAATAATAATAATAATAATAATAATAATAATTGTTACTTATACCCCGCCCATGTGGCTGGGTTTCCCCAGCCACTCTGGGTGGCTCCCAATAGAATTAAAAGCACAATAGAACACCAAACTTCCCTAAACCTGGCTGCCCTCAGATGTCCTCTAAAAGTCAGATAGTAGTTTATTTCCTTGACATCTGGTGGGAGGGTGTTCCACAGGGTGGGTGCCACCACTGAGAAGGCCCTCTGCCTGGTTCCCTGTAACCTCGCTTCTCACAGGGAGGGAACCGCCACAGTCTTTTTCAGACTCCCCACTGTCCCTGGGAAAACCTGCTGGCTACTGTTGAATCGGAACAAGGGGCTGTAGCTCAATGGCAGACCACATGCTTGTATGTAGAAAGGCCCCTTACATCGCTTGCATCTCCAGTTAAAAGGGGTCTCTAATAACAGGGCCAGGGAAGACTCCTACCTTGTGACCCTGGAGTGCTGCTGCCTCTTAGAGCAGTTAGTCCTGGGCTAGCAAGACAAGCATGAAGTTAGTTTCCTATGTTAGCACCTTCTGTATGTCAGAGTCTACTTTGCCACACAGATCTCCCTTGCTGGACTGGGGCAGCAAAGTGTGCAGCCCAGTGAGAAAAAGGTTCTAATTGGCAGTACAGTGGTACCTCGGGTTACAGACGCTTCAGGTTACAGACTCCACTAACCCAGAAATAGTACCTCGGGTTAAGAACTTTACTTCAGGATGAGAACAGAAATCGCGTGGCGGCGGCACAGCGGCAGCGGGAGGCCCCATTAGCTAAAGTGGTGCTTCAGGTTAAGAACAGTTTCAGGTTAAGAACGGACCTCCAGAAAAAATTAAGTTCTTAACCCGAGGCACCACTGTATTACCACCGAACAACAAACATGTGCTAACATGCTAAATCTGTTAGGATTAGCATGATGAGTTTAACAGGAGTTTAACGGGCACTTCTCTCCAACTTCATTGCAATATGAATTTCAGAATGACACATCTGCTTGCTGGTGTTGCAAGGAGGGAGGATCCCCAGAGGGCCAAAGAAACAGTGCACTTGTTGTTGTGTAAATAGTAATGGAAGGAAATCCTGAGCTGCCTGGGGACTGTGTGGGATGGGGAGGGGAAGTTTAACTGCATCTCTCCCTGCCAAGGTCGGATGGAAACGACCTCACCAAAAGGGATCCTTGCCATTTTGGGGGAAGCCTCCACTAGCATGCAAATAGTAGCTTTAAGTCATGGATGAGTTAAATTAGCCGTCCCCACTTCTCCCAGTCTGGAGGGGGGCCCACCCTCTGGAACACCCTCCCATCAGATGTCAAGGAAATAAACAACTATCTGACTTTCTGAAGGTAGCCCTGTTTAGGGAAGTTTTTAATGTTTGATGTTTTATCACATTATTATTATTATTATTATTATTATTATTATTATTATTAATCTTCTGTTGGGAGCCGCCCAGAGTGGCTGGGGAAACCCAGCCAGATGGTGGGATTAAATAAATAAATAAATAAATAAATAAATAAATAAATAAATAAATAATATTAGCAGGCTTCCCTTTCAAAAAGCATGCATTCCTCCAATTAACATGGCATTTACTTGGGCCTTAATTTTATCACCCCAAGGAAGTTCGCCTGGTGCCTTCACTATACACCTTTAGGTGCCAGGCAAAAACATTCCTTTTTAACCAGGCCTTTGCCTGACTTGATCGACATCCTATACCCTTTTTAAAATGCTGGCTCTTTGCGGTTTGTTTTTTTTTTTTTAAATTGGATTGTTGTTTTTGTTTTGATTTTATGTATTTGATATTTTATGTGAACCGCCCTGAGACCTTCTGGTATAGGGCAGTATAGAAATTAATTTAATAATAATAATAATAATAATAATAATAATAGTAATAATAATAATTAGAGAAGGGCCAGTAGCACCTGCCTTGTAAGTAGAAAACTCAAGGTTTAATCCATGACACCCCACCAAATAGGGCTGGGAATGTCTCCTGCTCAGTGGCGGTCACTGGGGTAGAGTGCTCCCCTGCCCTCCTGCCCCCCATTTTGCTGCTGCTTGGTGGGAGGGAGAGAGGGAGAGGCACCAGTGAGGCTGGTACTGGCCTTGCCACTCCCAATGCTGGTGACGTTAGGCCAGGTGAGCTGCCCCACTGCCTTGCCAACTGCTGTATGAAATCCTGGAGAGCTGCCGCCAGTCCGTGTAAACAGTCCTGAGCAAGGTGTACTCAGTATAATCTGCTTCCTGTGTTCCTTGCCTAGACTTCATGAAAATGCCAGAAAATTAGATCCTATCGGATCAAGGTTATTAGATGAATTGGCATAAAGCCGACAATGCCGTTGACTCTGTTGAGTCTTAAAAATGTTCTTACGACAGAGAAAGGAGGAAGTGGCTGGCAAGCGCCGTATCGTTGAAAGACTTGGAGAAATAAGGCTTCCCCTTTAATTCAAGCTTGGCTAAATACATACTTGTTTACAACAGAAATGAATAGACTGAATTCTTTTTAAAGACAAATGTACGAAACGGAGAATGCTTGACATGTCTTCTGAGAAGATACAGCTACAATTCATTTTATCCTGGAACAATTTAAATCCTAACCGTCAAGTGGAAAGCCATGTTTTATTGATATGATGAGGGTTTTTGGATTAATCTGTCAGTTCATCACAGCGAAACTGTTTATTTGTTAACTGGAAACTTACATATTGGATTAATCCATCTACAAGTGTCTATTGGCTGAAGAAAAAACAACCACCATATCCCCGCCCCCCCCCCCCCGTATTATCTGTTTTTCTGATACGGCGTTCTGCGTATAAACAACCTTTAAATGGAAAATAAAGGAGTCTGAAGTTCACTTGCTTGGCCTGACTCTCTCCAACAAAAAATGATCCAATAAAAACAAAGCCTCTTAGCATTTCATTCTACTTCCAGTGTTCAGACTCTTGAGTGTCATTGTGTATGTCACCAAAACAGCACCAGCGGCATACAAGGAGATAGCAGCTGTAGGCCTGGGGCGCAACCAAGGTTTGCAGAAGTACAAATCAACGGGGGCGGGGGGGACGGGGACAAAGGGAGACCTTAGAACAGCCCAGTGAGGACTGAGTGTTCCATATTTGTTGAATGCTTATAGAGAGGTGGGGGGGGTGTCAGAAAATCAGGGAAAGGGAGAATAGAATGAAGTGGCTGGAATCCTGTGGCTCTATGCTGCAAGATTTTGTTGCAGGTCTGAAGGGTTTATTTTATGGCCACATTCACAACACGTATCTACCAAATTTTGCACTCCTAACAGTTTTGTGCCTGGGGCAATTTCCCCTGTGGCCCCCCTGATGTTAGGCCACTGGCTGTACGCAAACTAGACACCGTCAGGTCTGATTCACACAAAAGGGAATGAAAGGAGTTGAGGTAATACAAGCAGAGGCTGGGCCTATGGGAAAACAGTCCTATGACTGATTCACTGTGTGCCCCATTTTGCTTTACAAATGGATGTTTGACCACAGCCTTCCTCGAGTTGGTCAGGTGTTGTGCTAATTTGCTTTTCATTAAACTGGGGAGGATTTTGTTATTGCCTTGAGAGGGCTAAGTCAGTATTGCTGGCCATCATCCATAAGGTTTATATCATGATTAATCAGAATTGCATAGTTTCTCGTTTGAGAAATGACTGACAAACTAATAAAAAAAATGGCAGAGACACAGAATTCATGTATTTCAGCTGCTTGGTCTTATGATAAACCCCTGAGAAAATTCAATTACCCTTCCATTGAAGTATGACCTTCATCTCCTAACAGCCTGGGAACAGCTCCAACCCAGCCACTTGGTACCCTTAGGAATTAGTCGGAGTTGGTTCAAATACGAATAAATCTGAGTTCATTTCCATATTTAATGAAATATAGTTTCCTTCTTGTTTTATGTGTGTTAATCATTGTTAGGTTAACACTGCTAAGATTAAAATGATGCACACAAAAAAAGACTCCGATCCTATGGCTGTTCAAAAAGAAGTCTAGCTGAGTTCAATTTTTCAATCTTAGTTTTGCAGTCCCTCCTCCCTTTCAAATGTTTTAAGTTTTACAATTTCAAATAAACAGGTTTTACATTACCAAATGGACAACACCACCTCTGCCACCGCAGTGTGGCATCCTTTTCCATCCATGCAATTCTACCCCATATGTATATTTTTAGACATAAGACCCACTGAGCTCAAGTACATGTGGATAGAATTGCACCGTCAGTCTACACCAGAGATGGGAATCCCACGACCATGCAGACATTGTTGGACACCAACTCCCATCATCCCCAGCCAGTGTGGCTCAGGACTAATGGGAAAAGTAGTCTTTTCACCACCAACTGAAGATGTATCCGTTCCACCTGGCCTGCACAGGTTAATGAGATGCCTCCTCCATCACTTTATGACTATGTTCTGTGCTGCGACCAGCTATATTTATGATAATTACAATAACGGTGGTTTTTGTTGTTGATGTTTTTATTTGTGTTTTACTGTAGACTGCTTACCAGTCTGAGAATTCTTGTTGAAGGGCAGTTCACAATTATCACCATCATAATTACCCCCCTCCTTCTCCTAAACTTACTGTCCCAAATGCCTGGTTTTCAGGTAGGCTTGAACCCCGTGGCCTGCTATTCTACAAATTAAGGCACGCAAGCTGCACACATTTCAAAATGGGATGTTGGTGTGGGGTTTTTGGACCAGTTCCACCCACCCAACAACAAAATTCTTCCATATGTATAGTTCAGTTCTAGAACTTCAGGCCAAAAGCAGGAAGGAGCCTCATGCATATGTGCCCCTCTTTCAGGTAAGTTGCTTTAAGGCCAAGATGATATACGGATATAGTCAACGTTAACCTGAGGACTGATACTGAAAATTGGTGGCGGCAATATCACAGTATTTAAAACAGCAATGTAAACATGGATAGGGCTGCATTATTAAACTGTTTAAATAAAATATGCAAGAATATCTTCTCTAAATACTTGGAACCTGCTTACGACTCTTTCTTTCTTTCTTTCTTTCTCTCTCTCTCTCTCTCTCTCTCACACACACACACACACACACACACTTTTACTCTCTATGATTTGCTGGAGATTTTTTTTCCTGAAGTACCAGCCGTACCATATTTCACTGGTAATAATATTCTCACTGACTTTCTCTATAAATTCTTATTAATAATTAATCTCTCCCCCTTTCCCCCCTCCAAATAAACAGTCTTTCCTTTTAAAATGAATTCCGTAATGAAAATGTCTGATCAGCCATTCCCAGCAGAGAAGGACCAAAGTATGTAATATCAAAAGGCTGAAACGGCAGCACAAATCTCTGAGGTCAAATAGACCAAAGAGGAGGATGCACCCGCTTTTTGGCAGCTTCGGTCCTATGAGACGAGGTGACTTTGATCTTGCTTCGTTTAGGATATGAAAGGCAGCAATAAATCCCCTCACATCTGGGGATCCAAAACCTGACCTTCTTGATCACAGGTTCTATAAAACATAAACTGTAAAATTTCAAACACAAATCCCAGATGTTGCATTTTCTGGGTCTCCTGAGACCCGTACCTCCTCCATTTCCCATATTATCATCCTTTGAATTCCTATTGATTTTGACGTGTAACATTATTTACCGCTGGCGAGACAACAGTATTGTTTATAAAACAATGCCATTTCCCTGTGCCTACTGTTTATAATTTAAGACTGGGGACAATTGTTTTGGTTGTGCTTATGTTTTCAGACAGCTGAAGGTAGTGTGACAGACCCCTTATCGCTTGTGGTGGCTGAACTCTTTTGTTATTTGTCCTTCAGACAAGCAGAGCTTGTGTCCATTTCTATCAACCCAGAGCAGGGCAGTGACTTCCAACAGTCAGAGCATGGACTGCTCCAGTGGCCTGGACCAGTTGGGGAGCTGTCCAGCAGAAGCCAGAGTTGGGCTAGGCAAGATTATATGTGGGACTTCTTAGTTGCAACAGCAGCTAAGAGGCAGAGATGAAGGGGTTTCATTTTAAGGCTTGCCTCTTCCTCCAAAGTAAATACACATTGAAATACTTTATTGTACAACTTGTATACAGTGAGATTACACAAGCACCCCCCTCTCAGCTCTCTTAGTCTTAATTCCCCTCGTTTACTGACAGACACCCACCAAACCCAAAAGTCAGTTGCCCTGTTGTTATCTTTTCATTCAGCAGCCTAACAGCCCATGGATAGAAGCTATTCTTTACCCTGTTGGTGTGACTAATCATGCTTCTATATCTTCTGCCTGAGGGCAGGAGATCAAGAAAGTGCCGGCCAGGGTGTGAATCATCCCTGAGGATTTTCCTCACTCTCCTGGGGAAATTAATGCTTGCCTCTTCCTCCGAAGTAAAGCTGAGGGGCAGCAAACCTTGGGCTGTTGAGCAGACATTCTCATCTCAGGTCTGGGCTTTTGGCATGAATCTGTCACCACCTCTGCCCCTACTGTGATGCTGGACCAGATATTGGGGAAGGGCCCCATCAGGGTGCATTGGACCTCTCAGTGTCACAGCTTTTGAGGGTCAGGGTGTCACCAAGGATGGTAGCCTCAGGCTGTCCCTCAAGGGGCATTAGAGACATAGGCTCTAACCTACCTTATACCAAGCTGGAGCGTCACCCATCTATCTTGGTATTGTCGACTGGCAGCAGCTGTCCAGGGTTTCAGGAGATATCAGAGGTTAAACCTGGACCTTCTGCAAACAAAGCATGTGCTCTGCCACTGAGCCACACCTTCTCTGCATGACTCCAGTCTATGCCCTGACCTGCGGGAGGGTGTGTGTATTTCCTGACACTGTGAAAGGTGAACAAATTTCCCCGTGTGACTGGAATCCCTTCAAAAGCCAGGTCACCTTGACATTATCAGGTCACAGGTTTCCCTATGCCCCAGACAGGGAGGCAAACACATGTTCCATGCAAATGCATGAGAGCCAGTGTGGTGTAGTGGTTAAGAGTGGTAGACTCCTAATCTGGTGAACCGGGTTCACGTCCCCGCTCCTCCACCTGCAGCTGCTGGGTGACCTTGTGCCAGTCAAACTTCTCTGAAGTCTCTCAGCCCCACTCACCTTACAGAGTGTTTGTTGTGGGGGAGGAAGGGAAAGGAGAATGTTAGCCGCTTTGAGACTCCTTCGGGTAGTGATAAAGCGGGATATCAAATCCAAACTCCTCCTCCTCCTCTTCTTCTTCTTCTTTTGGCTTTCTGTTGAGCTTACAGTTCTCTTCCCCCTTTCTACCCCATGCTCTGGGCTCGACAAAGGGCTCTGGCCCCAACCCAAGCTCCCTCAGAATCTGTGCCTCTAGAATCTGTGCCTCTAGATCCAGCCAGCAGGACAGTCCAGTGTTTTGTTCTCTGCATCTCATCTACACTTTACAATCTCTTACCCCTCCCAGCTCTCCTCTCACCACCCCTGCCCATTTTGATCCTCTTTCCCCATCCTGGGTGTCTCTTTCGATGGAGCTTGCCAACCAAGCGTCTTCGGGTGCAGTTGTTTGTTTCTTTCTTTAGCAGGAACATTTAACAGCCTACTCTCAGTCCAAAGAATCCTGGAGTGGCCACCATAGTTTCAAAACAATCACAACTGTATCAGTGAAAAAATGTTTGGGTTTGTTGGTTTGTTTTTAATTAAACCCAGCAGAATCAGCCTAAAAACAGCACTGAAGGTTAATTTCAAGATGTCACAGCTGAGGGAAGTGCCTCAGTCATAAGCATGCAAGTGGGTGTGTGGTCTCATGCTATGACTCCATAGCAATGTTCTCAACTATGTGTATAGGACGCATAAACACAGTATCTTTAAAGCACATGCTTCCCCTCAAAGAGTTCTGGGCATTGCAGTTTAGCCCTCATGTGAGTTACAGTTCCCAGCAACCCTTAATAAACTACAGTGCCCAGAATTCTTTGAGGGGAATCACATGTTTTGAATGTGCTTTAAAGGTATAGTGTGTACACAGCCATAGACTTTGGAGTATGTAGAGTTTGTACATATATAGGGACTGTGCAAATAAGGGATTAGCGTGGGGGTTGCCAACCCAGATACCATGGCATCTCCAAAGGTGACCAAAGAAAAAAGAATAAAAATTCACAAAAACACTGACTTCATTTCCCTTGATTCTCAACCAATCTTGCCTCATCTACAAGCATGTATTTTATTAATGCAGTGCCTATTGGAAAACAAATGATTTCGCTGCCACTATATTAGAATTTCTCACTGACATAAGTGATAATTACTTCTTCTTCTCCTTCAAGCCATTCCATGGAAGCTAGTTAATCCAGTTGGCTCAGGAGAAGGGCTGACTGCCGAAGCAAGTCCACGTGAGAACATATCCTGTGGGAGGACTTCTTGAGCCAAATCTTGCTGGAAGGATTCTCATTAGCTCTGCCAAAGTTTGAATCAAGCCCTGCGCTTGTGTTGAAACAGAACAAAACAAAACACGGCTGCAGTGCTGGTCAGCATTCATTCCATGTCTGACGAAATGAAATGGTGTTAAAATATGGGCCAAGCTAGACACAATGGCAGTAGATCTGTGAGATGAAATATGGATCTGGTGCCATCGCATTGAAAGGTGAGGTCAGCATTGACCTCCTCCTCCTGCCCAAAGCTGACCTCCATACAGTATGCCTCCATGCTGTGTTGAGTTGCTATGCCAAAAGCGCTAATTCTGAGAGCAAAGCACGTGGGGCAGCAGGAAGGTAGGGGGCAGAGGGGGAATGAGTCTGAACTCTTCACATAGGCTCCTTGGATCAACAAATCCACCCCTAGGTAAACTATGGAACTCACTTCCACAGGACAGCCACCAGCTTGGAGGGCTTTGAAAGAGGATTGGACAAATTCATGGAGGGTGAGACTATCAACGGTGACTAGTCATGACGGCTATACTCTGGCTCCACGGTTGAAGGCAGTAATGCTTCTGAATACCAGTTGCTGGAAAACACAGGCGGGGAAGGTGCTCTTGTTTCCCAGAGGCATCTGGTTGACCACGGTGAAAACAGGATGCTGGACTAGATTGGCCATTGGCCTGATCCAGCAGCCTCCTCTTATGTTTTTATGTTCTTTCTTCCTACTTGATTGGGGAAGTTTTATGTTGAGACATTGTCCTATCTACCAACATCGCAACTAGTATGGGCCTCTGAGAAAGAATTTGATTCTTTCCTTTACCCAAAAGCCTCGTGTTGTCCTTTCAATTCTTTGAAATCTCCACCTCTGGCACCATCAGGCTCCATCAATGATCCAGCAGATATTTCTATGCGCCAAACCTGCCAAGTTCTGCCTAGTCTTGCTTTGGTCCACCAAATTCAAACATGGCTCAACAAATGACATACCAGATTCTACCAGGCTCCATCCATAACCCAAAGAAGTGAAGTCTCACTGGTTGTCTGAAATATGATGGGTTTCAGACAAGAGGGCTTTCCTGACCACAGGACATAACTGTTATTATTTATTATTATTTGATTTATATCCCTCCCTTTATCCAAATTTTGGAATGCCCTCCATAGAGAGGCCTGCCTGTCAAATTTACCACTTGGGTTTTGTCAGACAATTTAAAGGAAGATTTGAGGATGGAATAATGCCCCTTACGTCTGCTGAGCTGTTGCCATTTTTTCTTGCTCTCTTGCTGTCCATATTATTTCTACTTAATTGTTTTCCTTTTTATTGATGTTTTTAATGTTGTCTCCTGCTGAGGACCATTTGAAGGAAAAGTGGGACAGAAAAGTTTTCAATAAGCAAATGCTATTTGAAAAATACAAACAAACAGGTGTAACCACCAACATGAATCTCTCCATCTCTTTTAGTCATGAATCCCACCATCCCTAAAGAATGTATGGGGAATTTGTCATTCCTATCCTATATCCTCATTTCTCACCCCCTCTCCTCACATGACATTCCTCTTCCATGTGATAAAAAACAACAACATCTGCTGCAACTAGACGTGTGTGATGCTCTCAGGTCACCAGGATTCTACACTCTGCAGCCAAATAATGCGCAAATATGTCAGTTCCCAGCTTCAGATTCCTCCCCAATTTTCTCTTCCCTATTTGCTTTCAACATTTCTCCCCAAGGTATTCTATTTCCAATATATTTTATTCCTACATATGACAGAGATAAGCAGAGACATAGCAAAGAGAGATTTTATGTGCATCTGTCTTAAATCCTTACGGCAAAGGGGAAATGTTCACCCCCTCAGTTTTCATCACCACAGAACTCTTACTCTCCCCCCAATACAGCTGCAGATATTCAAGGTTATTCTGTCCCATTGCCAAATATGGCCTTCATTTCCGAGAGGCTGCTATCTCCTGCAGCCTGATGAGAACATGCTGTACTTAACACAAGAATGTGAGGAAGTGAGGTCTGCTTTTGCTTGCTTTTGACTGCATCTATTGAGTAAAACAATACTGGGCCAGGAATAGTGGGAGTGTTGCTAAGGAAGGTTAAAGACCTTTAACTAGTTTTCAGTTGCTCAGATATTTGTAAACTGCTCTCATACAATTTTGAGCAAAACAGGAGAGCTTGACACACATTTCCAGGTTTTTCCACTGATTTAAAAATTGTGTTTGAATTAGGAGAGATGTGATTATAAGTAGCATATTCAATTGCTTCTGCTGTTAAAACACAGGCTGCTTCTGCACTTTTTTTTTTAAGCAATGCCCTGGTTAAACACTTCCATCCAGACTAACTGAAGAAAGTTGAAAGTGGCAATAGTTTTTTTTCCTCTGGAAAATCTTCAGCCCCCTATTACTTTACATTATTGTGCTGGAATACGGTATCCTAATGCAGACTACTAGTTTAAATTATTGGTACACTGATAGTAAATACAAAAATAAATGTATCTGTGATTACTGGGTAACAATGGCTTACCATGCCATTAGCTTACCAAACCTTATGCTGTTATGCTGCTATAAGTAGTTAAAATGCATCATCTTCAGGACTGACATGCTCATGCAGAAAGTCTCAGGATCAGGCAAGAAGTCTCATTGAACTCAGGTAATTTGGTCCATATATGAATTACATGCTATTAGTAGAGTCCTTAGAACGAAGGGGAAAATGAATTTGTGTCACACAACTTGCTAAATAATATTGCACATAATAATTCAGATCTGATAGCAAATTAAGAATTTGCTGAATTGATAGATTTAATAAAGACATATGTTTCTACTCAAAATATGAAGTGAAATTTGTGCATGAAAAATTGTAGCTATAGAGATTTTAAACAAAGCTGGAGATACCTTTTGTGCCTTGGTCTTTAAAACTCTTTTGCCCAATTTTGCCCATAGAATTTGATGCAATAAAATTATATGCTTCATTGCTTATTCTCTGATTACTATGCTAAGCATATCAGGCTTTCATTTTCAATGATCAAGAGAGATAAATATGCCTTTCAGGCTTCCTGCTACATTAACTGTCTCTTAGTTGGCTTTCATTTGCAGAGTTTTATTGGGTTTTGTTTTTTAAAAAAAAGATTTTGAAAATGAGTTACATTGCATTAGAGAAAATGCAATGGTTATAAAAGAAGAAGATATAAGATCTAGATAGATTCTCCTCTAGGTACAATTTGCCCATTATTCACTATAGATAGGTAGATAGATGATAGATAGATAGATAGATGATAGATAGATAGATAGATAGATAGATAGATAGATAGATAGATGATAGATAGATGGGGGTCTACACTAAAAGTGGGAAGTTGTCTTGGAACGAATAAAATAAGAATAAAATGAAGAAAATAGGATGACCTTGGGTCTGTGCAGTTGTGCATCAACAGTACATAATAACTATATAGGTAATCTGTACCTTTCAGAGGCTTATATTGTCACACACAGAATATCCACACAGAAACAATTACAGTTATTTACTTCCTTCTTTCAAGAAACTCATCTTGCACTGCTTACAACTCTCAGCTTTTATGAACATTCAGTTAAGTAAGACTGAGCTTTTTTCAGATAGCGTCTACTTTCTTCTGCCTGGATTTCTCTTCTGGTCTATTTGCCACATTCAAATTTTGAGATGGTTTGTTATGTCGTGTAATCAGCTATGTCATTAGCTATGGAAGACACAAATTATTCCTTGACTAAGGAAAGGATGAGTCTACATGCAAACTTTACCTGGACTCCACAGGACAATCCTCCTGAGACGAGGCTCCCAACAAGGCTCTGTTGCTTCTCCTCCTCTTTCATTGCCACCCCTCTGGACCTCAGCTCACAATGAGTGACGTGTCCCACTTCTTCTCCCTAGTCCACATGTTTTCCCCAACTTTGTTTGGAGCTTCTTCCAGCTGCTCCTTTCTCACCCTCCCCTCCCATCCACCCATTCAAGCTGAACATCTCCCCAACATATGGGAGCCGTATGGGACCATAAACTTCTGACAGTGGCACTACAATGCCTTTTCAAAGTTTATTCTCCTGTTCAGCAGCAGCTTCTGGTCCATGGATCCCTGCTACCTTCATAGCCCCACAATTCTTTGGCAGCCAGTATCATTAGAATGTCTCTCTTGCTCTCCATAGTTTCCACTACTAAGTAGCTTCCCTTTGTGGAAGACAGAGATTTCTAGCCAGCAAGTCGTGAATTTGTTCCCCTAAGTTGTTTCTGTTGATTGCCAATTAATTCACTGCTGATTACTTCATCCTTGAGACATTATGCCAAAACTATTTCTGTCAAAGTAAACAAGGAGAGTGGACTTGGGTTTTTGCGTGCGTGTGTTTTTGACACGCATTCCCCTTCTCTTAAGTTCCTGGGCTGCCAAGCTAAACACAAGCAGACCTAATCAATATAGTTGTATAAGAGACTTCCCAAGAAACATGAGGTATTGCAATCTAGTGACTGAACTAGTGGAGTCCTGGATTCAAAAGTGAGCCAGTACATTAAGATGTGCTGTGCAAATATGTACTAGCTGTGGTTTATAAAACAAGCCATGAATATTGTCTTGCATCATGGGTTGCAAAACACACTTGAAACAGTTCAGTGATCTTACTTTCTTGCCCAATATCCCTCCTGAAGCTTCCATTTGCCACATTTGCTATTGTTCAGTTGAATTTGGGGTTTGTTGTTTTAACCATTTTGATCTTTGTTTATGTCTTTTTAAAAATCTATAAGCCACCAGAAGTGTTGCTGTCAATATATTATAAATTGTAGTAATAATCAATACCCTTAGTCTCTCAGGATAAAAGTTAGTTCCCAAGATTCTGTCACACTCTAGTGTGACCAAGACCACAATGTGGGAGATCTTCTGAGATTTGAACTGACCTCTCAACTCAGACATTAATTTCACAATGGACAGAGGGTAATACTGCCCCCACCTCACTGTTGCTTCCAAGTGCAGCCTGCTACTTTCTCCCACATAAATGAATGATTGCCAATTGATTTTTACACGGAAAATAACTTTTGTAAGGAATGCATATAGGGTCACAGTGAGAGCAAAACTAGTCCTATACTCAGGATGGTAAGTGGCTGGGCCTCCACTGATTCTGCAGGATGGTACAATGCAGAATACTTAGATTCACTGCACTCCAAGGGGACAACTTATGTAGTCTTCCTTCCACAAATACCACCTGTTATAATAATAGACATTTTGCTAGAATGCAATATAATACAATGCTGTTTTCATGCCTTACCTATGTAACTAGATCATGGTGATGTATATCTGTCATAGTGAGTTTAGTTTCAGAAGTGACTACATTTCAGTGGGTGGTGAATTCCTCAGGCAGTGTAAAACAATCTGATTAAAAAACAAATCCACTGCAGGCAACCGGCATACATAAAGTATGCTATAGACACACAGCACCCATGAAAATCATCCGAGCACCAGTGGATTTATTGGTGATATGGTTATTTGTGCCAGATGGGGCTGTCACCCATCCTTTGCAAATCTGTACCATGTTTTTAGACTGCTTTGTGTAAAGGCATATCTCTGTAAATGTCAGTTATTATTAATAGCCTTTAGTTGATGCCTTATGGTCTGAGAGAAGCCTTCTCCAGCCTGCTGAAGTTTTTAACAACAGCTCCCATTAGTTTCAGCCAGTATGGCTGTGCTCACTGGGGCTGATGGAAATGGTAGCCCTAAACATTTAAAGGACACCAGGTTGGCACAGGTTGAACTAAAGAATGCTTGGTCTGATGATCTCCCCAAAGCTGGGTGCCCAGCTAGGAAGAAGCTCTTTACTGTGAAGATTATTGGGTTTTCCAAATCTACAGAGCACCAGGACACATGGTTTTGACCTTGTAGAAGTACTGGTAGTTGGTAGTTCACCACACCTCATCCAGTGTGTGGTATCAGCAGAGTATGGGGAGCCCCAGCAGAGTCTTCGGTGATTTCTTGCTCCCAGCAGAACAGCTTGTTTCAGAGTCCCCAGTTAAGGGGGAAACTTTTCTCCCACACAGTTCCAAGTAACAAAGGGTTTATTTTCTCCAGACACAAGACAAAGCTATTATATACATTCTTCTGGTCTTTGAAGTAAAGATACATATGTAAAGACAGAAATGCTGCTGTGTAAAACCCACAGCCTCCTCCCCTGACTCTTACAGATCCAGAGTCAGACCCTAACAGGACAGGGCAGGACAACAGGACATAATGAAAGCATTCCTGAACCAATGGGAGGGTGAACGGCTCAGCAAGTCATGCGCTCAACCTTGCTGGTGTTGCTACGGTAACCCAGTGCACCTGGCACCCTTATCTCGGACCATCCAGACATGGGGGACATGCTCCTCAAGACATGACACCAAGCATGGTGTAATTTAACCCATTGTTCACATCACACCAACACTACATGGGGATTTATATGTCTCAAGAGAAGTCTGCATTCTGAAATGGAAGAGTTGACCTGCAAATGTCTTCCAGGCTGAGAACCTTTTGACCATTTTACATATTACACAGCAACCCACCTGGGTGTGCAGCAGGGAGCTGCAGCCAATCCCAATTCCTCCACCTCCACCCATATTTTTCCAGGTGCTTTTCTGGACATCCTCCTAATATGATGATCTGCAGCTGATTGCTGCTTGTTCCCAGCTCAGTGCCAGTGGTGCTAATAGGCTCCCTGTACTACTCCTGCCAGGAAACTGAAGATCACCCTGGGGGCCCCTGTGATGTCAGAGGGGTCTTTCATTGTGATCTCTTATTTCCTGACAAGAGGGCATTACCTGGAGCAAAGCACAACTCTTTTGCATGCCATTTCTTTCTCTGCCAATGGGCACTTTTCCCACGTGGAAATAGATGATCACCTCAGCGACTCCATTCGCCAGCAGCTCCTCTGCTTTGGCAGGTGACAGACCATGCTGACTGTTGATGCCAGACCCAGTAGTTTGGTTGCATCAGGAGTGATTAAATGACCCAAATAAACATGATCTAGCAATACGGAGAATTCCCTGCCCCGACCCAGAACAGCGGGTCGTATTTGGAAGCCTCCTATTTGGAAGAAGCATAGCTGAGTGATAGGGGATATGCTTTGCTGCAGAAGGTTCCAAATTCTGTAGCTGCATCTCCAGGTTTATTTATTTATTTATTAAGGATTAGGTGGCAGGTGATGTGAAAGACTTCTGCCTGGGTGGCCACTGCCATGTAGACAATACAAAGCTAGACGGAAAAACAATCTTTCTACTGAGAAGCACTGTAATAACAGAATGGTGGCATCTCTTGACTTGGGTTATAAGACTAGTCGAGATGGCTATATGTAACCGTTCTGCAGGTTTAGAGGTAGCAGGTCTCCCAGTACCTGTTGATGGGGAGCAACAATGAGAGAGAGAGAGCTATTGCCTTCATAACCTCCTTTTCAGCTTCCCAGAAGTATCTGGTTAGTCCCTGTGGGATACAGAATGCTGATCTAGATCAATCTTTGTTCTGACCTAGCAGGACTCTTCTAACATTTTGGGTTCTCTGGAGCCTTAGAAGCATAGAATTGTAGAGTTGGAAGGGACCCCTTGGGTCATCTAGTCCAACCCCCTGCAATGCAGGAATCTCCACTAAAGCCAACCAACCTCCACTTAAAAACCTCCAATGAAGAAGAGGCCACCACCTCCTGAGGGAGCCCGTTCCACTGTGAGACAGTTCTTACCATCAGAAAGTTCTTCCTGATGTTGAGTTGGAACTTCCTTTCTTGTAACTTGAAGCCATTGGTTCGAGTCCTACAGTCCAGAGCAGGAGAAAAAAAGCTTGCTCCATTAACGAATGGATTTCTATTGCACTCTAGTAATTGTAAAGCAGCAGACTAGTGTGTCATGGCATGTAATTTTGGGTCTTATACTTTGGATGAATAATGATATATATGATACTTTGCCACAGCATAGCACAGCACAGCATGTTCTGAGAACAGATTAGCATACCATATTGATTTTCGTGCTAGAAAAGAGGAATTTCACATAGTAGGTTTTGATGATATCTAGTTCTGATACTTTTTATAATATAATGTATTGTGATGTGGACTAGCATCAAAAAGTAAAGCATAGGATCAAATCACATAACAGCATTTTCCAAAAAGCTATTATTATTGAGATGTATTTCTCCTGTCCCTGGATATGTTAGCAATTTAGGTTGCTAAGGCAAAGACCTGGGGGAAAAGCAAATAAATAATTTTAAAAGAAGCCCAAACAATAATCCGGATCAAATGGATTTCTCACAGCTGTTTTCATTTCAAAAAGGCAAACACAGTGCAGTTTTCTTCATCATCATTCTGTGGAAAGAAGAGCAAATAAATTCCTGGAAGCATCTTAAACTTCGGAAAACAGGATGAAGGCACTTGATGCAGCAGCAATGATGAAAAGTTTAGCCTTCATCAGCAATTTGTATGCTTTTAAGATTCATCCATGAGAGGCATTTACGGGTATCAGAAGGTGTGAATTTTTAAGATACATCAGCCAAGCAGTACTAGCTAAAACGTGCCAAAATAATAATCTAGCAGTATTAAAGATAGAGCTACATTACTCTGCATGGAGTATTTATCTCAATGAACTAATGTGCTTACACTTAAGAGAGTCTGCTATATTAACACCATCATTTTCATGTTAGCTAATATATTTTGGCTGATGTGCTAAAACTGCACAGCTCACCACAAATTAAACAACATGAGGATGAGTCCTCAGAACATAATCCCCAAATCATTAGCTAGCTGGCAAAGCTCCCATTAATGATGAGCGTTGCAGAATTTTTAACTCTTGTGCTGTGTCTTCCCCAGATTGGCTCCAGAGAGGGCATAAACATAATTCATGCCCAATATCCTTGATTTAATGCAGACTACCATTTTTTTGGACAAGGATTTGTGTTTATATTGTATAGTACAACCACCTACTGTAATTCAGGTTCTTGTGATAGGAAGAGCTTAAACAAATGCTTCCTTAGGATACAGGACGGCAGTCACGCAGATGATCTGTTTCATAAAATGGTGCTGGCATTTACATTGTCTTGTGACACCTTGTATTATCTGTAACCTGAATGAGGGCCTACTCCAGGGGTAGGGGAACTTTTTGAGCCTGAGGGCCCTTCTGGGGGCTCATGGTAGGGATGGGCAGGGCCAGCCCACCCGTGAGGCAACTGCCTCAGGCAGCAGATCTGTCCCCCAAGGAATGCATCACCCAGTGCTACTGCAATGGCTGCTATGCTCTCCTTAGAGGCTAGATCTGCAGCCTCCTTGGCTGCCACCATCCCAGTCACATTCTGCCTCTACAGAAGCTGCTTGGCACAGAGAAAGCACTGTTGGTCTCCTCCCACACCTAGGAAGGAAATGGCAGGAATGCCCTCTGGGGTCTTTTGGGCTCTGCAGCAGAGTGGACCCCTTCCCCCACTGCTACAGCCTTTGATTCTCACCTCAGCTGCTGGGTAAGGTTGATTTGACACTCTCCTCCCCCCCACACCCCCGTTCCCAATGTAAATCACCACTCATCTTTGGTTCACCTCAGGTGCCAAAATGTCTTGGGCCAGCCCTGGCCAGAGGCAAAAGTGGACAGAGCAATGAATGTAAACTTCACCTTTGTATAATAGGCTAGGATCCCTCTCTGTAACAAGGGCATGGTAGATAACACTGGCCTATCTTACAGGACTAATGTAAGGACTGCATGGATAATACAGGTGAAACAGCTTTGTTCATTTTTATTTCAAAAAAAGTATACCCTGCTTTTCACCACATCTGTTTCATGAGCTAATTACAAAAAAAGAAAAAAAATAGAAACATACAATGTATAAAATTGAAATAATACCATAGAACCATAAAACTGTAGAGCTGCAGGGGACCCCAAGGGTCATCCAGCCCCCTGCAGTGCAGGAATCATAGTAAAGTGGTACCTTGGGTTAAGAACTTAATTCATTCTGGAGGTCCGTTCTTAACCTGAAACTGTTCTTAACCTGAGGTACCAGTTTATGTAATGGGGCCTCCCGCTGCTGCCGTGCGATTTTCTGTTCTCAAGCAAAGTTCTTAACCCAAGGTACTACTTCAGGGTTAGTGGAGTCTGTAACCTGAAGCGTCTGTAACCCGAGGTACCACTGTATCTTCCACACTGGGTGTGGGGGGGAAGTAACATACTCCTCTACCTCAGGAGCCAACAGTTATGTTATTGCCACTCAATAACAGAGATGGGAGAGCAGAACCGGCCGGAGGGTAGCTGAGTGCAATAGGCCACTTTGAGAGATGGGTGAGGCCTCCCACACCTGACTTCATATGCCACTGGGCAATTTCAGCATCAAGCCCAACCTCCAAAGCAGGAACCAGGAGTGCACTTGCAATCATCACTTTGACAACACCCAGCTCCCTTTCCATCCCTAAACTGCCCCCTTCATGCCAGCTGAGCATCTCCAACTGCCTCTGACGGATAAGAGCTTAAGAAGAGGCCTTCTGGAGCAGGCCAAAGGCCCATCTAGTCCAACACCCCACTTTCACAGTGGCCAGCCAGAGGCCTCCGTGGGAAACCAGCAAACAGGATCACAAGAGCCCTCTCCCCTCCTGTGGTTTCCAGCGACTAGTACTCAGAAGCTTTGCTGGAGGCAGAGCACAGCCATGGTGGCTATTAGTTTTGCTCAGATGCTTAATCACAGTCCTAAGCTCATCCCTTAAAGCAGCCCAGGTCTAAAACAGACACAATGGCTTGTTAAGGCAGCAGGGTAGGAAAACATCAGAGAATTTATCATTAGAACGGCACTCAAAGTGCACAGGCCACCTGAAATAAAACCGCTTTGAATGCTGTTGAAATGTGCTGCACAAATGTATTAAATAAAAATACCTATATCCAGAGGTCACAAACAGTGTCCTCATCTAGTTTTACGTTGGCCAATCATGTTGGCTACATACTTAACCAAGGGACGTAAGAATATAGCCACGTGTTAATGATACGTTAAGGCTTTCAATTCACCAGGGGTTCTTTGAGTGACTATCGCAATTATTCCTTTGTAGTTTACAGCCTCTGACAGACTGAAAATATCTCAGGATCTTCTGGTGAGTATGTGTCTTTCATAAGCATAATAGCTCCATATATTTGTCTGCTCCAAATGGTAACTATTCTGTGGTAAAGGTAAAGGTAAAGGTACCCCTGCCTGTACGGGCCAGTCTTGCCAGACTCTAGGGTTGTGCGTTCATCTCATTCTAGAGGCCGGGGGCCAGCGCTGTCCGCAGACACTTCCGGGTCACGTGGCCAGCGTGACAAGCTGCATCTGGCGAGCCAGCGCAGCACACGGAACGCCGTTTACCTTCCCGCTGGTAAGCGGTCCCTATTTATCTACTTGCACCCGGGGGTGCTTTCGAACTGCGAGGTTGGCAGGCACTGGGACCGAACGACGGGAGCGCACCCCGCCGCGGGGATTCGAACCGCCGACCATGCGATCGGCAAGTCCTAGGCGCTGAGGTTTTACCCACAGCGCCACCCGCGTCCCGCTACTATTCTGTGGACATAAGTATTATAGAGTATATAAACAACGTAAGCCAAATGACAATTTAAGAAAGCACTGAACCACAATCATATACACATTATCTTTCAGACGGAAATTAAGGGAAATCTTCTAAAATCAGTGAGACATTATGTTCCATATCCATATGCTCTCTGAGCTCTTCCACATTTGAGTCATAAAATGACACAAGAATGGCAGAGAGTAAGGATGGGATGGGTATTATGTAATAGGTGTTCTTGAAACTCATGCAACCTAATTCCATGCAGTACTTGTAATAACTTGAGAATAAGCATGCTGACTAGAGGAAAACATACATTTTTCCTGAAAGCAAAAAACAAAACAAAAAACACCAGCCAGAATGCCGAGAGAGCTTTATGTCTGGTGCACCTTCTGCGGGAAAACAAAGTTGGATCCCATGTTAACACTTGAATGACAATGAGACAATTATTGTGTAATAAAACTAATGTGAAATAGACTTTCTCAGCCTGTCCACATCCCTTATCTCCTTTTTATTTATTCATTCATTTGGGACTGATTAATGAGGAGGATGTGCAGCATTTACTGTTTCTAGCACCTGATTATCCTGTCACTTCACTGAGACAAATTATCAGCTCAGGCTTCAATTCTGTGCATATGCATCAGGGATTAAATCCCACTGAGTTCAATGGGGCTGACTTCTGAGCTGACATGCACAGAATGCAATAATTGAAGCCAATGAAATCCATTTCAGATTTTAGTCAGTGTGGTGTATAGTGGTTAGAGTGCAGGACTAGGACCTGGGAGACCAGGGTTCAAATCTCCACTCAGCCATGAAGCTTACCATGGGCCAGTTAGTCTCTGTCTAACCTACCTCACAGGGCTGTTGTGAGGATAAATTGAGAGAGGGAGAACCCTGTATGCCAACTTGAGCACTTGAAGAAAGGTAGGATATAAGTGCAGTAAATAAATCACTTTTGACTTTGTGCTGAAAAAAATAAAGGGATTTAAAGAAACTTGTTAAGAATCAAAGAGGTTTTTATTCAGAATCTCCACTTATTACAAATCACTCACTACTTTAAATATGCAGTATGTGCAGCAGTGTAATCCTATGCATGTTACGGTACTTGGAAATACATTTCACTGTATTCAGTGGGCCTGACAGGAAAATGTGCATAGCATTGCAATTTTTTAAAAAATCCTTTTTGGTCCATGAGTGATATAAATCAGTCTTATTTTCCTTTCACAGCTGGTTAAAGGAGTCTGAACAAGATCCTGCCAATGCCAGCAGACTATTCACAGAGAGGTCTGAAGAACACAAGTTTTGTACAATGCGGCAGTCAGTTGCTAAGTTGCATTATCTCTGTGTTTTATGTTGGCATCAGCAATGCGGCTCCCTTTGAAAAGCTACCTTCTGATCCAAGCCAAAGGGCTGTGGCCCTACACATGTTTACACAGGCAGTTTCACATCAGGGCAGACTGAACTCTGTAGTTTGCAGCTGGAGCCAAGTCAGCCTTTGGCAGCAAATCAAAACTGTGTCCAGTGTTGAGGTATTAACGTTTACACATCTGGAGCAACAAATACTGGTGGTACTATTTGCACATCCAAAATGTTGATATGGGTGCCAAGAAGAGGTGGGCAGCTGTTCAGTGAAGGGGAAAAGACAGAATAAGCTGAAGCCAGAAGTATGGATGGGAGAAATATCAGTTCCTGTAAAAGAGCATCCTGACTGCAAACCCCACTTGTCTTCCTTCCATTTGTGACCTCAGTGAGCTTCTCAGTGGAAAATGTTCATTCTCCAAAGGAACATACTGAATTGATCCACCTAGCTCCGCACTGCTGACTGCACTGGCTCTCAGGCAGGGGTCTCTCAGTTGTAGCTGGAGATTCTGGGGTTTGAACCAGACCTTCTGCAAAGCTCTACCACTGAGCATACACATCATACACTGAAAGCACATTATTTCCATCACAGAATCCTGGGAAGTGTAGTTGGTTAAGGGTGCTGGGAGCTGTAGCTCTGGAGGATAAACCACAGTTCCCAGGCGAAAGTCGTGCACTTCGAAAGTATGGTGTGCATACAGAGGCTTTGATCATACACCCTTTGATCAGATTCTCAGAGGGCTTTTAGAATTTGGGCGCGGCTCTGTCGCCAACTGGGGATTAATCCATTTCCCAAATGCCACTATTTGCAACGCTTGGCGGCAGCTCTTTCTTCCTCGCACCCCGGGATCCCTTGCAACGCCGTGAAAAGGTTGCACCCCAGTGTCCCCTAAGATGCATTGCAGCTCGCACTTCTTGGATCATGGCATTCTGGGTCGCACTTCTTGGATCATAGGGTCCAGCCAATTGGGGTAGCAAAATACGTCGTTCTGACTCTGTGAAGCCAAGAGTCCCTTCTCTCTCTCTCTCTCGCACACACACATATCTGAAATAGCAAGCCAAGAAACTATGGCCACGACATCCCACCCCCACCCGCAGCAACCTAGCGCTGCCTCGCGTTCTGCGCCAAAGCGCGCGCAGAAGCCCCAACCTCCGCACCTAAATTCGGGCTCGCTGCAGAACTACACTTCCCAGGAGGCAAAAGAGCCGAGCGCATGCGCGCTTCCCGTCTCCAGCATGGCTACGGTGCTGTCACGGGCGCTGAAGCTGCCAGGTAGGGGGTCTGGGCTCGCCGCGTGGGGAAGCGGCAGGGGGCGAGGCTGGCAGCCCCCGGCGCACGGACTTGCCGAGGCGCCCCCAGCTCCGCGCTTCGTCATGGGGAGAGAGCATCCGGGTCCCACCTAGGAAAGGCACCCTCGCCTCCCCCCCTCCCTCGCCGCCCTTTTGCATCCGGGTCTCAGCAGGTGCTCCTCATCTCTGGCCCCAAAGGCGCGCGGAGGGGGGTGAAAGCTGCGCGGGTTGGGAGGTCGGGGATGCGATGCGAAAGGTGGGGAGTGGCGGGAGGGGGTCGTGATGATGAAGCGCGCCTCCAGCTGCTCCTGGGGGAGGAAAGGGCGAAGGGAGGGGGTCGACTTGGGGTGGAAGAAGAAGAGGGATTACTGGTCCCAGGATGGGTGGGGGATGATGGGGAAACTGTGTGAGTCAAATTGGTGTTGTTCTGCTGCCAAGGAAGAGAAATGGGAATGAGGTCGAAGCAGTCCTCTACGCTCCCCAAGGCTCCCCAGCGGTAAACCTTCGGTTTGCATCGAAGTATCAGCCTCCACTTTTATTTTTATTTTTTTTAAGTTGACATTTCACCATGAATTACATCTGTCTGAGAGTTAGACACGACCTACGTCTGGAGGAGGAAAAGATAACAAGGACTCGAACCCAGTACTGGTTTGAGCAGTGCTGAATGGGTTGCAGCTGACCTAAGTATCAGGCTTTGGCATCCTTTTCTTTAACTTCAGGATGTTTGCCTGTAATTAAACTGCTATTTTAAGCTCTTCATAGCTGAGCCAGGCAGCTCATTGTGCCACGTACAAAGGTTAATTAATAATACTTTTTTTGCATCTTGGTGTATGTTGCCCAGTGGGTTTTTTTCCTGCTCCTGTCAGACCGATTAACCTGTTTGTCGTCTTCTGCATTTTAATTGGTGCAATGTACTGACAATGAGTTGAGTCTAAGCTAAGTTCATTATATCGACAGAGCAAGTCAGTCATAACTAAAAGAGATGTCCCTTTGATTGCAGGAAAAAATCAGTGCAATTAATTTAGGCTGGATTCAACCAAATTGCTTTAAGTTAATTGAGCTTTGAATACGATTCCAAGTAAACAAAAACTATTTTCATAGTGTTTCACAAATGCTTCACATCCATCATTTAAACCATTTAAACTCTGGTTTTCACAAGCAACTTACAGGCACCCCAGATTCACATATACATATTTATATGGACATTAAAAGCTTAGGTGTATATTTCCCCCCTGTGACTCTTGCCAGTGGGGTCTTGCATATTGTTGGTGCATTTTAAATTTTAAACAATAGTGGCAGTGCCATATTTATTTTTTAAAATATGAAATAACAGAAACCAGTTATCTGCTATATTGCAGACCCATTAGTGATTTTCAAATACACAGCTATTTCAAAAGCATAAATTACAAACTAAAGTATTGGATTTTTTTTGATGTAACTAGATTGTTGTCTGATCCAGAAAAATCTTAAGCATTTGATTCCCCACCCCATGACAGTCCTATGCAGCTTTGACATCTTATACTGGTTTAGAATTTGAAAATACTTTTTCCAGCTCTGGGACTTGTGGTCTGTAAGACAAGAAGGGAAGCTGAGCTAGAAGAGAAGACAGTACATGTGACAAAAGTAAGAAATGTAGAAGAGAGCCCTGTCATCTCTTATGCTGGGCTTTGGCTAATAACTCTTCTGGCTCACTTTCCTTATGTTTGCTTGGACATAATCCAACTTCCCAGCAAAGTAGTACTCTAGAGAGGAGATGTGGCACTTTTCCATTGGTTAGTAGAGGCCATAACATTATCCACATGGCCCCATCTCAGTTGCTTACTCATCTACCAGAAAGCCTTGCTAAGGTGCTCCTTTTTTATCTGATTTAAAGGACAATGTGTTCTCCTTTGTAGCTAATGCTGTCCTTGCCTAGTAGTTAGCTGTCCTCTTACTAGCACACTCCTACAGTGGGTGTGTCTTCCCTGTTTTTGCCCAATTGTCCAATTTACTCCTGAGTCCCACCCTGAACTCAAACAGCTGCTCCAGAAGGATACCATGGTCAATGGTACCAAAAGCCACTGAGAGTTCGAGAATTAACAAGGACACATTTGCCCATCTCTCTCCCGACAGAAGTCATCATACAGGGTGACCAAAGCAGCTTCTGTGCCATTCTCCCTCTGACCACTCATCGTTGTCCCACCACCAGTCCTCAGGCTCTGAGCCTTCTACCCTACCTGGTTTCCCAGCTGCTTTCTCCCACCATATGTCTGTATCCAACCAGTTCATGACACTTATGTTATAAATGCCTTATAGCAACAGGTATAGGCAATAGTACACGTCTACTGAGTTCAGTGGGAATTGCTCCCAAGTAAGTGAGTATAGCTTGATTGTAGCTTGATTCATTTCATTTCATTTGATTTCATTTCATTTCATTTCTATCCTGTAGGCTTAGGGAGGCTTACAGTGCCTTAACATTTCTTTCCACTTGCCCTCTCTCACCTTCTTACAACCTACCTCCATCCACCTTTCCCATTAAAACAATGAATGCAAATCTTTAATTAAATGTGCCCCTCCCTCCCTTTTCACATATATTGAAATAGAAAAAGAAATCCACACGCCCCTCTCCTTCTGCATGCAGCCTAAATTCACTCCCTTTTAATTAAAACAAAAACAAAAAAACCCTGCAGCTGTACTAGATATACAGGAGAAGGGGGTTTAATTCCTATTCCTGCGCTTTTTGAAGGGAGAAAAAAAAAAAAGCTTCACAAATAAGTAAGGCAGTTGTATCTCCTCGACAGAGTATAATCGCCTTTCTTGCACACGCCTTTTTCTCATCTTATCAAGGCAAGGCAGTGCAGCAACTTGAATGAATTGAAAAGCGTTATCAGCTAAGGCAGGGTCTGCACATGCTGCAGAATAAGATTATAGGAAGAGTTGTAGCCCAGCGCTTCATAGAATTGTAGAATTGTAGAGTCAGAAGGGAACCCAAGGGCAGCGGTGGAGGAAGCCCAGGGGCGTGGTGAGCCACCCATAGGGGCGTGGTGCATCGCAGCATCTCCAAAGTCTGCCTGCCTCCTCCCACTCAGCTGCCCTACAGCTGGAGGGGGGGAGGCAGCGGGTGGACCATTTGGGCAGCACGGGGCCTGCGCACGCCCAAACCACTGCATCTTTCCCAGGAGGCCCCGCGGTGAGTGCCACCCGGCATTTTGTCACCCCCCTCAGTGGTGACACCCAGGGCGGCCTGCACCCACCGCACCCCCCCTTCCTCCGCCCCTGCCCAAGGATCATCTGGTCCAACTCCCTGCAATGCAGGAATCCTGTCCGCAGCAGTCCATAGCTGGGCTCGAACCACCAGCCTTCTGGTTAACAGCCAAGCGCACTAACTCACTGTGCTACCAGCCCTGCCATGAGATGCCAGGCATTGAACCTGGGACTTTCTGCATGCAAGGCAGAGCCTCTCTCAGGGAACTATAAAATAGGCGGGCCACTTAAGGCATCAACAAAAAAGAGAGCACAGATTTGTGTATGCTAATTTAGACATAATTACTATAATTTAAAAATGCAATGCATGTGACCTGTGTGCCTGCTCAGTCTGCTGTCTAAGTGTTAACCCTGCTGTCCTTTCTTGTGATTCTTCTATATTTAAACTGGACTTGCCTTTACTTGCCAGACTGCCCTTTGTAAAAGTCTTAACACATGATAACCCTGCTGCAAACTGCATGAATGAATAATGATCATTGTTGGCATTCATCTATCTCGGGAGACAATGGAAAAGTGTGCCTTTGTGGGTGAAGTCAAACTGTTGGAAGGTTGCACTGCAGTGCCTGCTGATGCTGTAGAGGCCGATACGGGAGAGACATGTTTTGATGCAGCTGGGGCAGATGTGCCGATGCAGATGTCCCATGGCGTTTCCTATCTATGTGTTCCTCCCAGCAGTCAATCCTTCTCTGGTCACTGCTGTGGATACACAACCTGACTGTCTCTCTCAAAGCACTGTGGTCGTGTGCAGGGGATTCCCACATGGCAGGGTTAGTGTTGCCAGCAGTCGTATCATGCTCATTATGTAAAAAACTCCATGTGATCAGAAAAGTAACACAACAGGGAGTTGGCTGGGTTAGAACTTTAGCCTTCTGTGCTTGCCTGAAGGGAAATCTCCTGGCATAACAGTTTTGAAGGGATGAATGGTTAGTAGGGAAGGGATGCACACATTGGATAATTGTTTTCAAATCTGATTTTTAAAAAAGTTTTATTTTCATTTTTTACTAGGGGAGCAATCCTAATTCCACCCACACCTCCCACCTGGGAAGGGTGACTACTGTATCCTCAATCTCGCTGGCATAACAGCCAGGGTGGAAGGAAGGGACGGGGAGATAATGGTGTAGCGATCAAGACTGGATCAGTCCCAATGCAGTCTTGAGATGGCAGTGGTGCCAGTTCAAGATCCAACAGATTCTAGGATGGCTCAGTTCTGCCCCATAAAGCCCAATTTTAGGGGGATTTGCTGGCTGTTGCCAGCAAGGAGGCTACCTCTTCTGTGGGCAGAAGAGGGAGCTCTGTGCCAGCAGAATCACACTGGCAACACTGCAGGCATCAGGAGGCTGATGGAGGCCAGCAAGGCTGGGGTGTGTGGAACATATCTTCCCCATCTACCTCCACCCTCCAGTTTGGCCAAAAGGATGGATTGCTCTGTAATTTGTAAAGTAATATGAGGTATTCACTGGTAGTCAGTGGATTGCTCTGGCTCTGGACTGCTGATATGAACCAAATCTTCTGTTTTTGGAGAGCATCATAAATCCAGACTCCGTACTTTGCTTGGAACAGGACTGCTATGCCTTCTGCCAGAGAAGTAGCTGGTGACATTAACAGGATGCAATTAGAATGACAGTTTTCAGTCTGTAAATAGTTATTAATGGTATGGATTAGAGTATCTCTTCACTCTTAGTGAACATGCAAATAAGAAAAGATATGAGTGAATGCTCAGTCAGCACTAGTCTGTAGAATAATTTTCAGATACGAGTTGAGATGGATGCTTGCCAAGTCTGGTTGGAGTTTGTACATGAAATGGGTGGGTTCCGTCTTGTGCTTTGGTTCAGGCAGCAAAGGATGTATTTGGGGTGGTCCTAGGAGTTGTTTTTGGCATCCACACCCATGCTGTTTGGCTGCTCTGGAGCAACAGGGTTTCTCGTACTAAATCTATGCTTGGTAACACGTGCCTTGAATGTGCAGGAAGTGGTAGGATGCTGGTCGAGTTCTTTGAGCCCTGGTAGAATGTGCATCAAATGGCTAACTGAAAATCTCTGCATGATCAGGGAGTTAACTTGAGGTTGAGTAAAAGATAACATGCAAAAATTTGAACCGTCAGGCTGTCTTCCTCACCTGTGTTTCATTCCAAGCAAATTGGTTATGTTAAAATCACCATAGTCAGTATGTTGGTTGGGCAGAGGTGCAGGAAGTTTACACTAGAATTAGTGACTAAGGTTGATGCCTTCAGAGTTGCCCAATATAAGTGGTCAAATGGTGTGCAGATAAAACAACTTGAGGGTCCCCAAATGTACAACTAAACAGAAAATGAAGGTACTGATTTGTGAGAATAGGAAATTGCAATCTTCTGTCTCTTTCTTTTACACACACACACTCTGACACACACTCCTAAAAGAGCCTCAACTAAGCCAAATAGCTAGCCTAAATGAAAAGGAGGAGGTAGTTAAATACATTGAAAGTTAGGGATTTTCTTTGCCACCGTGGTTGCTTTGCAAGTAGGCAAGGTATGGTTTTGTTCTTGAGCAAAAACATTGTTGTGGGGGACAGAACTTTGGCGTGCGTAGGTTTAAGCATATAATAGCAAGAGCACAGGGCTTCGGAAAGCAGAACGTGAAGGCATTAGAAGTAATTAGGCAAATTATGTTGTATCTTTTCCTTTTTTCCAGAACTGTTGAGCTCTGCCCATTCCTTCCCTTGCATTTAATCTTCAGAAATGTAGAGGGGATTCTTCCCACTGTCTTCCCTTTTTCTTTCCATTCCCCTGAAAAATTGCCTCTCTGGAAAACAGATCCTTTTTAGGGGATCCAATGATGCCAGAGTTCATTTAACCTCCCCCTTCCCTGAAACTATTATTATTTCCCCAAGTTTCTTACCTGCCAGTTTGGAAACTACAACTGGTTCAGACAGATTGCTGATGGGGAGCTGCAGGTATGGTCATGTAATACCCATCATTCTAGCACATAACTGTGCTGACTGCATATGCATTTTGGAGCCCAATTCAGAGAACTGGCCCTAACCTATAAAGCCCTGCACTGCTTAGGACCTTTGTACAGTGGTACCTCGGGTTAAGAACTTAATTCGTTCTGGAGGTCCGTTCTTAACCTGAAACTGTTCTTAACCTGAGGTACCACTTTAGCTAATGGGGCCTCCCGCTGCCGCCGCGCCACTACTACATGATTTCTGTTCTCATCCTGAAGCAAAGTTCTTAACCTGAGGTACTATTTCTGAGTTAGCGGAGTCTGTAACCTGAAGCATCTGTAACCTGAAGCGTATGTAACCTGAGGTACCACTGTACTGCTCAAGACCCGGATGCCTCTCTCAGCATGAACCTACCCAGACCCCAAGATTGTTGTCTGATGCCCGTCTCCAGTTGCCCCTCCCCAATAAGTCCAGAGGGTGGAGAGGTTTTTTTTTTTTTTGCCCCCACATCTGGAATGGACTTCCCAGTGATTTCCACCCTGCACCACGATTTTTTTTTAGGGGGGGGGGCACCAGGTTTTAAAAAAACCCTTTTCCCAGGCATTTGATGGTATGAGATATGCTGGTTCTGCCCCTTGATTGCAGATTTGTACCGTTGATGGTGCTTTGTACTGTTACAATGTTCTATGTTTGTTGGTTTTAAAAATGTGTACATTTTTAAACAATTGTGTGATTTGCCCAGAAACCATGAAGTTTTAGGTGACAAACAAACCAAATAAAATAAATTCTCTCCCCATGACTGAGAGCCAGTGTGATTATAGAGGTTAGAGTGTTGAACTACTAGGACCTGGCAAACTAGGGTTCAAATTCCTACACAGCCATGAAGCTCAAAAGGTGACCTTGGGCCATTCACTATCCTAAACCTAGCTACCTTCTTGGTTTTTTTGTGAGGGGGGGAATGGGAAAGGGAAAGAACCGGGTGTGCTACCTGGAGCTCCTGGGAGAAAAGGTGAGCAATGAATATGTATCGCAACATCTCTCTCTCCTCAGGCAAGAAGAGCCCAGACCTTGGGGAGTATGACCCTCTCACTCAAGCCGACAGCGATGAGAGCGAAGATGACTTGGTGCTCAACATACAGAAGAATGGTGGCGTCAAAAATGGGAAGAGCCCCCTGGGGGAAGTGCAGGATGTGGACTCGGATGCGGAGGTCGGGATGACGAAGCAGCACCTGTCGGAGGGTCTGGCAGAAGAGTACCCCAGCGAGGCCGCCAGTGGTCTGGAGCAGAAGACCGCCAACTCCATGATGCCTTACGTGCGCACAGCTGTCTTCTTGCTCACCGTGGTCATCTCCATGATCCTCGTGCTGGTGTGTGCTTTCCTCATTCCTTGCCCTCCGAGGGACTTGCACAATACCTGGATTCGCAACTTGGGCCAGGAGGCGGGTAAGTTGCTTCTGGAACACTTCCCTGGCTTGTGGGATGCGTGTCCTAGTGGGATCTGATGGGGAGTGAGGAGAACTGCAAGCGAATTGCAGCCCACTATCCATATGTAGAAAGCTCATGCCTAATGAAGGAAATAGCAATCAAAGACCGGTAGAAGATGGAACGAGGAAAAGATTCTGAAAATGCAAGATTCAAACATTAATTAGAAATCCATAATGCAAATTTACTTAAACATATTTAATTTAGATGCTAGAAACAATTTGTAAAGTTTTGGGCTGGGTTTCAAAGGCTCTATTTAGTTGAACATCACCATGCGTTAATGGTTAGATAACAGAACAACAACAACACATGCTTATCTTTTAAAAGTGGTTGAACCTCACATGAAAGAATTGATTAAATTTGATGATTTGAAAAGAGGAATCCCATCTGATGAGTTAAATTGCTGATTTAAGATACTTTAAGTCAATCTACCCTCCTAGGAGATTAAACAATTATCCAGCTTTATTTTCACCACAAAAAAGTAAAATAAATCCATGCTGATTTCACTTGTCCCACTGCCTATCCCTACAGCTGGTGATACTACTTTCAAATGTTATTATTGTTGTTGTTTTTTTGGAATGTGGAGTCTTTTTCTCTTTGAATCACCTTGTTTCCCCTTTAGAATCATATCAGCACTGTCAAAAGTAATTCTGTACATACTACCTTTTTGTTCTGAAATAAGCAGTTGTATAGAGCTGTGAGGTTCTAGAAAGAAGGACAAGTATTTGAAGTAAAAGATATCTTGCAGCCATATCAGGGATGGAAACAACCTTTGAAGCATCATGGCTCCTGTGTCTGGTCTCTGTTTGGCCCTTTCAGAATCTTGAACCCCAAACCAGCTCTGACATACTGTTTTCCTCTAGTGTCCTTTCCTTTTCACATAGAAATATATATTTGGGGGTGTGTGTGTGTGTGGAAATCTAAATACTACATTTCAAAAATCCTTGCTGAATTTACTCTGGATGCCTGCCTTGCATCTCTAAATTTGCGGGAACATTTGACTGACTGAAGATATTCTTTGTCATTGAGGGCAGCGAGGACACCTTGTTTTCAAAATGGGGGCCAAAGAGTATTAGAGCTCTCTCTGGACTGCAGCTGTGGCAGGGGGCAACTCAAGTCACTTATTCAGGAAGTATTTCTGAATGGACATACCCTTCGAAATCAATGACAATAACCGCAGGTTGTTAATGATGGAGGTTTCTTTAGGTCGGGGTGGAGAACTTGTGACCTTCTAGTTATTGTTGGACTCCAACACCCATCAGCCCTTGTCAGCTTGGGGAATCGTCAGGGCTGATGGGAGCTGTAGTCCAGCTTCCTCACCCCTGTTCTTGGTCATACTTGACCAACTTATCTAGATGGGAAGCAATTTCTAGAAGAGTAACTTGTTTCACATTATCCTTTAGGTGGAGTACTGTTTCCTCCAGAACTTTTTGACGTAAATGGTGATGGTCTTCCTGACATCCTGCTCTCCTTCACAGCTCTGAAAAACGCCAGTGTGTTGGGTAAGCATTCCAGATGCCCATAAGTAACCCCAAATTCAATTGCACAAGATTTCTCTTTGTTTAACATTTGTATCAGGGGCCAGCAAATTTTTTCAGCAGGGGGCTGGTCCACTGTCCCTCAGACCTTGTGGGGGGCCCGACTATATTTTTTTTGGGGGGGGGGGATGAATGAATTCCTGTGCCCCACAAATAACCCAGAGATGCATTTTAAATAAAAACACACATTCTACTCATGTAAAAACACGCTGATTCCTGGACTGTCCGCGGGCCGGATTTAGAAGGCTATTGGGCCACATCCGGCCCCCAGGCCTTAGTTTGCTTACCCATGATTTATACTATCATGCTGTACAATTCAGTTCTTCGCTTGACTCATGCTGCTTAGAAATTGAGATATCACCCTGTGAGTTTAATAGATATGATTGCTCCATATGTGATACACTTCTTTTGATTTTTTTAAAATCAGTTGCTTTAAAAAGAGAAAGCAATCCACATTCATTTCCCACTCATTTATGGAACTCAGCCTGCAAGGGCACTGTCAAGCAGAGATTTTGTTTGAGATTTATCACCTTTTTACAAGCTGTCCAAGTGTTCTGTGCTTTACCAGAGAAAGACACAAGCATATAAGATAAGGCTCCATCCCTGATCCATTCTTAGTATGAACTGAACAGTTTATGTGAGGGTTGTGCTTGAGCACATGAGTAATCCTATCCTTCATGCCCCACTTGAGCACCCAGACTCATCACCTTTAGGGCAGCCTTCCCCAACTTGGCGCCTTCCAGATGTTTTGGACTACAACTCCCATCAATCCCAGGCAGCACGGCCATTTTGAACAACAATCTCCATCGGTCCTGGTACTGCCTAGTTGAGCACTAGAAGTTGAGCAGATAATGTTACTGGTTCCATGCTGTGGAACACTTTTCCAGCGGAGATTCAGCAGGCACCCTTCTTTTGACTTTCAGGTGTCCCTTGAAGACTGTTTAATGCCAACAGGCCTATGCAGTTCTTCAAAGTGCCCATTGAGTAGCCTGCCATTTAAATGGTTGCTTGGTCCTGCTTTTAAATATTTTTAATGTTGCTGTACACCGCAGGAGGGCAGCATATAAATCCTTTCATAAGTGAATACATATTTATGTCTTGTGCTCTTGTGCTTGTGCCCTGCTTCCAGGTTTCCTACAGGCATCCTGTTGGCCACTGTGAGAACAGGATCCAGGCCTGATCCAGCAGACGCTTCTTAAGTTATAAAACAAATATAAATTAAACTGATCAACTGGATGGAAGCTGTGGAGTTGCCTTCCCCAGCTTAGTGCCATCTCACATGTTTGGGACTAAAACTCTCATCAGCCCCAGCCAGCACACTGGGAGTAACAGCTGATGGGAGTTGTAGTCTACAGGCCACCAGGTTGAAGAAGACTGTCCTAGACACTGTGAGTCTTTAGGAAACACAACCATTAAGTGGATTGGCAGGGCTGTAACCAGGACTATAGTACACAGCAGAGAGTGTGCAAGGTAGATAGTTGTGCCTCCTTTTAAGATCTGGATGGCTAATGTGTTGCCCTCCATTGATGCTGGACTACAACTCCCATTATCCCTGATCATTGGCTCCTCTGGCTGGGGATGGTGGGACCTGTAGTACAGCATCCTCCAGCGAGTCACAGGTTAGCCACCACCTCTGTAGAACTTCACATACTCTGTTCAGAAGAAGAAGAAAACCCAACCCCTGCCAGAGACTTTAAGCTGCATTTTATTTATGCAATTATTCAATATAATGAATATTTAAACATTCATAAACTGTACTTATTCATCTAAGGAAAACCGAGACAAGCAGCAGAGGGGAAAGAGCTGGAACAAATTTCATTTCGATTGATGTGGGGAAGAGGGTTTGAGGCGGGCCCTTTCCCTTGGGCCTCTGCTGCCTGCCTGAGGATGAATAAGCTTGTTTTCTTAATTATCCTATAATTGACACAGTAGTTACAAGCTGCGAAGAGAACGGCACCCAAACTTGCAACTAGTTGCACACGAGAAAACCTGGAAGTGCTCAGTCAGTGCTGGCCAACACACATTTCCTTGGAGCCTCTCTTGTACTGCAGCCCTTTCTTCCTGGGTGGTGCAATCCTGCACATGTTTGCTGAGCGGAAAGTCCCACAGAGAACTCAGGATGGGCCCTTATACATTGCCTCCCCAAAAGAAGAAATGCATGATAAAATAATGGCGACTAAGATTTGCATGATATTTCCGTAGACTAATGTTATATGCCTAGATGCCAATTTGAAAAGAATTGCTGTGATTTCAATAGAAATGCAATACATTACATCAGAGTGGGGAATCATAGATTCATAGAATTGTAGAGTTGGAAGGGACCCTGAGGATTCTCTAGTCTTACCCCCTGCAATAGCAGGAATATGCAGCTGTTCCATACAGGGATCGAACCTGCAAGCTTGGCATTATCAGCACCATGCTCTAACCAACTGAGCTATCCAGGAAGACTCTGACCAGGTCATCTGTATGCTTGCTCAATCTGTGGTCCAGTGGCTAACTGTTGACAGGCAAGTTGATTGATTGAGTTTACTTATATGACGCTTTTCTACACTGAGCTGTACCCACAGCAGCTCTGAGCAAACATTCAAAACATCAAAATACAAAGGATTGAAGATAGAAATGAACAAAATGCAGAGCGTGTCAGTATATTCAGAAATGGCAAAAATCAACAATTAAACAAAAGGAGAATAAATTCAATATTACACAACCAAATCAACGTTTAAAAACATAAATACAAAGCAAAGGAGAGTTAACCAACAATAAAGTTTCTGATACTGGTCTTGCTGCACTTCAGCAAATTACACTTCAGAGGGGAGTGGTAGATGACATACAACTTCTAGGCCTCTGTTCCTCGGTCTTCTGAGGCGGGGGTCAGTTACATTTATTAGACATTCTAGTACTTTCTGTCTCTTTTCATTCAACAGTAAAATAAAGAACAGTCAAATGAAATACAATGAAGTGAGGCATAACACAAACATAAATGGATATAATAAACCCCTAGCAACTTGAGCTTGCTTAGTTACATGTAGCCACTTGCTAAAATGCAAAATGGATTTAGCTTCCTTAACAGATTCTTAAAACCAATAGCATTAAAAAATGGAACCATTGCTTCAGAAATAAAACCTGCAATTTAAAAACGTTAGGGAGCCATAAACCATCTGATATGTGGACATGCCCACCATAATTAAAATAAAAGTTTATCACAGACATATAATGTAAAATGCCACTCATGTCACTCTGCAAGTATATGTTGGTGGTGCTGTGAAATAAATATTAATGATTAAGATAGCCAATAATTGATGTTAGCTCCTCTTTCATCTTATTTGTCTTTATCTTTAAACTGAACTTCGACCTTTCAAAGAGAGGACACATGGCCACCTTGCATGATCTAGTAATTGTGTTTAATATTGCAGCCTTAGGCTGCCGAAGTTTGCACACATATTTGAGAGTTAGTAGCTCAGTTCAACTTACTTCTGAGCAGACAGGTATAGGATTGCATTGTAAGTATCATAGGGACACCCAGCTGAACTGATCAATAATGTGATGGGGATTTGAGATTATTCAATAGCTGTATCTGAAACTGCTGATTATTCAGTAGCTTTATCAGAAAGGTGGGAGCAAAGGTAAACGACAGGTCACAAAGAGATCGGACTGCCTTTTTTGTATCCCTCCCCCCCACCCCAGGTGTCTCTAAGCCATGGGTGACTGTGATGGCCCTATCAGGAATGAATGGAAGCACCTTGTGGTCCATACACGTTAAAGAGGAGATTCGGAGTGTGCAGTGCAAGGGTGTAAACTCTGTGTCCCCATCAGAGCCTGTCTGTCTCATTACTGGGACTTCTAAATTCCTCAGCCTTCTGAGAGCCTCTTCAGGTGAGTCCAACAAGTGTGAGTGCATAATTAACAGAGAAATAGCTTGGTCACCAGAGCTAACAAAGCCATAAAATTGGACTGCAGTTGTTGGGCAACAAGTCCTTCAGTTCTTAACATTCATTTAGGCTGTAATGGGAGCAAGTCCCATTGAATTTAATGGGACTTACTTTTGAGTAGACATACCTAAGTTTGCACTTCTAGTGTAACATGGCAAGTGACTGATGTTATTTAAATACTAAGAGTCGTTATGAGGAATAATTGGCAGCTGCTGGACTTTGTCACACTGCAACCCCTTAAACCAGGGATGAGGGACCTGTTCCAGATGTGCCAGATGTTGTTGGACCACAACTTCCAGCGTTCCTCAGCACCAGCCACGCTGGCTGGGGCTAATAGGGTTAAGGTCCAACACCACCTGGCAGGTCACAGGTTTTCCATCCCTGATCAAACTATGAACGTGCTTAGGGTTGCAATATATTTAATAGGTGAATTGGCCAGATCAACTTGTAAAGTTGATTAAAAGTATAAAGAGAAGCATTTACAGAATAAAAGCTAGGGTGGCCAGATGTGAAAGAGGAGAGAGCGTTTGCACCTTTGAGGGTTGTGTAGAAGAGGGAATTTTAGAAGCTATTAAAAATAAACATGCCTTGTCCTCATTTGCATCTGGCCATACAATAGCAAGCATCGTCTTAAAGGCAGTTTCCTCTTCTTTCCCATCAGCCTTGGAATCAACGACTTCTCTAAGATGATGCCTACTTGCTTTATCTGCAAGCTGAGAAAGTATATGCATGTGTCACATAACTATTGTTTTTATGCAAATTCATTCTGTAGATTAATTGACTAAAACCCATACAGTTAATTGCTTAGAATGGCTCTAATGAGGTTGCAGCCCTCAGAAAGTACATTATCTGAACGTTGAAGGATCCTTGTTCTGTAAAGCAAAGCAAACGTGGCGGGGAAGATCACATCGTGTTTGACTGAACTCAGAGGCAGGATATCTGTGATGGGCCTCTCCAAGAAACTCATGCCGGTGAAATACTCCTGATGGGAGATGCTTCCATTTCAAACTCACCAGTTTGAAATGGAAGCATCTCCTGTCACAAATATCTCTCGCCTTGCCTTGCCTTGCCATGCAGTAACCTTGGCCAGTCTGGACCGAGAGACAGAAACTTCAACATGTTCTCTTTTCACTACGTAAGGAACACTGACAGCTGCCCTTACACCAGGGCAGCCTGTATCTCCATCTAGTCCCTCTGCTGTCTATGCCACCCTTCCTCTGCCTGGTACCTTCCAGATGTTTTGGGCGGCAACTCCCATCATCCCACTAACCATGATGGTTATGCTTAAGTCACCACGGTAGGAGGCAGTAATGCTTGTGAATATCAGTTGCTGGAAACTGCAGGAGCAGAGGGTGCTCTTGTGCTTGGGACCTGCTTGCCCATTTCCCACAGAAAACTGGTTGGCCACTGTAAGAACAGAATGCTGGACTAAATGGGCCACTGGCCTGATCCTGCAGGTTCTTCTTATGTTCTTCTCCTGGACTCTTGGCCATGGTGGCTAGGACTCATGGGGGGAGTTGTTGTTACATCCTGTATTTGATAGTCACTTTTCTCACAAAGGTAGCACAAAGCAAGTTGCAATAAAACCCAATAAAAACAACAATAAAAACCTAAAAGCAACAATTCAAATAAAATACAAAAAAAAAAGGTTAAACAAAAAGGCAGGACTACAAGTCGCACTCCAGCAAATGAGTATGCAATATCCTTTAAATTAAGGCAAGAACAACATATAATTGTTTGATTTTCTGGTATGTTGCAGACACATATTAATGCAAAAATCAAGCTGTTTACAGCACTTTGCTTCTATTTGGTGTCTAGCTGCAGCCTGAGCCTGATAAGCACCATCTGCTTTGGGCTGCAGTTCTTGACATCCAGTGACATTTGTGACATGGCAGTGACTTTGGAAGGATCTCTTCCAGCTTCTCCTTACCTCTGGCTTCTGCTAACACTGAAGTCTTCATTTGTCTGCCTGCAGGAGAACCCATCTGGACCCTTGACTCATCCCACCTGCCCAGTGGGACCTTGGCTGCTCCAGCTGTAACTGTACCAGATGTGGATGGAGACAGGGTCAGTGATCTAGTTGTTCTGGCCATCGGAGAAACACAGGTATGAGATATAATCCCATATATGCAGTGGTGAGGTAGGGAACCTGATCTGGCTCTCCAAGCAATATTTTCCGCACAACCCTGCCAGGATGCCAGTTGCCCCCTCCCTGGTCATCAGGTCACTCACTTGATTTGGGGCAGTGGGCACTGTCTGTCTGCAAGGGAGTGCGGTTGTGGATGAGAGTGTCGGGTGGCCACAACTACTTTGGGTATGCGGCTCCTGGAGAGTAGACCAACAGTAAACGTGGCACTTAGGCCAAAAATGGTTAGCCATCCCAGAAAAAACCAATATTCCATAAATGTGCTTCTTTCCCTGGAGCAAGAAAGCAGACTAAATGAAATGCATTGTTAAGAAGTGGGAGCTGCAACAAAATGTTGCAGTGTGGAGGGTTCCTCTTCACTGCTGTAGTCAAACAGCTGTGCTCTCCTCCGGGATACTCCATTCCATCCCATTCCTCCTTCCACCTAGTTTTCTGTCCCCTACATTCCATGGCCTCTGAGCACATTCAGTCCTCATTAGCCTGTTTCTGTGTCCTGCCCCCACTCCACTTAGAGGGGGGGCGGGTTTCCTGTATTTTTTAAACTTCTGCAAATCATGGGGCTCCCCCAAGCCTCTGTTGTGTGTGCTGTATATCAGAAATATGGGGAATGATACCTATCATAGAATTGTAGAGTTGTAAGGAACCACGAAGGTCAACTAGCCCAACCAGGAATTGTTTGCCCAGCGTGGGACTCGAACTCAGGGCCCTGAGATTAAGTGTCTCATGCTCTACCAATTGAGCTATGACAAAGAGTTATAATTGTTAGTTTGATTGAACGTTGATTGCATTTGCATACTGCCTTTCTGCCAGTTTGCAGTTTTAAAATACAAAAACAAATAAGTGATATAAATGTAAAGTTGGCCCTCTGGATGGGGTGGGGGAAGGGACAGTCCAACTGGAGCAGGCCCCAGTGTTGTCTTGCCTGCCTGCCTTGCTTTCTTTCCTCTCACAGAACAGATGGTGTCCCACCTCTCTCTCTCTCTCTCTCTCTCTCTCTCTCTCTCTCTCTCTCTCTCTCTGTGTGTGTGTGTGTTGGGAGATGGGGCAGTCTGACTCTCCTGTATACACACTTCTCATACCCATACAAGGCCTTTGCACCCATTGTCTGAGATGTGCTCATCCTACTTTGCCTCTTATCCTATGCCTCCCCACCACCCACCAGCAGTTTGGCTAATGAAAGCCTCTTCAGATCTTGACAGCTTTAACAAGAATTTGATGCAGGCCCCTGGCTTCACTTATGAATGGAAAACATTGTTGAATGCAGCACCACGTGACTGGTGCAGCTTTATGCACAGGGAATGGATGATAGATTGCATTGTGAGGAAAAGAAGCTCTGCATGCATGCAAATCCACCCTGACCACCCTATGTCCACTTTCTGTCTCCCATGTAGCCCGACTTGTGCTTCATCCTGGTATCTGGTAAAACCGGAATCCCTGTGGGAGGCCCTGTAAAGTACAGCATCAATGGAAATGGAAAACTGATTGGCCCTCAGGCCCACATCAGCAGCCATGGAGCAGTCTACATCCTGTTTGGCTTTGGTAAGGTGCCCTATCTTTGTAGTTGATAAATGCCCTGGAATTGGAAGAACTGCAATTTAAGGCCCTCCGGAAACCAGTAATCAAACACATGTGGAAGGCAATGAGCGCATGAAATGATGCTCCGTAACATTTGTTGCATTTTACATCTGTCTCATGGCCTGTTTTTTGTGTGCAGTGCACTGAGAGCTCAAAAGACAATATTTTATACCTGGGAAAACATTCTTCTTCAAATTGCCCATTCTGTGCTATTGTGCATAGAATATGGTTGCACTGTGAGCATGTCCATACTAATTGGATGTTTTTGTGTATGATGTAATTAGTGACATTCATCTCTGCAGCACTTTATGGCCTTGTTTAGTTTAGACTTTATTATTTATTTATTTTTCTGTTTCTTTGAAGGTTATACAAATTAACTACAGCAAGTCAGCAGTATTTTTTTTTTTTTATTCTCTTAAATGTTGGACAGTAGTAAGGCAGCTCTTTCTCTCCTTAACAACAATGTGCTCCCTTTCTGTCAACCTCTTGTTTTGTTTCCTTTTTCATTTTGATGCCTCTCTGTTATTGGACTGCATGCATAAAAAGTTTTTGTTTTGTTTATTTTTAAAGAGGGAGGGGAATGCAACACAGCCATCCCTTCATAAAAAGTCATATCCCACCCCCCAGAACATGTGAACACTATATTGTAATGAGAGTGTGGGAATAATCCGAGCGATCTCTCAAGGATCCCCAACTCTACCACTGCCACCATGCCTGTTTAAAAAGATGCAGCTAGAATGGGGCAAACCAGTTGCATGAGTGTTGCTGGGCAGGTTTGCTTTGTGTAGGGAAGATTGGTCTGAATGGCTGTCCATTGTATAGCTAACGAGAGGAGCAGATATTCCTTCTGGGAGGGGACAGGCCAGCTCTGTCTGCGTGAACTGAGACTGAGGTTTGGTGGGACAGACTGAGAGAGGCATAGAGAGTGAGAGCGATTCAAGGGGGCAGAGTTACTTTCTTCAGGAATCATGTGGCACTAGTGGACCCCCTAGAAATCTAGTGGGGCAGCGGGATCTGTTGGAATGGCTTAAGCTTAAGATATTTTCTTACACATTCTGTGTGAATTAGCTTTCATTCACACTTTTGCTCACTTCCCTGGAACCTTGTCACGAGGGGTGGTTAACCAAGTATTTTAAATAAATACTCAACCTATATTTGCAAACAAGTGCAGCCATTCCAAAATGCCACTAAGCCCCCAGTGATTTCATTCCAAAGGAAACAGACCTGGAGCACCTGTTCCACCCCTGGAGTTCTCACCATTTGGAGAATTGGGGACATGTATCAATATTACTACAAGGGGCATTGTGCAGAAACCAGAATGTGGTTGGATGATGCTTTGACTGTGGGTGTAGAAAAGGTGCGTGCATTCTGCTGAGCTGATGTTCAGGTTTTTCCCTTCCCTTTGTACCTTGGAAGACCTGATGCAAAGGAACTCTGTGTCTGCCAGGGAGACAACACTGAATCCACTGAAAAAAGGTCAGCAGGATTCTCATCCAGTGGCTGGAATATGGCTCAGGCACACTTTGATGAAACATGTGGAAAGGCCCTCATAGGAGTGTCCCTGCAGCAACCCTTGTACCTTCGCCATTTCTGAATTCGCTTCCTACCTTTGTTGAGATGCATCAGAATTTTAGTCTTTGCTCCTTCCTGTCACCTAGGTAATGTCCAGGCAGTCGCCTTGCGTGATATCTTTGCTCAAGCCAGAAACCGAGACAGCTTCCCACCAGTTCTGCAGCGTGAGGAGCCAGAGTGGGAGAAGCGCCGGTCCATCAATTTGTCAGAACTTATTGACATCTACAGGTGAGCTATGATCTCCTTTCCACCGTGTAGAACATAGGCTTCCTGAATCTCAACTCAATAGCCTGTGAATTACTTTGCATATGGAGATGGCAGGCTCTTCCATTGGGTATACACAGCTGCCAGGAGTGTTTTTCATAGCTATAATAATGCCTTGCCTTAAGACAAAGGGGTTGAAGTTGATAACCTTTGGCATCTCTACACCTTTTTTTAGATAACTGTAATTGTTCAAAGTTAAGGAATATTTGGCTATCTCTGTAGTTCAGTACAGAATGTCTTGACAGCAGAATTCTGTATGCTGTTCCTTTGGTGTATTGGTGATACACACACACACACACACACACACACACGCACATAAAAATGAATTCCTGGATGCCAAGATCCAAACTTGGGGCAAGTACTCTTTGGTGAGAGAACCCCAGCAGAGTCACAAAATATTTAGCAAAGTAAAGTGTGTAAATATAGGCTGTTAGACTTTTTAAGATATGCCCTTCCAAGTGAGTTCCAAAATTTCCCTCTTTCCCCAGCATAGGAAAAGACCACACATTTGGTAATTTAAAAATGGTTTACTTACAAACTCTCCAAAGATCAGGCTCATGTGCTTTTCTATATGCTTATCCTATTCTTTTAACACTGTTCCCTTTCTTTGTTACGTTGCTTGAAATCTGATGAATTACAAAGGTGTGCTTCGTAAGCTGCCTTGTGTTCATCTGGTGAAAATAGGCAGGGTGGAAGTTTATAAAACAAAATGACTAAATAAATGATAGAATGCAGTAATATGGAAGCCCAATCACTTCACATTTGCTCTCTGCCTCCCCCAGTGGAGGTGTTGAGTTTCTGCAGGCAGTAAAGTCTCCAGATGGTAACTGCAGTGACCTCCTTGTGACTACGGAGCATGGTTTGACCTTGCTGCGGGGACAAGACTTGGAGCCACGCTGGGATCTGAAGCAGCAGCACATTGACAGGTTACTGAGATTTGCTTTTGTTTTTGCTTGAAAGGGCTCTATCCGCAGCTTCTGCATTCTCGTATATACTCCTCCCATTCTCCAAAAGTCTGATGGAGGAGGACATCCTATATGCCATCCTCTCTCTCTCTCCAGATTGGTGATCCACAGCTGTGGAACACCCTTCCCCTGGCTATTTGCAAATGCCCACAACAGAGCATCTCAGAGCAGCTTAAAACTCATTAAGTTGGACAAGTGTTTGATCCCAGTGTTTTTACGTTTGCACTTATGGTTGCAACCTGCTCTGAACAAACACTCTGAATTCCGTATAAGTAATAAAAAGTAAGGAATGACACGGACACTGTGAAGACAAGGAACATGGGTTGGATCTTTGGTCCATTCTGGCCCTCTGCTTACTTAAACTACTAGTCAGTCTTCTTGATAGCAACACCAAGATTATGGGAGTTCCTCCTTTGGGAAGCCCAGTTGACTCCAGTGAGAGGTAGGTGGGGAATTGCCCCAAATCGGGATCGTTACATGAGTGGTGCAAGACTCCTCTGCCTGATTCAGGCTATTCTCCCACTGCAATCCTGTTAGACACAGCCCACAATGTTCTGGAGGTCCTTCCTCAGAAGTCTGTTTGGGTGTTGCAGGAGAAGGAGGGGGACAAAGCTGCTTTCATCTCACACAACGTTGACTGCAACCTAGTTGGATCACTGTGGGCCATGAAGTCTAGACAGGACAGCAAGAGTCACAGTGCTAGCAGCATTTGAAGAGGTTTTCATTTTAGCTTTCACACAGCTTGGGACATTTCAGTGCACACAAAAGGTTCCATTGTGCCTGGTCTTTGGGTGAGTGTGCACATGTTCACTACTTGATGATGTGCTCATGGGAAACTGCTGCCACAGACCAGACGCCACAGGTGATAGCTCTCATGCCACCTCAAGCACGATTGTTTTCAACGGAGGCTGCTCTCATGTTTATGAATTAGCGAAATAAGCAGTTTGCTGCAGCCAGTGTAGTGCAGATATGAAGAGCACCAAACTACACTCCAGGAGTCCCGGGTTCAAATCCCCACTCAGCCATGACCCTCATTAAGTGACGTACTCACAACCTAACCTACCTCATAGCATTGTTGTGAGGATAAGATGGTGAGGAATGGTAAAATAAAAATACAATTAATATTACAATCAGTGGTAAGCTTCTGCAGAGCTCACGTGACTAGGAGAAATTTATATTGGTTTTCACGGGCCTATTGGCACATTTTTAAAGGTCTGGAGGATGTCAGGATAGTTAATGAAATGTGTGCATGCAAAGAATGAGGGTAATAAAACTGCATGCTTTCAGGGTGATGAACCAATTACATCAGCTCAGAGTTTTCTCTCATTGTGTATGGTTGGTGAGTAATTGGTTTTGGAAGCCTGCGCTCCATTGTCTGCCTTTTTCCTTCTCTTCTTCCTCTGCTGCATCAACAAATGGTCTTTTGCCCATGCCAGAATAGCACACTTGATGGATGAGCAACCTGATCTCTTTTGGCAAAGCCTGGGTGTGCAGGAATGCAGATGAGTTCCGGTGAAAGGAAGTGTTGCCTCTGAGGGTGTGGATGGGCTCATTTTGGATGCTTTATTTGGCGCTCTCTCGTTTTGACGATTGTTCTCTCCATTTTCTTGCAGCCAGCCTTCCCCAGGCTACTTCAGTGATGATCAAACCTTGGACTTCCTGCTTCAGGCTCAGATGGCAAACAACATCACAAAACAGGTACGTTCACTAGCACTCTAGAGAACAGCACAGTTCTGTGCATCTTTACATGGAAGAAATCCTAACTCTGTTTAGTGGGGCTTACCGCCTGGTACATTAATATAGGATAGCAACCTAAGGATGACACATCACAGTTTTGCTGTTAGTAACAGTATCAGGAGGTAACAGCTGCAAGTAGTTTACAAGTAATGAGCAAGGGGAATCGACTGTTATGTGCATTATGGAAGGTAAGGGCCAAACTAGACTATGCATCTTTGCATTTAATGGGTACGTTTTTCTAAGTGCAAATAGCAGCCCCTGAAGGTCAGGGATTGAAAATCACTCCACTTGAAGCTGCTTGCTTGTGCTGGAAGGAAATTCCCCACTGGTACCAACGGGGGATCTTCTCCCAGTGCAAATAGCAACCTCACAGAAGGGATTTTCACCTGAACCGCAGTAGATGTCACATCTGATCCCAATAATCACCAGCCCCACAAGTCCACACCACTGGTTGCTATTTGCGTTAAACAAAAACAAATCTATGCACATTCAACACAAATACACATTTAAAATTACATCCATTCTGAGCCTGAGTTCATAGATTGAAGTGGACCATTTTGGATTGCAGGTTAGAGGGACCACCTTTTTTGAATGCAGAAAGATTATATATTAAAATCCCTGCCGGATGCTCCTCATAAGCACAATGTGAGAGGGGTGGAAAGCTCTTCGATTTGGGCCTCCAGCAACAGCTAATCTGCTAATAGTGCCTCTGAATATGGAGGCTCAATTTTTAATCCTTGTGATTCCAGATCTTATTTTTCTTTTCTCCTTTCCCTGTCTCTTTCCATCTGTTGGACTCTTGGGTTCTTCCTTTTCAGCTGCTAGTGGTGGATGGTAAATCAGGAGAAAAGATCTGGAGCTCTGAGCTACCATGTCACATGAAGAAAACAGACGCCCTCTCGGTGATGACTTTGGACAAAAAATCTGTCTTTCTCTTCTGGGCTAATGAGAAGCAGTCTCTCTTAAAAAGCTTGGTAAGTGAGAGCCCAGCTCCCCAGGTTAGAGGAGGCATTGTGTAGGGGTTTCGTTTCCGACAAACAAAGGGGGATGTGGCTTTAGTCCATTGGCCCTGGAAGCCAGGTATGCTTGTGGACAGGCACACAGCCAATGAGGAAAGGCGTTTTGCAGGTGCTCATTGGCATTTTCCTTTTCCTTTTTAACTTCACATATTTACAGGACTCAGCCCTGGTCTGAAAATAGGTTTTTGGGTGGCGCTTGACACAGGTTCAGCCTTGTGCAGTACGTGTGTGTGTTTTGATCCTCTTCAATTATCCTGGTGCTCAGATCTGTCATCGGGGAGAGGGCTGCTATTGAACTTACATGCATGGTTGATTTTTCAAATTCCTGCTACCTCTGTAAGATCCACAAAATTAGAACATTGTCGAACAGGACCTGTTTGTCAGGTCCCACACAGTCTTACTGGGGAAAGCTTTGGTACAGTGTGTTTATGCAAGAGAAGGACACATCACGAAGCAAATGAAACAGTGCTTCTGGGAGTGTTTACAAAGGCTTAGGTGAGACCTTCTTGTTGCCATTAGCCAAAAAGCTACATTGTGCTTAGAATCTACTACCTCCTTAGCTGCACAAATGCTTGGTCCATTCTGTCTGCAAAATCTGCATTTGTGCTTGCTATTCATCCAGCAGCATCCATGTGGCTCTCCGATTGGATTTCTGCATTGTAGCCAAGCCTCCTGGTGTCATGTAAAAGCACTGCTTCTTTGGGTGTAAAGGTCATAGAGAGACTCCACTCTCCTTTAAGATGTCTCTGTACTGCATTTTGAGAGTATGCAAGAGTCTGTGCATAGCAGAAAGATGAGATCTTAGCCTGTGGAGAGAATCACTTACAGTGGTGCCTTCACTTACATTCTCTGATCTCCGGGATGTCTCTTCTTAACACTGGCTGAGTTTTACCTCCCAGTGGTCGCACCAGATAGCTGCAATGAGCATGGAAGACAAGACTAAACAATAGATGTGTGAGATAACTCTATGACAGGTACGTCCAAAAGATAGAGCATGATCTACTGGTAGATCACTGGACGTCCGTGGTAGATCACTGGTAGATCACTGTCTCCCCCCCCCCCCAAAGAAGCTCCACAAGTTTGGTTCCCTTTTTTTTGCCCTCATCTCTAAAAGCTCATCAACTTGGACCTTAACCCCCCAAAAAGGGGGTAGATCACTGCCAGTCTTTAATTCTGTGAGTAGATCACAGTCTCTTGGGAGTCGGCCGCCCCTGCTCTATGAGATAAAGCAGAGACCTTTCCTGGCACCAGTTTTCATTTAGTTCCCACCTTGAAAATCCACTGAGTTCTACTTGGGTGAGATCAATATTACCATCCATGTTAACTTCCATGAACCAGTGCTAACCAGCAGGTAAACTGGCACTCCTGAAAGCATAGGTAGGTATAAGCCTACACCAGACATGGTCTCAGACAAATTACTGCCTCCCAGCTTCAGCTCTCTAACTTTTAAGAGCGTATCTAAATCACAAACGGCTAATTCTTATGGTTTTCCCCAAAGAAACCTGGAAATTGTAGCGAATGAAAACAGTAACCTTATACTTCTCACAGGCATTGTAAAGCTAAGGGAGAAGATGAACATGGTTTGGTGCAACTTCCTAAGTGGTGGTGAAATGCCGTGGGCTGGTTTTAACTGAAAGTTAAGAGGAGTATGATTGCAATGATGACAAATGCAGTGGTTGAGAGGCCCCCACGACAGAAAGCAAACAAACCCCAGAAATTTACGGAGGAAATGGATGATTCATGACTTTGTCGTTGTTGTTGTTGTAGGAGCCCAGCCCAAGAGTTCACCATCTTTATCTCCTTCATCCCAGTTTCCCTACAATCCTCTTGGACCTGAGCAACACAACAGGCACAGTGACTGCTTCATCCAGTAAGTATGCACGGGTGTAGGGAAAAATAAACACACACACACACACACACACACACACACACACACACAGGTCCAAGTAGATCAGGCATCCCCAACCTGTGGCCCTCCAGATGTTTTGGCTTACAACTCCCATCATCCCTAGCTAACAGGATCAGGCGTCAGGGATGATGGGAATTGTAGTCCTAAACACCTGGAGGGCCAAAGGTTGGGGATGCCTGAAGTAGAGACTTAATACCTTCCCAATTTATGGTGGGTAATGGTGGTTCTGCTGTCTTCGTTTCTAGCTTGCTCATGGGGCTTAAGTTAAAAATTGTTCTGTGTATGCCTACAACTTGGCTGATAGCCTAATAATAATAATAATTTATTATTTCTACCCCACCCATCTGGGTGGCTCCAGCCACTCTGAGAAAAGTGGGTTGTGTAATTTCCCCCTGTCATCTAAGGCAGGGTGAGAAACCTCAGGCACTAGGGCTGAATGCAGCCCTCCAGACCTCTCGGTCTGACCCTTGCAACTCTTCCTAGAGCCATGCCCCTTTCCCAAGCCACACCTTCTCTCTCTTGGCCACACCCCTCACCAGCCCTATGCCACACTCTCAGGGAGTGCTTTTGCCTGGATGGAATATGTCCTCTTGCTTGCCTAGGTGGAGGATGGTGGGGCGTGTGTGTGTGTAAACCTCTGGTTTTTGTGTGGCAGAAAACAGCCTGTTGTATAAAGATAAAAGTCCTATCCATTGCTCCCCTTTTGCCCCTGGTCCACCTGCCACTGACATGCGGCTGGTTTTCTAATTTTTATATTGCACTTGTAACTTGCCACTTGTAACCGTGTTCGCTAGAGCCAGAAATGCTGGTTGCGGCTGCAATCTTCATATCAGGTTCTGCAGAGACATTTGTATTCATTGCAGAGCTCCACACCGCAGAGCACTGTGATTGGATTTTTTTTCTATAAGTAGAAGCCAAGCCCCTGCACAGTTAGAAATAGCCAGTGGAAGTTAGCCTGGTCATCTGATCTGAATGCAGTTAATTGCTTAATTTGTGAGCACACCCCAGTGTTTCCTTTTCCCTTTGCATCTGCCAGTTGGAATCAATGATCTTCAAAAAGACGCATTTTATATCACCGTGACCACAAGCCCCACCTCTGAGCACCAGCCAGGGTTTCTGTCGGTCAGTAAACTCCGCCTGAGGTGGGCCCTGATGACGCAGAGCCGAGAGGTACCCCTGAAGGAGAGTGACCCCAAAATCAACCGCGGGGAATTGAGGCGATTTCTCTCCAGGATCAAATTCACTGATTTTGCTCACAAGGTGAGATGTTTTGAAGAGGTCTTTGGTAAAGATGTGCACGTGAGAGGGAGGAGAATCGAAAGGGCTGCCCTTTTGCAAAGAAAGCGAATAGCAATGTCTGATGGGCCTGCTTGCTTCTTTCCGAAATGAAATGATTCCCACAACTGATTCTTTTTTCCCTGGTTGCACAAATCACAGCTAGATTCAAGGCTACATATGAGGCTAATGCTAGTGACTGATGCCAAACCCCGATGTAGAGAGATGCTGGGCACACTCCCCCCTTGCATGCCCCCCCCCATGCAGATTCTGAGTCATAAGCCTTTGTGTGCTTGCTCAAGCCTGACTCAGCTTGGTGCAAAGTGAGAGGAGGTCCTGCCCCCCCCCCAACACACTGTTGCTGTTCTAATTGATTTGACTGTGCCTCACTTAAAGCCTAAGGCCCTGCAGAAACCTGCAGGCAGCCTCGCTGCACCCGACTGACACCCATTTTCTCCCTCTCTCCCCAGTTCTAGCCATTTGCTTCCTCGGGCTTTCTGAGCAACGTGACAAAACCGTGGGCCGCGATATCAGCAGGCCAAGGTGGTTAGCCAGACTTTGTGATGCATTCAGTGCGTTAAGGAAGGAGCCTGAAAGACTAGCTGCTACTCACCCTTGTGAATGGCCACCTAATGCTGGGAGGCTGGACTGGCGGTGACCCTCTGGCATCCTGACTTGATGGAATACTGCTTGACCTGTTTGTTGCTGCTCCCTGCCTACATCTTTCCTTCTGGGTAGATTGAACATACAAATTTATGCAGAGACACTAGAGTGTGTGTTTGTGTATATATATGTGTGTGTATATATTTATATATTGTATTTTTAATTTATGAAGTGTTTCAGGAAGCTCCTACTTTATCTTAAATGCATAGCAACGTACTCTGCATAGTGTGGCCTTGGCTCATAACTTTCATTCTTTGGGTTCTTTCAGTTCTTCCTTCTCTTTTGTTTTAGGACTGGGCAAAGATGACCCATGGCTCTCAAAGATGGAGTTCAGCTCCCATCAGCTCCAGCCAGAGTGGTCAGGGATGTTAGGAGCTGTAGTCCAACAAGATCTGGAGGGTGTTGGGTTATGGTCATTGCTGTGTCCCGTTCAGTTCTTCCTCTCTCCACCCCACATCTCCCAAACCTGAGAGGCATTGTGCCCTTTAGTGCTGAACGATTGCATACACTCCTACCTTTTGGTCAGAGCCAGGCTGGGTTTGGTGCTGTTTAACTAAAAGTCTGTGTCCCATTCTCAAATCTCCCTTTTTCTGAACCATGCTGGGATCACCTGTTCGAGGGTCTACCGTAGTTTCGTATAACCAAAAGATAACAAAGCTTCCATTGCAGTGCTCATGTAGATTTTCTGTAGTGGCACACAAGCAATGCCTGAAACATTCCATGGGCTTGCAATGTCCTATACTTACTGCAACCCTACTAAGAGTGGTCTCTTTTCAAGAAGGGTTCCAACATCTGCACAAAGATGTACGATTAGCATTGAGCTCTGCCTCTGGCAAAAACAGGCCAGCAGGTGTTGTGACCAAGTCACTAGGAATACCCAGTTATGATGTTTATGTTTAGAAGCTATTGTTGGCTAGAGTATACATAGAGCATCCTATGGGAGCATCTCTTACCTAGCAGAGGGATGTATGTAATATACATTCTCCACCCTATGGAACAGGAGTTTGTTTAGATAGGCTTATCTTTACTTTGTCAACTGGATTGTGTCCAAAACGCAATTTTCTCCTGAATGTGTTTAGTCTGCCCAGTATTCTGATTGCAGGAGAACCTCAGGCTGTGTTGTTATAGGCAACTCTGTGATTCATCTTTGTATGTGGGAAAACCAACTATGTTCCTGGAGCAATGCACAAAAGCTCTGAAACAGCTTCTTCATTAACACTCCCTTCCCTGTGTTAAAGTTGTCTAAGATATTCCTCTTTTCTAGCTGGGAATAAAAAGCCTGTTCAGATTTCCTCTCTTTTTGCCTGTTGGCAAAAATGGTTTGTTTTACATGGCACAAGGCTCCTTCACTCTTTCAGCCATATCCCATAATTCAGTTATTTTCTTCAGCCGTGAAATTAATTAGACCAGGAGCAGTCTGCAATCTGATGTACTTGACTGTTGCTCTGCTGGCTGCTTTTGCACTGGGAGATGCAGCTGCAAATAGGAGGTAGCAAATCAGAGTGAGCAAGCTTTCACATCCTTGTTGTAAAGTTTCCCTTCCCTCCACTATATTTTCCTAATGATTAAACCACTGATGCTGGATCAGGACTAGTGCTGTGGTAGCAGTGAGGGAGAAGCCACTCTTGTTGGCTCCACACAAATTACAACCTGTACATAGCCATATTGCATCTCTTGTAAATGTCTCTTCTTCCTTAGCTTTCATCATGATACCAATCGGAGGCAGGGCCTCATTCCACCTTTCCCCTTTTAATCCCCGAGCTTTTGAAGAGTTTGTATAAGTAGAATAGGAGTCTGAGTCTATACTTTTCTAAATACTAGCACAGCGCATAGCACTTGTCTTCCCCCTGCCGTCTCCTAGGCGTGGCCCTTGCTTAGAAATAAAGGTAATCGCTCAAGGCATACAAATTGGTTCTAGAGTTTCCTCAGTAGGTAGAACTCCCATGCTCCTCAGCCCTAGCTGGCAAATGTTGCAACACCCCTACTTGAAATGGTACATGCCCTCCATTGCGTCCTTTAATGCACCCACTTGGTTTGTATTGCTTGGTGACACTGGGCCTTCCATAATGTGAATTTTCCCCCCTCCACGTCTTGTGTGCACTTTAAATAACAATCTTGTCTGTATATTATTTGAACTGTGAACCATGATGGGATAAATAAAAATCATGTACAGCACATTTCTGGTGTGTGACTTGCTTTTCCTAGCTTCTTTGAGCAAATTGAAGAGGACTCTGGGAACAGAGTGAATTTGATAGCTTCTGGCAAGAGTCCTGCTATGAACAGATGTACAGAATTTTCCTGGTGAATCCATCATGGTGAGCATGCACACTGCACTGTGACACCCACACAGACTTCTGCCCACACCTTGAGCAGAATGGTGCCTGCTGCTGATTGGCTAGTCTTTGTGACCCCTTCAGGGACTGGGCCTGGTTCTTATGGTACCCTTTCACACAAGTAAGGCATCGAGAGGGTGATAGAGAGGGAACCATCTTTGGAGGGAGATCGGGTGACTAAACATGAATGGAGGCGCACAGGTGTGGGAACATCTTCCCATTCTTCTCCCTCTGGAATGTTGTCTTTTTGCTCTTTTTAAGTTTTGCCTTTTTAACCTTTTTATTTTGTTATCTGACGCTGGTGTTTTACACCTATGCCACTTTATTTATTGCATGCAAGTTATGTCCATAGTTTTTTTCAAGCTGTTTTCCATGGCCTTGGAATCTTCTGGTGAAGAGTAGTTAAGAAATATTTAAAATAAATACATTTGGAAACTCTCTTGATTTTAAAAATGGGGTTTATCGGGATGTTTTGGGTTGAAACCAACCAAAAGAATTATTAAACTTTCTTTGCATCCCCCCACTCCCTTCTACCTGGATGCAAATCTTACAAAAGTTATGATGGTTAGAAATTGTAAACAAGCAAAGAATCATTCATTGTGGAGGACTTGCTCATTCAGAAGTTCCAGGGTTTTTATTAAACAGAAATTTGATTTATTATGATCCAAATGCTGGCCAGTGCTGCCGTGTTTCAACAGATCAAATTAGTCAGGGTGGACCTCGCTGAATCTAAGGCAGGGATGCCAATGCCTTCTTCATACACCTGCATTTGGCATCAAGGTTTACCACCCTGCAATATTTCCCTCCAGAAAAGTGATTTACAATCCCAAATAAGCAAGGAAATTCGATTGTGCTGTTTAATTAGCATACCAAGTCCTGTGCACATTGCAGTTTCCTTTGCATCAGGGTTAGATGCCGTCACTCTCTTCTGTGGTTCGACATCTCAAGGCAACACTTCCTGCTGTGCAGCAGTGTTGAGCTTCAGTGCCCTGCACCTCCTCAGGACCAAGCTGGATGTGATGGTACTCCTGTTGTTAGCTCTTGCGTGCCTGCTGTGTTCTATTTTTAAAGTGGCAAAAAAATACTTGGGGGACAAGGGTGGTCCAGATGGTAATCGTAGCATGGTGGGGTGGCTTTTGCTGCTGCCATCATCACACTCTAAATTCACATGCCTGCTATTTGCAGTGGGAGGAAGGCTTCCATTGGGAGCAACAAGAGCTATCCTCCCCGTTGCAAATAGCAAGCATTAAGCCCCCCTGATTTGGAGTGAGACTGTGACCAGAGCAAAGGCTTCAAGCACCTTCCCCTGCATGGACCCCATTTGATCCCCCTCCATGGCTATTCATGTATTTTAAAACCCAGTCCCAATGTAAAGGCCTGAGTAACATCCCATTTCCTATCTGGCTCATAGTGGCAGAGCACAGACAGACGGGCCCAGTCTCAGTCCCTGGCACCCCCAGATACCTTTGGGAAATACCCTTATTTGAAACCCTGGAGAGCTGCTGCCAGCCAGTGTGTGCAGACAGCGCTGAGCAGGATGGAAAGAGGCAGGTTCCTATGGTCAGATGCATCCATGTCAGTGGCTGCCTAGCTCCCACCCACATTGAATTCCCCAGCAGAGCAAATGAAAAGAGAACCTTGAGGGGAAGAGGCTAAAGCTTGGTTTAGAGCTCTCTCTCTCTTTTGACTGTCCCACCGAGCCCTCTCTCTCTCCCCATCCTAACAGGGATCCTCCCCACCAGATTTCCCCAGGACCTCGTTCATTTCTAGGTCGGGCTCCCTCTGCAGCACCTTCTGCTGCAGCTCCGAGTAGAAGTCGACTCCTTCGGAGACGGAGTGGAGCAGCTTTTCTCGGTGCGGGTAGAAGCCGCCCAGTGGCTCTCGCTGTTGGTACTGAGGCGGGAAGAAGCACTGGTGGTGCTGGGACTGGTCTACCATGAGGCTCCCGTCACAGGCTTTCTGGTGGTTGCGCTTGAACTCCAGCACGGTTTTGGTGTATGTGTTCAGGGTGGTGACGGCAGAGGCCATGCAGCAAGTAAAGGAGGCCCAGGCCATACTGAAAAAGAGAAACAGACAGGAGAAACAGGGGGAGAAGAAGGGTCTTATTTGTGTCTTTTCTTCTGATAGTTAACAATGGCAGATGGATAAAGTTACAGGATGTGCACCGCTTGGAAGCGAAGCAGTGTGAGCACCCCAGCAGGTTTGCAGGTGTAAGCGGGCTCACGTGTGACTTCCCCAACAGCATCATGAGCACAAATTACCATGAATGTGCAATAAAAAGGACATGGATGGGTCTATATTAAGTCAAACCAATAGTCCATCTGGCTCTGGTGCTGCTCCATCAGGACCCTGGGCAGACATCATGCCCAGCTTTCTACCCAAGATCATTTAGCTCATGACCTACAGCTCTGCAGATGCTATTGCACAACACCTTCTATAATTCTTGGGCATGCTGGACTTCCGGGGTGGCGCCATCGGTAATGGCGGACTCCCTCTGATCTGGAGGGACTAGCTCCATGGGAAACGGGTCTTTTCCGCTACGGCGAAGCAAGTACCCTTTCAAAAATCACAGGCGGATGAAGCCCGTGATCATGGGACTCGGCGGGCACCTTTAGCACCCCCCCAACCTGCAAAGGAACCCACTAACGGGCTCCGGAGCGAAGAGGGGGAAGTGGCGCGGTGCTGAGAGTCAACTGCTTCTTCCGTGGAGCGAAGCCGCACAGCCGTTGCCGGAGAGCGCTGCCTTTTTCCTGGGACAATTTGGCTTTTAAAACAATCACCCATGAGTACTTAAATTTCGGACAATTGGACTCTAAATAAGGATTTGCGAGTAGAAGGGAAAATTGGACTTAAAAGTTTATTTTAATTTGGCACTGAAACGGGAAGGTCTAAACAGGAAGTCAGCCTTCCATTTCTTTGTAGATAGATTAAAGCAAAGACATGGCAAACTAGAGTTCAGAAAATCGCTTGTAAAGGATTAACTTTCATCATTTAAAATTGTTGAACCCCCTTCGGAAGCAGGAGAAGAGGGGGGATTTTTTCCGGACTGTTTAAATCTGCAGAAGTGAGTGTAAAGCAAAGTAACTTTCCACTGTCTTGATCCTGGAGCGGGGTGTCAGGACTGACGTTTTTTGAAGCTCATTGACCAGAGACAAACGTTTTTGACAGATAGCTAAAAGAAGAGAAACATAGTGATTCCATTGTTCCCCTTCGCATTTTAAAGGAACAAATATTGACAAAATATCTGAAAAAGGAAACTTTGTTGTTAGATCTGTCTTTAAAAGAAAAGAACAAACAGAAGTTCTTCCCCTAGAGGGAGCCTGTGAAACTGTAACCAATTCTGAATCGGGGAGCTTGCAGCTGTTACAGATTATGATCGTGGGAATAGACTTCTGACCTTGCAGGACAATGCATTCAGAAGCTCTGTTGTGTGCTTTCTGTAAAACAAGTGCCCTACTGGAACAGCTACATGAGAAGACGGACTTGATGACTGATGCGATCAGAAATTTTGGACAGGCAGTGGGAAATTATATAGAGCCCACCCAGGAATCAGATCAGGAGTGTGCCCTGACAGAACAGATGAGGGAAGAGGATGTTGCTGAATCTTGGGCGCCAGAGATGGAGGGAGCTGTGGCCCAGCAGGAACATGAATTCTTGGATTTGACAAATGAACTTGGAAAAAGCCAGACTTGGAAAGATAAAGTTTGGTTTGGTCTGGAAATGGGGGGTTGGATAGACCCCCCTATGCAGGTATGTTTGGACTTTTCAAGTCTGGCAATGGGCCGTGAGATGTTTGGGGTTGTGGGGGCTCTTAATTTTGGAGGGACTTTGAAATGTTCTTAAATACCACATGGAGTTTAGTGTGGACTATGGAAAAGGGGCTGATTTGTCGAGAAGGGTCAAAAGCATTGTCAAGCTGGAGTTCCCAAGAGTGAAAGGAGCAGGAGATAAAGGAAAATACAGCTATAAATATGAAGAGCCGCGGAAGGGATATGGAAGGGACGTAAGGGCCTCGGACATAAGATTACCAGGTTAATGCGCTAGATTGATGGGAAGGAATGGACTGACAAAACCCGGGACCAGGAGGAAGAGACGCTGGATGAAGATTGGATTGTTTTTTATTTTTTTTATTAGGATTGTTTTATAAAATTGATGAATGTTAGAAAAATGTTGGAACGAAATTATTTGGCTTTAGCAAAAATGTTTAAAGAATTATGTAAGAATATTATGGTTATGAGAAATTGGTAAAAATAAGATTTAAGTTTTAAGCTTTAAGGTTTTTTTATAGTAAGATAAGATTAAAATAAATTAAGGTAATGTAATGACAGAATATTATGAAATATGGAAAGGATTTGCTGCGACAATTAATAACTAGGATACAAAAAAAGGGAGGAGGAGGAGGTCAAAGAAAGAAGGTAATGACAGTTAAGGATTTGAGAATATTGGATTTGTTTTTAAATGTTTGTGGTATATTTTTGTTTTTTGAGCATGTTGTGCTATTTTTTGATTTTGATTTCTATTAATCTGTATTGTTTGATGGTGGTTTGTTTTTTCTCTCTCTCTTTCTTCTTTGTTTTCTTTTGTAATTCTAAAATTTTCAATAAATATCATTTTAAAAATAATAATAATTCTTGGGCATGCTGACGGTGGCTTCTTGGAGCTGGAATTCGAGAGCATGTGAAGGCCACAAATTCCCCATTCCTGACGTAAGCTGAAGTTGGTGGGGATCAAACCATGAGCTGTCTGCAAGTGCTCTACTGCGGAATTACGGTCCCTCTTCTCAAACTTGATCTGCCCTTCGATACACCAATCAAAGGACCACTTCGCTTGATGACAGCGCATATATTTTACAGAGTACTGCATACTGTACTTGTCTCACAGCTAGGACTAATTTTAATTCATGTGAATTACCCCTTAGTTGCGGGACGTGGCTGGCGCTGTGGTCTAAACCACTGAGCCTAGGGCTTGCGGATCAGAAGGTTGGTGGTTCGAATCCTCACGACGGGGTGAGCTCCCGTTGCTCGGTCCCAGCTCCTGCCAACCTAGCAGTTCGAAAGCACCCCAAAGTGCAAGTAGATAAATAGGTACCGTTCCGGAGGGAAGGTAAACGGTGTTTCTGTGCGCTGCTCTGGTTCACCAGAAGTGGCTTAGTCCTGCTGGCCACATGAACTGTACTCAGGCTCCCTAGGCCAGTAAAGTGAGATGAGTGCCGCAACCCCAGAGTCATCTGCAACTGGACCTAATGGTCAGGGGTTCCTTTACTTTTACCTTTACCCCTTAGTTACCCATGTTCAATAAATTAATTCACAGCGTTTACAAAAACCCCAGCCCACCAAATCATTCTGGGGTGATTTAAATACCTCTGGAGAACCATCTCTTGCTTGCAAGGCCCAGTTCTGGTCTGTCCGCCTTTGCGATGCTTCTCTGTTTACTGACATTGTACTGACAACTTGTCCCTCGCCCCCTAGTTTGTTATTAAGGATGAAGATCACAGGGCTTTTTGTCTGCGGTTTTGGGCTAATAGCCAGGACTGGCAGTTTGCTCAACACTCAGGACTCTTGTGGAGTCAGCTACACAATTTACACGTGATTTTGACAAACCTGGCAAATGGCTGAGAGTTGGTGAAAATTAGGGGTGTGCAATACTCCACTGGAATAACTCTGTTTCCTTGGCTGCATGCAAAAGTCCTGGTTTATTTTTTGTTGCACTTGTGTTACACTATTGCCCCTCCAGGCAGCAACATGTGGTAGCATTGGGGAGGCATCTCAGAAGAAACTAAAGGAGAATAAATTCACCCACCGCTAATGCATTATTGGGTCAAGAACATGTTGCAGAAGACACCTGCAATAAAAGAGCAGTCTGGAGGGGCCCGTAAAAGTAGCTTTCTATGTTATTGGGTTGTTACTCTTATTTTGATTATGTATTTTGTGGTTTTATATTTTGATTTTATTCTGTGAACTGCCCTGAGACCTGTGAGTATAGGGCAGTGTATAAAATCAATCAATCAATCAATCAATCAATCAAGTGTTAAGTGTTTTGATTTGTTTTTAAGAAAAGTGGCAAACATATTTTAGTAAATGAATATTGCACATACTAGAAGGCCCAACCATAGTCCCATGAGTGTGGTCTCCAGTCCTCTGGCCCCAGGTTAACAGTTGCCTGGAAAACTTGGCTGTACATCATGTGAGCCACCATCCCCAGTAGGCCTATAGAGAAAGGAAAGAAGGTCATCCACCCAAAGCCACAATTCAGATGGTACAAGAAACATTTGTTTGATGTTCTTAGGAAATTCTTCTCTGATGGGATTAACATAATTCTATTTTTTTTTTTAAAATATTTATTCCAATTTTAGGATTACAGAAAAAGAAAAAAAGAAAAAAAAGAAAAACAAATCACATACATCCTACAAATCACATACATCCTACAAAAAAAACACAAAATACAAAGAAAAATACACAAGACAAAAAGTCACAATAAAATAGTAACAAAAAAAATCAAGTTAAATCATTAGAACCGTTTTCCCATTTACTTATTTCCGTGACTTCCTCTCACTTCTCTGCTTTGTATTCTAGTTCAAATCGTATCATAATTCTAGCCTCTAATGCCCCTCTGTTCTCAGTCTCTCCCCTCTTATTTCCGTTTTCTGTTGCATTTTTCTCCATCCTTTCATTTGTGGGGAAGGTTGTAGCTCAGAAATAGAGCAGCTCCTTTACATCTGGGAATGTGCACCATCATAAACTCTGAAGAGCCGCTTCCTGCCAGTGTAGACCACGGATAAGGAACCTGTGGCCATCCAGATATTTGTTGGACTCAGACTTCCATCAGCCACCAACCAGTGTGGCTAATGGTCAGGGAAGTTGAGAGTTCTGGCCCAACAACATCTAGAGGGCCACAGGTTCCCTATCTGTGGTGTAGATCATATTGAGCTAGATGGATAAATAATCTGACTTGAAATAAAGCAGCTTCTCACATCTCATTTCCCTTCACACTCCCAGCTGCCTTTGCCCTGCTTATGTGTGCTCTTAATGAATCCCCCCCAGTTCCTCATCCATGCCAAAGTGGGAGAGGCACTCACCTGACAAGACAGAGGAGACAGCAGCAAAGGCATTGAGCTTCAGCCCACAAACTGGGTTCCCTGTGTACAACATCTCCACCAGCAGGAGGATGAAACTAATGAGCAGCAAGCTTATGTAAATCATCTCTGATCCAAGCGACAACCAGAGGATACCTATTGTGTGCAACCAGAAAAGACAAATCAGTCAGGGATACAGGCTGGCAGAGCTGAAGTCTGCTCTCTTCCTCTTACGCTGGAAGGCAGCCAAACCAGTAAGGTAAACATGGCAGATAGACTGCATTTATAAGTTGGTAGGTTGCAAGACGTGCAGGTAGGATGGTCACCCAATGCATCACCAAAACAGATAATATGCATTGCCCCATAAATAAGACACAGATTTGTATTCAATTTGTGTTTGCTACTCTATTTGTATAGGTGCGAATTTAAAACAGGGACCACAGTTTGAAGAGAAATAACATACATCTCACCGTGGAAGGAAGACTGTGACCAAGTGATTTGTGCACCCACTCAGTCTCCTGCCCATGTGTTAACTGGTGGTGGACAACTCGTCTTATAATTCTTTACCTTTAAACCAGGTAGGCCTTCAAATAACAGGACTTCTTCAAATAAAGAACCATCCTTTGGGGTGCCTCAGGGTTCTGTCCTCTCCCCCATGCTTTTTAACATCTACATGCAGCCGCTGGGGGAGATCATCAGGGGGATTGGGCTGGGTGTTCATCAGTATGTGGATGATACCCAGCTCTACCTCTCTTTCAAATCAGAACCAGTGAAGGTGGTGAAGGTCCTGTGTGTCTGGAGGTGGTTGGAGGATGGATGGCGGCAAACAGATTGAGGTTGAATCCTGACAAGACAGAAGTACTGTTTTTGGGGGACAGGAGGCGGGCAGGTGTGGAGGACTCCCTTGTCCTGAATGAGGTAACTGTTCCCCTGAAGGACCAGGTGCGCAGCCTGGGAGTCATTTTGGACTCACAGCTGTCCATGGAGGTGCAGGTCAATTCTGTGTCCAGGGCAGCTGCTTATCAGCTCCATCTGGTACGCAGGCTGAGACCCTACCTGCCTGCAGACTGTCTCGCCAGAGTGGTGCATGCTCTAGTTATCTCCTGCTTGGACTACTGCAATGCACTCTATGTGGGGCTAAGTTTGAATCATAGAATCATAGAATCATAGAGTTGGAAGAGACCACAAGGGCCATCGAGTCCAACCCCCTGCCAAGCAGGAAACACCATCAGAGCACTCCTGACATATGGTTGTCAAGCCTCTGCTTAAAGACCTCCAAAGAAGGAGACTCCACCACACTCCTTGGCAGCAAATTCCACTGTCAAACAGCTCTTACTGTCAGGAAGTTCTTCCTAATGTTTAGGTGGAATCTTCTTTCTTGTAGTTTGGATCCATTGCTCCGTGTCCGCTTCTCTGGAGCAGCAGAAAACAACCTTTCTCCCTCCTCTATGTGACATCCTTTTATATATTTGAACATGGCTATCATATCACCCCTTAACCTCCTCTTCTCCAGGCTAAACATGCCCAGCTCCCTTAGCCGTTCCTCATAAGGCATCGTTTCCAGGCCTTTGACCATTTTGGTTGCCCTCCTCTGGACACGTTCCAGTTTGTCAGTGTCCTTCTTGAACTGTGGTGCCCAGAACTGGACACAGTACTCCAGGTGAGGTCTGACCAGAGCAGAATACAATGGCACTATTACTTCCCTTGAACTAGATGCTATACTCCTATTGATGCAGCCCAGAATTGCATTGGCTTTTTTAGCTGCCGCGTCACACTGTTGGCTCATGTCAAGTTTGTGGTCAACCAAGACTCCTAGATCCTTTTCACATGTACTGCTCTCAAGCCAGGTGTCACCCATCTTGTATTTGTGCCTCTCATTTTTTTGCCCAAGTGCAATACTTTACATTTCTCCCTGTTAAAATTCATATTGTTTGTTTTTGCCCAGTTCTCTAATCTGTCAAGGTCGTTTTGAAGTGTGATCCTGTCCTCTGGGGTGTTAGCCACCCCTCCCAGTTTGGTGTCATCTGCAAATTTGATCAGGATGCCCTTGAGTCCATCATCCAAGTCGTTGATAAAGATGTTGAATAAGACCGGGCCCAAGACAGAACCCTGTGGCACCCCACTAGTCACTCTTCTCCAGGATGAAGAGGAACCATTGATGAGCACCCTTTGGGTTCGGTCAGTCAGCCAGTTACAAATCCACTGAGTGGTAGCATAGTCAAGACTGCATTTTACCAGCTTCTTTACAAGAATATCATGGGGCACCTTGTCAAATGCCTTGCTGAAATCAAGGTAGGCTACATCCACTGTGTTCCCTTCATCTACCAGGCTTGTAATTCTGTCAAAAATGAGATCAGGTTAGTCTGACATGACTTATTTTTCAGAAATCCATGCTGACTATTGGTGATCACAGCATTCCTTTCTAGGTGCTCACAGACTGTTTGCTTAATGATCTGCTCCAGAATCTTCCCTGGTATTGATGTCAGACTGACTGGGCGGTAATTATTTGGGTCCTCTCTTTTCCCTTTTTGAAAATAGGGACAACATTTGCCCTCCTCCAGTCTGCCGGGACTTCGCCTGTTCTCCAGGAATTCTCAAAGATGACTGCCAGTGGTTCTGAGATCACATCTGCCAGTTCTTTTAATACTCTTGGATGCAGTTCATCTGGCCCTGGAGACTTGAATACATCTAAACTAGCCAAGTATTCTTGTACTATCTCCTTAGTTATTCTGGGCTGTGTTTCCTTTGCTGAATCATTTGCTCCAAATTCTTCAGGTCGGGCATTGTTTTCTTTATCGGAGAAGACTGAGGCAAAGAAGGCATTGAGGAGTTCAGCCCTTTCTGTGTCCCCTGTTTGCATTTCACCATCTTCTCCTCTGAGTGACCCCACTGTTTCTTTGTTCTTCCTTTTGCTACGAACATACCCATAAAAGCCTTTTTGTTGCTTTTAACCTCTCTAGCAAGCCTGAGTTCATTCTGTGCTTTAGCTTTTCTGACTTTGTGTCTACACGTGCTGGCTATTTGTTTGAATTCCTCTTTGGTGGTTTCCCCCTTTTCCATTTTTTGTACACATCCTTTTTTAATCTTAACTCAGTTAAAAGTTCTTTAGATAGCCACCCTGGCTTCTTTAGGCACCTTCCATGTTTCCGTCTCATTGGTATTGCCTGAAGTTGTGAAGGTGACCCGGAAACTACAACTAATCCAGAATGTGGCAGCTAGACTGGTGACCAGGAGCGGCCACCGAGACCACATAACACTGGTCTTGAAAGACCTACATTGGCTCCCAGTAAGTTTCCGATCACAATTCAAAGTGTTGGTGCTGACCTTTAAAGCCCTAAATGGCCTTGGTCCAATATACCTGAAGGAGCGTCTCTACCCCCATCGTTCTGCCTGGACACTGAGGTCCAGTGCTGAGGGCCTTCTGGCGGTTCCCTTACTGCGAGAAGCCAAGTTACAGGGAACCAGGCACAGGGCCTTCTCGGTAGTGGCACTCGCCCTATGGAACGCCCTCCCACTAGATGTCAAAGAGAAAAACAACTACCAGACATTTAGAAGACATCTGAAGGCAGCCCTGTTTAGGGAAGCTTTTAATGTTTGATAGACTATTGTATTTTAAAATTCTGTTGAAAGCCACCCAGAGTGACTGGGGAAACGCAGCCAAATGGGCGGGGTATAAATAAATCATCATCATCATCATCTACACCCAGGGACCCAGTAGGAAACCCAGGGATCCTGTGCACAGGCCTGCTCTGTTTATTTAGCAGCCAGACATTCACAACACTCTAATGAAAGACCAATGGCTCAAAAATAGCAGCCCTGGAATGGAAATCCACACAAGCCATTAGATGGCACCCAGACCAACAACACAGGTAATTGGAAAGAGCAGGATCTGGAAACCTAGTCAGGAGGAGCGAAAGCCAAATTATAAGATGAAATTAGGAGTACAGAGGCTTGAAGAGAAGGGAGCACACCAGGCCTGAGGACCTTAAACATGGAGGAGTTAGAGTAGTGCACCATTTCTATCAGCTAATTGCCATACCTTTTAAGCTACATGAAGCTTGTTTGAGCCTTTGGGTAGGCATGGAAGGGAAGGCCTGTATTAGCAATATGGTTATATGAATCCTAATAGTACTGAAAATAAGTTCAAATAAATATCACAGAGGCCTGCTGATCAGAGAATGACCAACATCCATCTGCTTAATAAAGAACTCTGGGATTTTTGGCAGGTTTCAACTTATAGTAGGTTGCATCCAGAAAAAAAACACCTGTCTGAATTTGGTTCTCATTAAATTCAATGGAATCTTAGTCATGATTAACTGTGTTGTGGATTTCAGTGGGATTTAAATTCAATTAACTTTTGACCCATGCCTAATAATAATAATAATAATAATAATAATAATAATTTTAGACTGCTCAATGCTAGACGCTAAGCATTTACTCAGGCTTTCTCAGATGTTCAAACATGTTGCTTAACCATGTTTTCATTGCTGTTTTAGTTACCAAACCCAAATAAATCCATGTTATTTTTACGGGCACTTTTGTTAAAACTGGAGAAATGAGAAACCGGAAAAAGAAGCCAGAAGTCTCCGCATCAAAAGTCATAAATCAGAAGCATGTCATGAGACAGAAGTGCTTTTCCAAAAAAGTAACAAATGGCAAATATCCAGATACAGCTGTTCTTGATCATGGGATCATGCCCATTCTAAACGTTGCACTGGTCCAAACCAGTCTGGGGTGGGACTTATTCCTACCTCTCTCTGCTGGAGGTGAAAGCTCAATGAAACTGCGACATTTCTCATCTGAAAGAAAACAGAATGGTAAAATTATCCCAGGAGCTGCAGGAAGGAGAAGTCAGCTCTTAAATCTAGATTATAGTGTTGACATTGTTCAATGTTTTTGATTGCTTCTGGGCTATGTTCTTCTATGTTCTAAGAGTAAACGGATGGCTGCCATTGGCTGTCTCTCCAATTCTCAGCCCTATGCTGTGAGGTAGGCAGGAGAGGGGAATAATATCCATTTGAAATGCAAGAACCATCTCCAGTTTAGAATACTGATCAGAATGTACGCCAGGCTTGGATGTGGCTGTGGCTAATGGTTTTGTTTATTTTTGCTTGAGGGCCACATTCACCCTTGGTCAATCCTTGGAGGATTCATGACTGATTGTCCATCCCCCACATACTCACAAATACACACACACACACAGAGAGCGAGAGAGAGAGAGAGAGAGAGAGAGAGAGAGAGCTCTACTTCCCTAGTTGATCCTTGCAATCAATTAACTTTTCATTCAAAATCTCTCTCTCTCCATTCAAATGTCCACCCACCCCTATATGTTCACATTAATTTTTGTTCTTTTTGCTGCTGGCTGAATTTGTTCAAGTCTTGAGCCTATTCTAGGGGCCAGAGTAGCCTCGAGAACTAGGGCTTAGATCCATGGTAGTTCACTGGATGTCATCTGAGATATGTGCAGTACAGTCCAATCTTATGTATGTTTGTTTAGGAATAAGTCTAAGATCTATAGATTCATTTCATTAAGTGTGCACAGGATTGCAGTCTTCTTCTCAAGGTGAATCTTCTGAAGATAAGGCATTACTGTAAAAACAGAATTCAGGATAAGATAGGCCTTTGGCCCGATTCTGTGGAACTGTTCTTATAGGTCCTCCATGTGTCCCTATTTTCCAGGGACAGTCCTGGATTTACAGAAGCCATCCTGGGTTCTGATTTAACCCTGGAATTTCCCAATTTTCCTTAGGACATCCCTAATTTCATTGGAGAAATGTTGGAGGGTATGGAGTTATGGAGATAAGTAACTATATAACCTTCAGAAGGCAGCTGAAGTTTTTTAAATGTTTAATGTTTGATTATGTTTTTATATACGTTGGAAGCCACCCAGAGTGGCTGGGGTAACCCAGTCAGATGGGCAGGGTATCAATAAAATTATTTATTTATTTATTTATTTTATTATTATTATTATTAAACGGGATGTCCCTGTTTTCATTGGAGAAATGTTGGAGGGTATGTTATTATGTTCACAACATGCATCACCTGTTCAATACATTGGGAAAAACACAGAAACAAACTAACACCAAAAGCAAATCTGGGCATCGGTCAGTTAGTTCTTTTAAATGTGAGTAAATTTAAGAATTCTCATTTCTACTAAAGCAAATTCCAGGAAGTAAAAAATTAAGGGATTAAGATGGATTTAAAATGGCCAAGTGGTAGCCTTGCATATGTAGTGTCAACAATTGCCAAGTCTATCTGTGGTTTTATATCAGGCTATAAACAAGTGTCCAATCTGTGCGTCCTTTGCTGCAAAGTCCTTCTTAACTATATTGGTTCTCAGGCTTCTGGTTCTGCAGATTATATTCCCCAGATATAGGTTTGCCTTTTGAAAGTTATTTTGTCCTCTCCAGCTGAACACTATCTTGTAGGTTTTCTTCCCCACCCCCGCTGCCTGCAAAGCTAATCTCTCCAGGTCCCTTTGTATCATTTTACCCAGCTTTTTGGTGTTCAGAATGCCTCCCCATTCTGTGACAGCTGCGCATTTCATTGAGACTCTGTGTACTACTTCATGGGCAATTGAATAAAATTGACCCTGCTTACTCATACCTTGTTCCTGAATGCATTATGGGAGTGTAAAATGTTTATTTCAGTAGAGCTTGCTTCCTGAAGAGCATGATTATTTGACATCGGGATTTTATGGGGCTGGTTCTCCTCCCAGGATGTCACAAAAACCTCACAATGAGGGAGGAAAGCAAAGTGCTCTAGAGGTAGCTGTTTGGGTCCCATGTTAGCTGGATGACAAAAATGGGAATTGAACTAAAACCATATTAAATTGGCCCTCTTCTTACTATAAGAAAAGGATTGATGAACTGAGCAGGAAACATTCAGATCCCACAGTCAGCACAATGCAACAGATTCCCCTATCTTCATAGTTAATTTTGAGAAGAAATGTTTTTTTCTGGTATAATGCTATAGTTCCTAAATCGAGTTTGGTGCAAGTTTCCATGCAGACCTTTATTGCTGCAGTGGCTAACCTGTGGTTCTCTATATGTTGTTGAACTGCATTTCCCAACATCCCTGACCATTGGCCATGCTGGCTGGGGCTGATGGGAGTTGAAGTCCAACAACATCTGGAAGGTCAGAGGTCAGCCCACCCCTGCTGCACTGAAAAGCTGGCAGCCATACTCATTTCCTGGAGACTGAGGTGGTGTGCAATAATATGAAAGGAAGAAGTCCTCATTCCCAGCTTCACCCTTTGACTGACTGCCTCAGTGGGAAAGCAAAGGCAGAAATTCCTTCTCTATTGGCTTGGCTGGGATAAATTGCCATTTGGCTCCTCCGTTTCCAGAACAATTTCTCCCAGAGCCATCCTACCTGGTCGTTATGTAACTTCATTATGCAACAGTATGAAAGAGTCAGTACCTTTTGTGTTATGTCTCTTGTGTTATGATAAAATGTCAATCTCCTTAAGTGCTTCGGCAGAAAGGCAGTACATGGAAGTGAATGAATGAAGAGGCAGACTAGAGAGATTACCTGAGCCTTCGATGTTCTCCTCGCAGGAAAGCCACATGCCTGTGTGGAAATACCGGAAGGCAAAGCGATCGTCCCCGGTCTCCCAGCTATAGTGCACCACATCTTGGGAGGGTGCAGAGGAATTGCTGGCCCCTCCGTCAGGAGGCATGGGGACACCAATGCACTTGGTGTTCTTAGTCTTCCCGCACAAAGGCTTGGGGACTTTCTGTGTCCCCACACACCAATAACTGCCCAGCAGGGCTGTGGTGGAAAGGCTGAGAGCCAGCAGGTTCAGGACCACTGCCAGAACAGCCCGACGCCAAGGGAGGATCTTCAAAAGCTTCATCTGCAAGAGGCAAGCAAGATAGTTCCCTCAATTCCAGGGATTTATGAATCATAAGGAAATAAAGCAATATCAGGGGGAAACATTTCAGCTGTGATGCTTCAGGAATTGTAAACTGCATTCAGCAATATAATGGACAGTACAATATAAAGGAGAGCATTCCTGGAAGAAGACCTGTCACATGTACCAGAAGACCTGGGGAATCTATAGTCTACCATAAATTGTTGGGCTACACCTCATGTTGTCCCTGAGCATCGGCCATGTTGGCCACGGCTGATGGGAGTCCAGCAACATCTACAGGACTACATGCTCCCATTGCTGACATACATGGGTGGAAAGCCGAGGGCCCAGAAATACGCTGCCTTCAAGTGCAACAGACATACCAATAAATGTAAACAATAAAGAAGCCTCTCTCTTTTTAGCTACATATTGTCATGGACCAGCCTGGGCCCCATGATTTTACACAAAACAAAAGAATTGCCGTGATGTTAAAGTCAGGAGCACTTCAGCCCTGTTTTTGAGTGTCTGCCCTGTTTTTGAGTTTGTTTGAAACTTAAAACCTCAATTTCTTATCACTACTGCTTGATTCTCTTAAATAGGGCTATGTTTAAAACTTGTCATTGAGGTTTTCATACCTTTTTTGTAAACCTGAGGAAGCGTTTCAGCCCTGCTCTTGAGTTTGTTTGATATCACTTAAAATCATTTAAGGTTTATGATTTCTTTATTTCCTTCTGAGGAAACTGATTAGTTCAGTGAAACGAGCTTTGTGGCCGGCATCTCGTAAAGTCTTTGTTTAATTCTAGGTTAACTTTTCCTTAATTTTTTTTGATTTTTGTTATTTAATTCAATTCTATAGTCGATTACTTCTCGTTTCAGGGATTTTCACGGCAATTCTTTTGTTTTGTGTAATTTCTTGGTTCCATGACTGTCTTTTTTTCACTGGGCCCCATGATTTGGCATACACAGAAGGCATGGAAGAGGGTGCCAGCAAAGGCAGGGGACGGGGGGACACTTCAGGGGAGGGGAAGAGACTAGCACTGAGGGCAAACATCACCCGGGAGAGGCTTGCTTGGGGGGAAGTGACTGCAAGGGTGAAGAGTGCCCTATGCCGAGGTGCCAGGATGAGGCGGATATGGGAGACCTGGAAGAGGGCGGCAGCGGCAGCAGCAGGGACTGGGGAGTGAGCAGGGGACCCGAGGGGCCTGATCCAAGCAAGAAGGGAGTCCAAACGCCCCCTCCCTGCACTGCCGCTGTCAACTTGAGCTCATAGGCGGGCAAGGAGGGAAAAACAATGCTGTTTGCCTAGATGAGGAAGTGAGTGGCTGTGTTCATGTAGTCAGCAGCCTGGAGAGAAGGTGGAGAGATTCCTGAGGAAAGGCTCACAGCCTTGCCTGGCCAGGCTAAGACGGGGCTGTCGCTGCCCCTGTAGCCGATTCAGATTGGAACCTGCCCTAATTGTAGTGCCCTATTTAAGGAAAGGAGAGGCAAGCCTCAAGGGTCAACACAACACTCTACAGGGCAGGCACAAAGAGGAGGAGTATTGTGAAGACTAAGGGGGTGATGTAGGGCATTGGAGAGCAGAGGATGGAGTGACCCACTGGGTGAAGGTGCAGCAGAGACGGCTGGGGCCAGGTGCACAGTGAGAGGAAGCAAGGGCCCTGAGGAACAAAGCACCACTAAGAGCAGCCAGATCGAGGCCAGGCACACGCTATGTGTGTGTAAGTAACTATCTTGGACTTGGCACTGGACCACCCCATCTCAAGCCTGCACCAACAGCGACACTTATACAGTGGTACCTCGGGTTACAGACACTTCAGGTTACAGACTCTGCTAACCCAGAAATAGTACCTTGGGTTAAGAACTTTGCTTCAGGATGGGAACAAAAATCGTGCAGCGGCAGCGGGAGGCCCCATTAGCTAAAGTGGTACCTCAGGTTAAGAACAGACCTCCAGAACGAATTAAGTTCTTAACCCGAGGTACCACTGTACAGTTCACACCTTCTTGCCCTATCTAAATGGATAATAAACTTCCTTGTTCTGTATGATAACAGGGATGGTCTCTTCATGCAATTAACATTCCATTCTTTCAATTGCACCATCAGGTTTTGAGCAGACAGGCAAAGCCCATGCATGCACTTGGAGCAGGCTCCCCACCGCATTACCTTTGCTGAACACAATTTGCAACATCTGAACCAAGCAGGACCATTTCAGATCACACCACAACAGGCAGAGCCACCTCCGCCCAAGGTACATACTCATTCTACAGGTTTTCAGTATTCGTTAACTTTTCAGCCCTTCACCCTAAAGTCTGGTTGCCACCTTTATGCATCAGTTTATGATTTTTTAAAAAAACCCTCAAGAAAAATTGTCAGCATATTAGTGTGCATATCTAATAAATACATTTTGTCAGCACTATTTTCTAATTCAATGCAGTTTTACTTGTTGCTTTCATCAAGGGATGCATTTGTATCCAATTTTCCCCCTAATACATACATTTGTCTGTGTGTTTGTTGCTGGAAAACTGCACTGCAACATTCACAGAAGTGTGGATTTCAAAAGGAAGCCGCATTTTGGTTTCTTGATTGTTTCAGGAATTGCAAAGTAGGTGGGATCACATAGTGAACTGAACCAAATTTCTGTACCATCCTGAGTTCTGCGAACTCCATTGAGTTAACTTATTTTAGAATCCAAGGCATCTGAAAAACCTGTGAGCATTATCTACCCTTCCTGCTCCCTGATCTTTTCTGAGGCAGCCACGTGTTTTTGCATTCCCACCCAACATTGCTCATGCATTTTTGTACAGGAATTCTGCACACACGCACGCAAATGCACACACACTGAGAGAGAGAGAGAGAGAGAGAGAGAGAGAGAGAGAGAGAGAGAGAGAGAGACTTTAGAGCCAGCAGAGTCCAACTGAGAACCAGAAGCCAATCACAATCTATGTGGAGGTAGGAAGGAAACCCCTCTGACTTGAGGGTTGCTACTTACACATTACTGAACAAGAGAACAAAAGAGACCCCGGTTTGCATTAAAATCTGCCTGTGCTAAATTATAAGTATGTATGCAGAATTTAGAAATAATTGCTTTAATTTCGATAGTAAACACATCTCACCATTGTGGGGAAGACTGTCACTGGGTGGGATCTGTATGCCTAGTCATGTGCTTCATTCAAATAAAGGCCTGGCCCCTGAGAACGCTTCAAATAGAGGGTGCCTTGGATAAAGTAGGGCACATGGCCACTCTAGATTACTTCCCTCACTTGCAGACTGCCTTCTCTCCACTGCAACAGTTTTATAACATACCAAAGCATCATCAACATTATATTTCTTACCCATCCTTCACTCTAAGTTTCTAGAGTGGGTTGCAATAATTATAGCACCTTGCAAAGTATGACAGAGACAATTACCTTTCTGAAGGCTTTTCCAGTTGCTGCAGTTTAATGTGCAAGCTGCACTGAATGTCAGGTTCTGGGATTGCCTTGAATTCCGCACATCTTCCAGCTAGGTTTGCAGATGTCAAACTCATCCTGACCCCCTTACACCTCTTCCTCCTCCCTTTACCCACCCACCCTCCAAAAAAATCTCAGACGCCCCCTCCCTTCAGACTCCTCAGTGATTATTAAATGCTGCCCATCCAGTCAGCAGCTGTTTTGCAGGAAATGGGCATTTTATAATCCACAATGCAATCACAGCACAGCTGTTCCGGGAGATTACGGAGAGAAAGATTGGTATTGCAGGCTGGGATTAAGCATAAGAGGTGACCTCCATTCACTGCAGGAGGAAATCTTTCAGGGAAAACAGAGCTGGAGTCATTCATGACCAGTGGCGATTAAACTGGCAACAGTTCAGAATGAGTTGGTGGGCCTCAGCTCAGGTGTAAAAGGCCCATGGCACAAAATCTGGGGCAGCCACTGATGCTTCTCCACAACTTCAGCCTTACCAAGATAGGCAAGGGGTGCGAGTGGTCAGTAAAGACAAAATGATTTTTCATATTGTTATTGTTTCATACGTGATGCAAATTTATCTACATCTCTTCAGTCATATGCCTGAATATGCAAATGCTGAAAATGTGTATGGAGGGGTAGTCCCCCATCTGTTGTATGGAGAAAGGCTGCAGGGGGCTTCTGCAAGTAGAGCTCTCCCCGTGGTCAGGGTGAAACAGGGTCCACGATCACACGGAGGTGTCTACTTACATTTCAGCAAAAGTGAGTTGAAACCCCATGCAGACCTTCTCTAGGACTAAGGGAGGTGCACTGTGTGCAAGGACATTGGAGGTGAGGTTTGCACACCTGTCCCCATCCACACTTCTACCATTCAAGTGTTCAGGTGCTCTGATCAGACACCCCTAGGGGGTTCAGGTGCAAGAGAAGACAGGACTCTGCCCAGAGCTGTGCTGAAGAGCCGAAATCCCCTTTTGTTCTACACAATTTTTAAAAGTAAGTGCAGGAGGCTTCTCTTCTTTTGCAGCTGGCTACCTTAGATCCGGGTCATGTGAATGGCGGGGGGTGGGGGGTGGGGAGAGAGAGAGAGAGAATGACCACATTCCAAGGACTGGAAATTTGGCACTGTTGCTACTTTAAACTTTCTGATAGCATTTCATTTTAATTCAAAATTTCTAACATGAGGCTTGGAGCGAGAGCACGGGGACCAGAGAGCACACAGCTGCACAAATTGCCAGGTGTGCAATTTAGTTTTTGTTGGATTACGCAGGATTAGGAAGTCCTTGAGGTAGGCATCATCCCTTACATAACTATCTAACTGGAGTAGGGAGTGTTTTTAAAATTGGTGTACTCAGTGGAGGACTGATTAATTTAATGTCCCCCTGGGGAATCAGAGCAGCTTATTGGTTTCTGGCACTGCAGCCGCACCACTAGAGTAGGGCTGAGGGATTCACAGAGTCTGAAATTTTACCCTAACCCTGAACTAGTTCTCTTGAGGCTACTTTAACTCTAGATAATATAGACACGGGGGTTTAGTATTCTATTTGCTTTGATGGTTTTCCTGTCTCTTACCCACATATGCACAGATCCTCCTTGTCCACACTTATCTAACACTTGAAAGCACCCTCAGCAGAATGACCTGAATGTGTAGGCTGTTGCATAAACAAACTCTCAAATGCACAAAGCCTCTACATTTCCAGTGGACCCTGGACCTAGTGCTATGGGAGAACACAGGAAAATGCCTGTTGGATCAGACCAAAAGCCCATCTAGAATAGCGTTCAGTCCTCACAGTGGCCAACCAGATGGGGAACTGCACTACATTTTTCTGCACTTTGATTTGAACTCTGCCAAGACTTATAAAACTCATATCTAGGAAAAGGAATACAAAGCAAACAGTGGCAGTTATTTATCCCAACAGCAGGTGGCACTCCTTACTTATAATTCTTTCTGAGGGGTGGAATCCCATTTGCTCCAGTTTTTGAAAATCTCCTACCACTGGAAGGGTAAAAGAATCTTTCCTCCTTTTAATTTTTTATTTTTAAAAGGAACAAACAAAAACATTTGGAATTCTTTTTTCTCTGAGTGCATTTTACCCCCTTCTCCTCCCTCTGTGACTATGGAATATTTGTGATACCACCCTAGAATTTTTATATAATCAAACCAATTATCTTGAAAATGCCTGCTGCATCATCTCCCTGCTTTTGCTGTGTCCATCCACCTAGAATTGGGCTTTCACAATATACTTGTTTTGAGAGACAAAGCCCAAATCCCTTATTCTTCATTGTGCCCATATCTTGCTGCTCCCAATTCTCTTCCTAGTTTCATCTTCTGCCACTTTCCACTATCTAAGGTGATCCCTTGACATATTAGCATGATGATTTCAAATATGAAAACAATGCGCCATTCATCCCTTTTCCATAGATAAGCATATCTACAAGGGATATATCTTATTTTGGAGGGTGGGAGGGAGGACAGGCAGGCAACTGCTGTATTAACATTTGGTATCCAAGCATATATATTTAAGGTCATGGTTAAGTTAGGCTCAGCATCCCTTATGCATGATGATTCAAACACTTGATTCCTAAAAATGCTGGTAGGATCTTCCTGTACTCACTATCAATTGAGGCAGATAAAAAGTTGCCCTGGGGGTAGTCAACTATATGAGGGAAAGTAATGCTGAAATAAAGTTCAGCATTTCAGTACTGCCTCTTTGCACTGTTCGCATTACCGTGATGCTACATATGCCTATTCAGGTCAAGTCTCAATGAGTGATACTTAATGACACCGAGTCAATGTTAGTCATAACGCAAGGAGAGCCATGCAGGATCAGGCCAAGAGCCCATCTGTTCCAGGATCCCATTCTCACAATGGCCAAACAGATGCCCCATGGCAAGCCCACAAGCAGGACCCAAGTGGTCTTCCCGGGTAGAGATGAGATGTGCTGAATCGGCAGCCCTGCCCTCCCAGTTCAAAGGGCAACACCCCACCTGTGACTCTCAAAGATGGCACAGCTCTTCATAGCTCCTCACGGGGGGCACAGGAGGTTTCTTCCAGTGGTGCTTCAATGATGAGTCCTTGGTAGCAGCCCTGCAAAGAGATGGGGGACTTCATCACAAACAGGAACACCAAGACAGGACAAGGCACAGAGAAATGCAGAGAGAGAGAGAATCAGCCATACCCAGGCAGCTTATCCGATGAGGCGCTGGTTACATCCAACCCTACAGCTTCTCTTTTTTGCCCACTTGAGTTAAAAAAATTCCCAGGAGATGGTCCTTTTCACTCTTTGGCTTCTGCAAAGGAAGTATCCTTCCCAGGGCAATAGCACCAAGACTGCTAGACCTCTCAAAGCTGGAGACAGACTCAAATGACAGTGTTTTTTTGTTTTGTCTTTTTGCTTGAGCCCTAAGTAATTCCACTCAGATTGTAACCTTTATTTAGCTCTTTAACCCTTCCTTAGCAGCAGTATACGTGGGATGCGCATTTTTAGCTGGTAACTACATTTGATGGGGAGACGTGATTGGCTTTCACAAATCCCCTACTATGAAAGGCATCAAACCCCTCCGGAGATTTTAAAAATAGGAAATGACTTAATACTGGGTATTAGAAAGCTCTGGAATCAGAGCTTATTATCCAAAGAGGGGTGTTTGTCACAATTCCTCCTCCCCAAGCCTTACGGCGTGGCCGCCATTCATTGCAATGGCAACAGATGCGCAAAAGATACTCAGCCTTGTGTTCTGCCACAAAGATCCAAAGTCTTGTGGGTCCCCTAGCAGCTGTGTCTTGTCTACTCTTAGTAAAGTAGACTCCAGAGTTCATTCAAATGAATGAGAAAGAACAACAGCGAGCGTGAGAGAGATAGTTTTCTAAAAGAAAAGAAAAAGCCGGGGGGAGAATATCATGGAGTTGCTGTGTGTGTGTGTGTGTGTGTGTGTGTGTGTGTGTGTGTGTGTGACTCCTATACATTGGGGGGGGGAGGCATTCCAATGCTCAAAAAATGCCAGTTACATAAATATGAAGATCAGATGGAGCCACAATAGGAATTTTTGGTCCTGCATCATGTGAAATTGTAAGCTTAGAAGTGAAATGTGAGCACCCGTTACCCATTTCTCTCTGTCTGTCTTAACAAAGCCTCAAATTTCTGAGGGTCCTGACCAAATGTCTCATTTCCGTCATGGGTTTATTATTTCCAAATTTGTTCATTCATTCTGAATTATGTCACAGAAGTGGCGGGATTTCCACTTTTGCACAAGGTGCTGTGTCCTAATCTAGAAGCGCTCCTCAAAGAAAGTCTTGCCAGCCTCAGTTATGTCACTTGAATGGATGTTTAGCCCAGGGATAGGGAACTTAGTCTTATCTTGGTAATCCTTACAACAACACCGTAAAGCAAGTTAGTTTTACTGATCAATGCTAATCAATCAGGTAAAAGATAAAGGACCTCTGGATGGTTAAGTCCAGTCAAAGGTGACTATGGGGTGCAGCACTCATCTCGCTTTAGGCCGAGGGAGTTGGCGTTTGTCCGCAGACAGCTTTCCGGGTCATGTGGCCAGCATGACTGAACTGCTTCTGGCGCAAAGGGACACCGTGACAGACTAATCAATATGAGCATCCTCACACAGCAGGTGGTGAGTGGACCGAGGCTGAGGGGAGATTTGAACCAGGGATTTCTCAAGCTCATGCTATTAAGCCTTAATTGCCAATTATGCAGTCTCTTTCTGGAGAACACTGGGAACATTGGAAAGATGTTCTCTGTCCAGCCCAAAGGGGACTTTGATTTCTTCAGTGGAAAGGCGGGGGGGGGGGGAATTACATAAGTTTACAATAAGTACCTAGAGACATTCTTCTCTCACTGGATAGTACACAAGCCACTACTATGTTAACAGGGGGGAAATATACATATCTGGAAAATGCTTTCTTTTTTTAGTAAAAGAGATGGGGGGGGGGGAAGCAGAGACGCATGGTCACTCAATGAAGCATTAAAAAAAGAGTTTGGTGCTGATTGTCCGTATTGTCTACACTGGGTGTAGTGGGTCTTTAGGGTTTCAGTTGGGGGAGGGTCTCTCCGACCACTTCCTGGAGATGCCAGGGATAAAATCTCTAACCTTCTTCATGCGAATCAGATGCTCTGCCACTAACCTATGACCCGTTTCCCTGAAGACAACACAATGTGTCAGGAATTAAGGAATTGGGAGATGGCAGTGGTTACTTAGCTGTGAGGGATAGACACTCTGCACCAGCTCAAGGGCAACCCTAATATATAAACTGGGCAAACTGTTAAGCTAGATACATATCTATCACAGAAGAAGTTTCTAGGACAGACAGACATACAGTGGGGTACCTATACGGGGAATTGTGTGAAATAATTGTTGCAGAGTTGTAAAAACAAGTCAAGCAATTGTGTTGGGGGTCATTGGTATTCAGACAGTTGTTTTCCTATGTGTGGAAAACAGGAATGCCCAGCCCATAATTTAATCACATTGTGCCAGTGGGTGTGGTAGTGGTTGCTATAGCAACAGTTTGTACTGTGTAATTCCTCTTCCTCTGGCTTTAGGCAATGAGGAGTGTCTGGCTGGGGCTGAATATTACTCGTGAGGTCTGTTTCCCACAAACAAAACCGTTTTCCCGCACAGAGATCATTTCTAGGAAGGGAACAATGCACTTATTTCACCAGCATTACATGTGAGTTGCGGATGATGAAGTCCTCATCCATGGCACTTTCACTCACCCAGCCTCCAGTCCCTGGCAGAGGTGCTGTGGGGAGATCAAAGGAGGGAAAACTCCAGAGCCTTGTGCCAGGACAAAAGGTCCCAAGGACCCCTGGAAAATATGATTTTCCTAAGGATGCCCTTGGGAAATGGCATCTCCCACGGGTACCTACCTGGGGTTTTGGCCCCATGCCGGAGTGGGGAGGGAGTTAACTCTCTCTGCAGTTGTAGTTCTGCAGCTGCTGGTCTGGCCAGTCAGTGGGGTTTAAAGAGAGCAGGTTAGGGACCAGAGAGCAGGTTAGGGCCATGTGAGTGAAAGGGAGAGGATTTGGGGTGTTACAGGGGGACGAACCAAGCTTTGGCCTGCAAATCAGACACCCTGCTTCCCAGTTCGGTGGGAAGTAGCTCGGCTTATTTCTCCAGCAAAGCTGATGTGAGCTACAGGGGCTTCCTCCTCGCTATCCACATATTCAAGGCTCCTCTTTTGCAGAAAGCAGACCCCTGTACTCTTGAGCATGTGCAAGCTGCTGTAAAAATGTAAAGGAACCCCTGACCATTAGGTCCAGTCGTGGCCGACTCTGGGGTTGCAGCGCTCATCTCGCTTTCTTGGCCGAGGGAGCCAGCATACAGCTTCCGGGTCATGTGGTCAGCATGACTAAGCCGCTTCTGGTGAACCAGAGCAGCGCACGGAAACGCCATTTACCTTCCCCCCGGAGCGGTACCTATTTATCTACTTGCACTTTGATGTACTTTCGAACTGCTAGGTTGGCAGGAGCAGGGACCGAGCAACGGGAGTTCACCCCGTCGTGGGGATTCAAACCGCTGACCCTCTGATCAGCAAGTCCTAGGCTCTGTGGTTTAACCCACAGCGCCACCCGTGTCCCTCTGCAAGCTGCTGTAGGTGGCATAAGAAATATGCTTGTTTCCCATTGAAATCATGTGCATGAATCACAGGGTATGAATCACACTTGGGTTTACATGCTTTTGCTCTGTACAAGCAAGGATTCCAGCAGCCAAGCCAACTCTTTGGACCAAGCCCTCTTCCTGAACCTTTGACAGCAATATGAGTGGCAGATATGAGCTGGTCAAAGTACTGTGTCCCTAGCTTCACCTATGGCATTCAACTTCTCATTAAAGGCACAAGAGCAGGGCAGGGCATTTTCTTCTATTATCAGTTGGCAAACTTACCCAAAACACCCTCTGATTCTCCCCACATGGGAGGGACCGCTTTGGGACTTTGGGGATTAGGATTGACTGGGTGGTGCAAAGCTCTGACTGGCCGGAGAACAGGAGATTGACAGAAAGATCTGCAGAGCTTCTCTGACTTCAAAGAGAAGTATACAAATGTGTGGGGCATAGGAAAGTGTGAGATTTCGAGGTTTGTTAAAATAAAATAATAATAATAATAATAATAATAATAAAATTGCTTGATATTTTCATTGGGAAGGCAGTACCTCAGTAGCCCTAGTGGACTGTTTGCCACCCTATTCCTGACAAACATTTTTTAAAAATCAGATTATCTGGGTTCGATTTGTGGTGGTTTGTCCAAAGCAAAGACCAAAAGAACAAAAAAGCAGAGTGACTTCGGGTTGTCCAGGAAAAGGCAGCTTCCAACAAATTAAAAGCCCAGTAAAACATAAAACATTAAAAACTTCCCTATACAGGGCTGCCTTCCTGAGACAAGAGCTCGCAACCTGATGGACAGCATGGAGTAAAACTGCGTCACTGTTCCACATCAGTCCAAACCCAAAGCAGGGGGCAGCTCTGAGATGAATATTTCCTGTGGCCTAAGGGGGATGGAGCAGGGAATGGAGGAAGAATCTTAAGATGAGGATCTCTGCTGCTCCCTACAGTGCTGCTAATAAATGCATCCCAACAAAAAATGCTTTCTGGAAAAAAGAGTAAGATTAAGCAATTGGACCCTGCCGTTGGTGACCGGGGCTTGTTTTTGTCAGCCAGCGATGGTATGAAGAAAAGAGGAAGGGAGGAGCACCTCTGAATGAACATGCAGAAATCTGAGGAGCAGGAGGGTGCGGTTGACAAACAGAAACATTATACAGAATTGAGATGTTGTGCATGTAGCTACTGTGTTCTAAAGAAACCGGAAAGCCATGTTGAAATGTCGCAGTCATCGGCATCGAGGATTTGCTTGCAAGTTGCTGCTTTAATGAGGCTGCTCCTAGCTTGCGGATGAACAAAAGGAATGAGATGTCCAGCAATGCCGTAAGAATGTTACAGTTGTGACAAGGAATAAAGATATTGCTAAGTCACAACAAACTTTGACACATCATGATGCAATATAAATATAAAAGGAAGGGAATGTACACAATAAGACTGGCCTTGTTCCATGTGAGTTTCGTAGAAGAAAGGTTCATTTGGGTTGAGCAAATATTTGAAATATTTCCCCCTCCTTTCTCAAATGTCTATAAAAAGCACAGCTTAGAAATGTGAGATGCTATTCCACTCAAATAAGGTGTTAATTAGAGGTGTATTGTTCCAATCTCATCAGTGATCTCATACAATCTCATTAGCATAGGGTTTAAACTGAGGGACGAATCTGTGGTATATTCAATCATTTACATGAGACCTCCAATTTAATTTTCCAGAGGCTTCTTGGCCAAACAGAATGAAACCTTTGTTTTCACTCAAGTAGTAGGTATTTTCTTTTGCAATGGAATAAGGTTTTTGAGCATTAATAAAACAATGTGGCAAGCTGTTTTAAGTTTGCACAGAAGCCTCGTCCATTTTGAGCAGTACACAAAATCAAATCACTCTGAGTGCTAAAACAGGAAGCAATAAAATGGACATAATTCTGTGTTAAAGTTTAAAAAAACAAAACTTGATCTTCTGCTCAATTCCTAGGGGAGGCAGTAAGATTCTACATTTATAGCATGCACCTATGGGCAGTGACAGTATGAGAAGTCAGGGAATATTCACAAACATTCTGGCTTCTGAGGGGAATGAAGCTCACTATAGCAACTCTCTAAATTGAAAGGACAATTGACCAGAAAAGAAACTTCATACAGACTTAGGGACAGCAGGAGCTGAGTATGATAAACTCAGGAAATATGAATAGGCTTGTTATTACCTTTCATTCCCCCAAGGAAACAAAAAATCTCACTCAGGAAAGTGGGGGCAGGGAGAAGAGGAAATGATGGAGCTTTATATAGTGAGGGATAGGGAGGAAATCTGATTCAGTTCACATTTAAAGGCAAACCTTTCTAATTCACAGTATCCAAAACAATATGCAAACAGAAACACAACCATTCTTTGAAATCCATGCTTCTCCAAATTCTGAGGTGCTGTTCTCCAGCCAAGTAAAAAATGCACTTACTAGTGTAAAGTATGCATAAAAATGCATATATCTGCAACAATAACACAAAAATGCATCTCATTACGGGAAAATACTTTGTGAAATTGTGTGCATTAGGCAAAATTGCATACGGCATGTGCACATTAGGAAGAATGGGCACAAAAATGCTGGTGAATTTTCATGATGGTTTTTTTTCTTTTAAAAAACCCCACAAAGAGCTGTGGAAATGTGAAGAAGCAAACTTCAGAAGGTAAAAACTAGAAATGCAGAGAAACTGGGATTGACTTATCCCTAGCTCCAGAATCACTCTGGTGCTCCTCCAATACTACAAAAAGGGAAATGGGAGGGATAAAAAAGCACGGGACAGGCACTGTGACTATCCTCTAGTCTAGTCAATGCACCCTTTTATCAAAGGTGCAGCTGTCCTTTTTCTGAAACAAAGTTCCATCTTAAAACATGCAATTCACTCAAGTTTGCTAAAAACATGCCCACAACACAAAAAACAGACAAAGCCTCCTTTCTTTTCTTCCTTTCCTCTCCCAGATGTGGGAACTCTTTTAAGTGAGGCCAAGGAACGTAGGTCCTTGGAAGGGTCTGTTTCAAGAGAGAGACCCCCACCCCCACCCCCGCCACACACAAAAAGAGACAGGCGGCCAGAGATTATTTCAGAGTTTCCCTTTGGAAGATCTTCCTCTGCCTCTTCGCTTAGGCCCTGAAGGCCACCTCAGGCCTTGCATATCACAACCACTGAGAGAAGCAGTGGTGCGTAAGTTTTCTTTTCTGCCTTTCCTGTGTCAGGTGTGAAACAGAGACTCCAACAGCAGTGGCCAGCCTCCCTGCCTCAGGTGGCGCCATGTCATGATTTATTAATTGCTTATTTCTATACCGCTTAATATATTAAAATATATCTCTAAGCGGTGTAGAAGAAACTGAAGCAACAACAGACAACTTAAACAAAACATTACAAAAATACACAGTCATATTAAAAAATGTTACCTTATATACATGTATACATACATATATATATATATATATATATATATATATATATATACACATACACATATATATATATACACATATATATATATTATACATATATATATATATATATACATACATATAGATACATATATATATATATATATATATATACACGTTCATTTTTCTTCTGACGCACCCTCCCTCTCAGCCTCCGAGTTCTCACCCAGAATCAGGCCAAAAAACAAACTCTCAGCTCACCCACAAAAGTCTCACAATGAGAAGGGTTCCTGGAAACAGCAGATGTCACCCTAGTTTTTCACTCTAGACTTGCTTTTCGTGGGCATACCCAGGGCTTTTTTCAGCCAGAACTCACCAGAAATGAGTTCTGGCACCTCTTTGGTGTGTTCTGGCGCCTCTGGAGCATTGCGGTGCCATTCCCTGGCATAGCGCTCAGGGCTCCAAGGTGGAGGAGGCGGGCAGCATAGTGGTTGGAGCAGCGCGGCAGAGGTTGGCGGCATAAGGTGGTGGGGCGCAACTTTGGTTCCGGCACCTCTTTTTCTAGAAAAAAAAGCCCTGGGCAGGCCCAAGGTACCTCCTCAGGCTGCCCTCAGCTGTGTCTCATTCAGCTGCACCTTCCACACTCAGTTCCAAGTACAGCCGATTTGCTGAGTTTCCCAGGGGGTCCAGAGGATGGGGGAAAGACCCCCTTTACTCACAGTTCTATCCTCTCTTCCTCCTCCAGCTGCTTCCCACCCCCATCTTTCTATAGCACTCATTTTCTCCACTGTAGTAGCATATTCAATTTCAACAAAACAGTCCAATTTGGCATACTCTGGGCTTTCAAATTTCCTTGGTGCCCCCTGCCTCTCCCACCTACAATGACATTTTAAGTCATTGTTGTGGTGCCCTCTTAGGTCAGTGCTCAGTGCAGGTGTGCTGTGCTGCCCTAAAACCACCTTTGTAAGAGTGCCGATGCATCTCGCTTCAGAAGAAAGTGAGCCAACCTTGCTGGAATCCTCAGGAAAATCCTGACTCAAAGGGTGTTATTGCATTGGTAGGTAATCCTCCATTGGTGCCAAGGAAGGGTTGCCCACCAAAACAAATACGAGCTTCAGAGGGGTGAGTTTCCTTGGGACCACAACAAGAAAATGTTAATTCCTCCCTTCCTGCTGCTGCAGTCCTAATCATTTCCTGCCTTTCAGCAGGTAGATGCTCTTGGCATTTGAAAACAAACAAACAAAACACCCTACATGTTAAATAATAAAATTGTAGAATTGGAAGGGACCACGAGGGTCATCTTGTCCAACGTGTGGCAAGAACCCACAACCTCAAGCTTAAGAATCTCATGCTCCACTGACTGAGCTATCCCGTAGAGAAAGACACTTTCACGGTCATGCCTACTTTGGCCCTGAGTTACTCAGGGATTCGATTACCATTCATTTGCAGTCACTGAGCAGAGTCTTCAGTTTCTCACCTGTAAAATGGGAACCAAAATTGCAACCTTTCTCCATAAGATTTTGAGACGGCAAACACAATAAGGACTGCAAAGCATCATGTAAAGTTTTAACAAGTGCTATATAAATTATTAGTAATAGCAGCCACAGTTTTGGCACCTTGTGTACACGATGTGGCTCCCTTTTCATACACTGCAAGTTACCCTGGAGGGTAATTGCAGCAGGCTATTTCCTCTCCGGCAATGGCTCAAATATGTTGCTGCTGCTGAATGACTTACATTTGTTTCTAGAGAAAATGATTTCATTTTTATCCTAATTCTAGCCAGCTATTTGGTCATGTTTGGAAAGGGGGGAAAGAGGCTTTGAAGCTTCAGGGCTCACACCAAGAAAGCTTTTCTGTCTGCTGGAGAATGGCTTCTGTGGCTCCAAATGAGGGTGTGGGCTTTTGAGAAAATGGGTCTCTCAGGACTTCCATCTTCAGCCATGAGAGGAGGAGGATTACGGAGCCCTTGTTTTTGAAAGGAGGTTGGTTTCCAATGATTCCTGATAGCTGGCAGTGATAAAAATAATAATAAATCATCTTGCCTGTTTTGCTGAACGTTACCAGTTACTTCAAAGAGCTGCTTTCTGCTGTTTTATCGATTTGATTGCTGTTGTATGGTTCTTATTCTTGTGAGTTTTACTACTTCGTTGTAAACTGCCTTGGAAGTTTTACTGACGGGCAACATGAAAATGTCTTAAACATCTGTGTGTACACAAACATATACACAAACTGTGTTTATTGTGAAGCAGAAGCGGGATGATGTGTCCTTGACAGCTACAGGCCCAGCTATCTCAGACTGGAGATGAAATCTTGCAGGGACAGGTGGCATTTCAGAGACTGGATCAGAAAGAGGGGGAAAAGGGGAGAAATGAAAGGTGGCATGTAAGAACAGCGAGGAGTGCCTTGCTGGCAAAGGCCAAGGCACATCTAGTTCAGAATTCTTGCTTCCACCAGCAGCTGTACAGGAAACAAGAAGAGAATGCAGACAACAGCCATCTCTGGATCCACTTCTTCACCCAGCCAGGCAATTGATGGGATATTCCCACCTAGGAACATGGGGAGTTTCATTCTTCCCACCAGCAGGGTCATAGCTACCAGTAAAGACATTTGCAAATATTTGCTACCCTTGCCGGGCCAGCAGACAGGCAAGAGTGATGCCCTGAGCCCAGTCTGCGTTGCAGTGCGGGTCTAAACAGCCACACTCCCCTGGTGCATCATGGGACCACCAACTATTTTTGCCCACCATGCAGAGGAGAAGCAGGGCAATGGCAGACGCGCCAGCTACTGCCAACTAGGTCAAGAACAGTCTCCTTGGTGTGTGACATGTGATTCCCCGTAATTCCTGAGAGAGCGAACATGAATATCTGCAGCACATTTTGTAGTTATTGGATTCCATTTGTCAAAGCAACCCGGTACTCACATCTGATCTGCGTACTTGAAAAATGCCACCCCCCAATCTCTGACAGCTCTTTGATGTCTCTTTGCCATGTGACAACTGCCCACTTCATTCCAAGCACTCTCCTCTTCTTGCCTTGAACTAACCTATTCATCTGAAGAGATCCCTGTGCGCCCATGTGTCTCTCCATTCATCAATTGTTCCTTCCCGGTGCTCAGGGCTTGCCACATAAGCCAGCATTACTGATGCCGTAATTATTTCTTTACATTTCCTTGCCACGAGAAAGTTTCCAAAGGGAAATTCCAACCCCCTTTGCTGTTCCAGACACATGTCTTTTCCAAATTCCTGAATGTTAGGAGGAGTCCCACTGAAACAGGAGCAGAAACTTCTGGGAATCTTTAATTATTATTATTTTGTTACGGTTCATATTTGCATAGCAAGGAATGGCCTCAGCAGAGCTATTTTCCACTGCATTCAGCACCAATATAACAGAGTGCGACTCCTGACTACGACTGCAGTTCTTGCATCTGAAACAATTTGCTTCAACTTCTTCCATGCGGACTACGGCTGCAGCCTGTACTGATGGCTCCCAGAGTTTTATGTATTTATCCATCACGTTTATATCCCACCTTTCCTCCGATGAGCTCAAGGTGGCGTACATTGGCCTCCTCCCGTTTTATCCTCACAACGACCCTGCAAGGGAAGATAGGCTATGAGAGACCGACTTGCGCAAGGTGAGCTTCATGGCTGAGTAGGGATTTGAACCCTCATCTCCCAGTTCAGCCACTGCACCACAAACCGTATGACGATCTCCTGAAAGACAGGGCATTTTTGCGAAGCCTTCTGCCTAAAATATAGCAGCTAAAGGACAACACGAACAGGCGAACTCGGATGGAGTTGGCTGGGAAAGGTTGTTTTTGTTTTTAAGTAAGGATAGCCTATAATCACAGAACCCACAACTCGTTATTTCTCGGTCTCTTCTCAGGAAGCTACAAGGACTTGGATCCATTTCAAGCCTTCATGTTGAAATTCCTTCTTTGTATGTATAGTACACACAGGCAGCGTGCCAGAATCCTGAGAGGCGGAGGGGAAAAAGGAGGGAGTTAAATGCCATATTATTAAAACCAGGTTCAGACACGTTGCAAAGCGTCAGAAGATAAGCTGCTGCAACACCTCTGCTGGGTTGGCTGTGCTTTGCTTTGCCACACAGTGACTATATGCTTGGTGGCCCTCCCACTTTCCGGAGGCAGAGAAAACTGCCAGAGATGGCAGCCCAGCTTCCCTTTGGATGGGGCAGCCTTGGAGTGTTGCTGTGTTGTTTACAAGACATTGTTGTGTGCACTTATTTTCATTAATATATGCATTTTTCTGCACAGTCTCTGTCTGCATTGCAAAATTCAGTGGAATGTGAATTGTGCATGACAGCTTGTGTTTTGGTCTGTTGATTGGTGTGAGTTAGGCAGGTTTGCATTAAAAGGCAAACTGAGCAAGTTTCTCCCCCAGTCCTATTGACAACAGAGAAAATATAAGCAGCTCACTCACAACCATTAGCAAGCATCAGGGATATAAAAGGTGGTCCTTGTTACCATGAAAATGTATTCCAGATTAAATTTGTTGGCCGTCAAGGTACCACAAGACTTTGTTCTTACTGCAGCAGACTCATATAATGGATTCAAATTACTAGAAAAGAGATCCCAACTATAATAAATAATAATTTATTATTTATACCCCACCCATCCAGCTGAGTTTCCCAGGAAGAATTTTCTGATGGTAAGAGCTATTCTACGGTGGAACAGACTCCCTCAAAAGGTGGTGGACTCTCCTTCCTTGGAGGTTTTTAAGGAGAGGCTGGGTGGCCATCTGTTACAAATGCTTTAGTCAGGATTCCTGCATTGCAGGGGGTTGGACTAGATGAACCTAGGGCTCCCTTCCAACCCCACCATTTGATGATCCTATGACTACCTCCTCTAGAAATTGGAAGGGGCATTCATTCATTTTATTTGTACACCTCTTTTCCACACACACACAAAATTGTGATCAAAGCAACTTACAATACATAAACATGGATGTCTTTCTAACAAAAACACTACAAAACAACTACATAATAACATAGCAAAGCAAAAATATAATAGCATGCAAAAAAAAACCCACTCACATTTCAATACTATAAGTATAACAAGGTTACGTAAACGACACGCAGCAGCCAATAGCAAAAATAAACAAGGGAGCTTCACAGTTTCACCTTAGTCCTGGAAACACCTCTCCCATAATGTTGCTCTCAGGCATGATGTTTGTCTGGGATAAATCAGGGTCCAGGTTAAGAGAGGAAAGGTTGGGGGCCCTTTATGAAGTGTGCAAGTTCCCCTCGAACTCCCTCTCCCCACTTAGAAAATCTTCCCACCACAGCTAACCACAGACATCTAAAAACAGCAGCTAAAAAGCTTGCTACAAAAGTTCTGGGAATTCAGCCTACTGCCTGGTACAGGATTGGAGCAGAGTGTGGCCAGCCTGTTTAAATAAAATAGCCGTGTACAATATAAGAATTGCACCATTAATGAATCTATTAATTTTATTTAAGCTATTTATATACATCTTTCTGATCAAATTTAAAAGAGTATCAGTGTTCTCCCCCCCTCCCCCAATGGTGTGCACTAGTATTTAGTACTGGCACCTATTTCTTATCAACTTTTTAATTAAACGTTGGTCACAAACTCAATAACGAAGGGCGGAGAGGGCAGAGGAAGAAGGGAGGAGAAAGCATTTTACAATTCATCAACATCATCTTTCACACAGAAAAGCACTGAAGCATGCAATGGATAAGATGGAGTGAAATTAGTCATAAAAAACAGGGAAGGGGATCCTCTAAAATGCTTGCAGAAATAAATATGTTTTTTGTCAAGCCCCTGCAGCTAAACAGGGAAGGGGGGATTCCACAGAGCTGGGCCCACAGTACTCAGGATGCTTGTGGTGGATAGGAGCCATAGGGGACCATGAACAGAAACTCCCTCAAAGCTTTCAGTGATGGGGCAGAGATAGAATCCTTGAATGGTAGAGTTGGAAAGGACCCCCAAGGGTCATTTAGTCTAACCCCCTGCAAAGCAGGAAGGACAGTCAAGAGATCAGATATCGTTGTACTCTCATTGCTGAGCTACAAAACATGCAGAGCTCAGTGGAGTGGGAGGCCAGCCAAGAGTCTTTGAGGTGTACTCGCCTTGGAGGCAGAGTCAGCATCCAGAGTCAGGTCCAGTCCTAGGGTTGGGCGAGCAGCCATCCACGTGGTCAGATGGTCCAGGAGGCAGAGAATCTGATATTCATGAGGTAAAGGGTCAAAACGAGCAGGAAGCAGCAAGGTAGGACCAGGAACTACAAGCATTGTTCCTGCTGCTGGAAGCTGTGCTTAAGGAGGCTGAAGCCAGCTGGTTCTCATCAGTGCCTTGAAGGCTGATCAGCTCCAGGTGGAGTCACTGCCTTCTCCCCTTCAAGCTGCTGTTCAGCAGGAGAAGGTGACTCCTGGCCCATGACAGATATAAGGGACCAGGCAGTCCTGAAAATATCCTGGACACAAATTGCATCAAGCAATTCTGGGGGTGATCAGTGAGAGGAGTAGGGCAGCAGACTCAGGCTCACTAGCAAGATCTTGATATGTGGAGGTCAGAGGCCAGGGACAGCTGATGTGAAACTGCTACCTTCTGCCACACACGGATTATACCCAGAATTGTCATTTGCGTGGCCTGAGGGATGAGGTTCTAGTGCTTTTTTCTTCTTAAATGCTTTTTCTCCTATATACAGTTTTCACGCGGTTGGTTTTGAACTAGTCTGACCATTTTATTGGCTTTTAGCTAGGTTTATTCAAACCCACCTCATTTCTCGGCAATGTAATCTTTGAAATGCTTGTATTTTTATTTTATTTTTGAAAAGATATCCTATCCTGTCTCACTCACCCATCTCTACCCTTCATCTCTCTGTCTTCATTAATGAACATGCTTCTCTCTCTCTCTCTCTCTCTCTCTCTCTCTCTCTCTCTCTGACACATGCAATGTTTTATCAGCACAATTAAATTTAAAATTGCCTCGCCAAGGGGACCTCTGGGCCATGTAAAGGAGAATGGCTGCCAACTAGCTAAATGTTTCATTTTGTGCAAATGGTCACCCTTTCTCCCTTCTGGGAACTGTGAGCAAGCCTGTGTGTTGGGGAAAAATAAGGATTATACAATTTCACTCTGATTCATCCTTGCTGGGGGAAAGCACATCTAAAGCAGAAAAGTTCCTGCTTCAAATCTCAGCTGAACCGCGATTGTCCCACCTAGCTAACCTGAAGCAAGTAACTGTCTCACAGCCTCAAACCCACCCGCAATAGTGGGGTAATAATAATCCTGGCCTATCGTACAGGGTTGTTGTAAGGATGACTGGGATCATGTACGCTAGACCTTTTGAGCACTTATGAAAAGCTCTATATGCCCATACCTGTTTGTCTTCTTTTTCTTTTAACCCTCAAATGTCACAGAAGCCCATTTTGCATCTGTGGCTTACCAAAAAGAACCTGTAATTCACTGAGGAAAAGGGCTTGGGAAAAGTGGAGAGATGCTTGGAAACCTGTACTTTCTAAGTGTTCATTAATAATAGTAACAGAGTAATAGATCATCACTGTAGAGTGAAAGGAAGAGGGAAATGTCGAGGTATCGATGCACATAACGCACACAATCTCTGTCTCACCCTCTCTGGCCATGTTTGTGCATCATGCTAGACCAGGTTTAGTGTGATGTGCGCAAGCAAGAATGAACTCTCCTCTCCTCCTCCCATGCAGCTGAGATTAGGAGTTTGGAAGCTTCCACTTTTAGATACTCACAGCTTACTGAATTGGGAACCATGGTTCACATTAACTGTGGTTCATTTAAACCAGCCAGCTTTGTAAACCATGGCTTGAAGTGGACATGTTTCAAGCGAGATCGTTAACTACAGTTTGTTGCTTCAGACAAGGAGACAAACCACAGTTAAATTGCTCATTGGTGCTCACCACTTCTGTCCTTTCTCATCCATCTCCTGCCTCTTCCTAGATGTGTGTGTTACTATATCATCCTCACTCTCCTCCCTCTTCCCCAACATGCATTGCAAGATTTCATTGCCACAAGCACAATAAAGTGCAAGGCTATTGCCATGAGCTAGCCCAGCAGGTCTCCACGTGGAACATCAATGTTGGATAAGAGCTGTGCATATGCTGTGTTTAAAATATAAAATAAATGTGTAGTGCAATAATAGCCATAGTCCTGCAGACTGTATGTGCTATGCGAATTTAGAAAACATACACATATTGACCTATTCCGCATTATCTATTTTGATAGTTACGGGGTGGGGAGCATGCAGGGCGCCCAAGTCTTGGCCCTGCCCCACCGGAAATGCTACACTCAGCTTCCCTTCTTCCTCTGGTTTCTGCAGTTTAACCAGACAGACAAGTCTATATTTGCAGCCGTAAGCCTAGAAACTTGCTTCCTTATCTGTGCCAAAGCTGAGCTTCCCAGAGTGCTGAATTCTGTCGAATTCTGTCTGCACAACACATGGATGTTCCATGCGTTTGAAGCAGGCTTCTGCACATGCGTAAGCCAAGCTGGATGGGGAACAAGTCCTGCACTGTGCATATGATTTCATGGCCCCATCTTTCAACCAGGCCCAGCAAAAAATAGTAGTAGGTAGCACTTATCAACTGTTCAGGAGCAGGACTGGACTCTGGCTCCCAACAAAATATTAAAAACACAATAAAACACCAACCATTAAAGTCCCTGTACAGGACTGTCTTCAGACAAGGGTGCCAACTTGAACAAAATATTGGGGGAGGGGGAGGTAAGCCCCACCCTGCATAACTGAACACATTATGTGGTGCATGCACATCATTTGAATGGCAATGCCCATCAACTTGAGGGGCCCTCAAATATTTTATTGAGGGGGTTGAAGACCTCCTCGGCTCTTAAGAATGACTCCTATGCCTTCAGGTGTCTTCTAAAAGTCATATAGTTATTTATCTCCTTGACATCTGATGGAAGGGCATTCAGATGGAAGGCCACTACCAAGAAGGCCCTTTGCCTGGTTCCCTGTAGCTTCACGTCTTGCAGTGAAGGAATCGCCAGAAGGCCCTTGGAACTGGACCTCCATGTCTGGGCTGGACGATGGGGGTGGAGACATTCCTTCAGGTATAAGGCAGCTTATACACGTTGAAGTAAATAATATTCCAGAGGGTTTTATTTCATTTCTGTACCTCCCCCCCCCTTGAAAACCACGATTTGATTCTACCTGTGAGCCGAAGAATTCCTTGCCACTGGCAAGCATCACATTAAAGTGTTAAGCTGCGCCAACAATGTGTCCTGAAAGTTCAAATCCGGCATGGAAAGCAAGGGATCAACTGTACCAGCGCTTATCTGCGGCAGCACCTTTGACTGTTTGTTCAGTCAGTGTGATCATTACCTAGGGAAGGAGGTCGGGAGAGGGCTCTGAGTTACTGTTGCTGAAATTCAGCCTTCTGTTGCACAAGCAGTGCAGGTATTTGCCTCTCCCCCCCACCCTTGCCTCTCTCTTTACTCGAAACACACCCTAGGGACACCCATGGAGCCACGAGGAATGCCAGAGTGGATTAGCAGCTATGGTGTCAGTGATGCATGTAATCCTCTGAGGAACACACAGTTGCCTCGAAATGGAGCGCAGTCTAAAAGGAGGCAGGAAAAAGAGTTTTGGATCTTCAGATTTCCAAGCCGTGGAAATCTGAATTTAAAAAGGCATCAGGAAGGAAGTATGGGCTGTACAATAGCAGCTCTGAGCCCTGTAGGAGGAGAAGCTTCATCAGAGAGAGTTGGGTAAGGATGGCAAACTGGCCAGTCTCCTCCTGGACTGGGAAGAGGAAGGACTCTTCCAAGGAGCCCTAATGGCATTCTGCTACTGGGAAGTCTGTATTGGGTATAAAGTTGCCAACTCTCCAAGCAGAGAGTCTGAGAATGCAACACATACAAAAATGGCAAACTGGGTTCCCCTAAAGGCTGAAAAAAGGCAAATGAATGGATGGATGAAAGTTCAGACACATTTGTCCTACGGACAGAAACCTAGGATGTCACTGGATATACTGGATATATACATATATATATATATATGTTGTAATACAGTGGTACCTCGGAAGTTGAATGGAATCCGTTCCGGAAGTCCGTTCGACTTCCAAAATGTTTGGAAGCTCCCACAGCCAATTGTAAGCCGTGAAAGTGACTTCAGACGTTTGGGTTCCAAAGAACGTTTGCAAACCGGAACACTCACTTCTGGATTCGGAAGCCAAAACGTTCGACTCACAAGGCGTTTGGGATCCAAGGTGCAGCTGTAGCTCCAAACTAGCTGTAATTGTGGACAACCAGTAGTCACACATAACAACTCGTAGCCTCTTTTTCTATACACACGGACCGTCGTGGGCATCAAAAGGTGCATGCATCTTCTTCAATGGAGTCTTATTGAGCATAGCAATACATTTTAGGCTGAACGTCTAGATGCACATATACATCCTTATCTGCCTTGCACATAGGAGTCGACTTTTGCACACAGAGCTCTTTTGTTAGATTAGGACAAATGTGCTTGGAGTGAAACTCATCCAGGCTAATCCCTGTACTGCCAAGGGAGACACACCTTCCTGCTTTCTCAGGGCTGATGCATGGAAGACTTCTCTAAAGTTTTAGCTGGTTTTAATGTTGCATTTTTATCCCTTTGCCTGTGGTTCTAGTCTGGATTGGGAGCATCACTTGTGGTATTTCCATTGCAAGAAAAGCTTCCTTTTGTACCAATGGGAGCTTTTCTTCCAATGCAAACAGGAAATGTGGGAGAGCAGATCTCAATTAGGGACACAGCAGAGGCAAAGAGTTGAAGCCTGCCTTCCCCAATGCCGGGGTCCTGATCCAGTTTGAGGGCCCCCTGCCTGCTACTTCCCATTTAAAAGCCATTAAGAGACAATGAGGTTTGTCAGGGACGTTCATCTGGTGCCTTCATTATATGTCTTTAGGCACTAGGTGAAAACGTTCCTCTTTAACCAGGTCTTTGGCTGATTAATATTCTGCAGCCTTTGAAATGTGTTTGAGTGTGGGGGTTATTGTTTCATTGTTTTGTCTTGACTATTTATTTGTGTTTTTACATTGTATTTTTGTCTTTTGAACCACCCTGAGATCTTATGCTGAAGGGCAGGATATAAGCCTAATAAATAATAAAGTAATAACTCATGGGATATTAAAGACAATATATGCTCCAGACATTGGAGTGTTGTCTGCTAATACATTTGGCCTGCAGAAGACACTTTTTGCTTGAAAACAAGGTGTAAAGCTAATCTCCATCAAAGGAAAACTCAAAAGGGTGTCAGGCAATAAGACTTTTAACTATCTAGAGCAGTGGTGGCCAAACTTGGCCCTCCAGCTGTTTTTGGACTACAGCTCCCATCATCCCTAGCTAACAGGACCAGTGGTCAGGGATGATGGGAACTGTAGTCCCAAAACAGCTGGAGGGCCAAGTTTGGCCACCACTGATCTAGAGAAAGTTCCAGTATCAAAAGGAACCTAAAGGGGGGGAAAACACATTTCATCAATAAATCTATTACAACAATTCTGAGGCATTTCGAACTCAGAATTAGGATTCACTTGACATTAAAAGGCAAATCTACTTAATCTGCATTTCCTGAACCATGCACAGACCAAAACGCATCCAGCTTTCAAAATTTGCACTTCTCTGAATTTTGTAACACAGTTCTCCAGCCAAGCAAGAGGTACACAAATGCATATTCTGGGGTAAAGTGTGCACACAAAAAATTATATATTCATGAAAATAAATACAAAGTGCATTATACTAGGGGAAATTTTGCTGGCAAAATGTAAATAGTAAGAGAAAACTACACTGAAATGCTGACTAATTTTCATGATGATATTTTTTTTAAAGATGAAAACTGATGGGAAATTGGGGAGATTGGAAAAATGAGAAACTGGCAGAAATTGATAGAATTGCTCATCCTACTCAGAAGGAAAGATTTTGCAAAGAGCTGTGTTTTATATATTACACACACACACACACACACACACACACACTTTTTTTTAAAAATCACCATACTAAAAATAGGAAAGGTTCGTTTTTAATTGATTTGTTGGTTTTTGTTTCATTTTCAAAGGATGGTGCCATATGCTTTTGAATAATAATTATTATTTAAATTTTTCCCTGATGTGAGAGATATCATTGAAGTGGCCATTTTCCTTTGGAAAGTCTGATGAAAAAAGAGAGCCATTTCCAATATGAAAATCAGTCCCCTCATACAGCGTTTAGTACAGTTCTTTTTTGGAAGAATTCCTTGGCAGCTCTAGAGCTTGGCTGGAAAACAAGCAAGGCAGGGAGCCAAGCATTATCCCTGCAGCATGGCTGATTTTCTTTCCTGCCTTAACTTCATTTAATATCTGAACTATTAAATGTGCAAAGCACACCATTGGAAAGGGCCACAGTGGCTGCAACTCAGGTGGCTGTTTTAGCAATCTCCACCCCGCATTTCCCTGTTTCCACATCCATCGTTCCAAAAGACCCTGCAGTGGTCAGGTGCAAGCCTGAGACCCGTGAATGATGCACAATCTTCCAAGAGCTTTGCCACATGCCCAGCTCAGATATTCACACCTTGCCAATCACTCGTGACAAAGTCATGCATGTACAGCCATTTTCTTGCCATGTTAGGGGGAAGCGGTTGAAAAATGTTAACCAGCAATAAGTGTTATGTGCAAAAGCACAATTAAGGGTGCAATTGGTTTTTGTAAACCATTTAGAGGTGCTTTGGGGCTGTTGTGTTCTTGCTTTTAAATAATCAAACGGTGCATAAGGTAAATCTTTTGGCACCGGGTGAATAGCTTTAGACTGTCTCTAGCTTTTAATTTTTAAAAAAGAAATATAATATTTGGTGTAATTGTTTCTGCTGTTTGCTGTTTATTTTTATCAGTTGATTTTATTGTTGAAATACAGCCCCCCCCCAATTACATGGAGGTTATGTTCTAAGGCACCACACGCGTCAGTGAAATTGTGTATATTTGAAACACCATTGGAAAAGCCTGCAAGCCCCGCGTTCCGCGCCTGCCCTATTCCGCCCCTTTTTGTGACATTTTTGGGTCACTTCTGGGTTTGGCGTGATGCGGATGTGTGCGGCCTTACACATAATGAATGTGCGTAAAAGGGGGTTGCCTGTAGTGACCATATCACGTTTCAAAAATCCTCCAGTTCATCTAAGGCTACTTGTTTATCTTTTGTTTTGTTTAATTTATGTTCCTCCAAATAATGACATGGAGAGAGGACCATTTTTTTTCCACTGAAAACTAAGTTTCTTTCCCAGCCTTGCGCCAATATTTCACCACGAAAGGAGCAATATGTTTCGGAATGATCTTGCGCATACCTCATTAATGACATTTTCCTGTTAAAAGTCATCATATGTATAAAAACAAGGCAGAGGTGAGATGGTGGCCTCTGGATGCAACTGGACTCTAACTCTCATCATTTCTGACCATTGGGTGTGTTGGCCTGGGCTGATGGGACAGATGTAGAGAAACATCTGGGTGGCCACAGGTTCCCCACTCTTGGTCTAAGCAGCAGCCCCAGGATACAGCTGAATTCATAAACTCAGTGGAAATCTCTGTGCAGAGCTTTCCTTGCCCTCTACATTCCATACAATGTTTGGGTCCCATCCTTTCTTATCAGTCATCTGACAGGCTGTTTTTGGGAGGACCCCTTTGCAAAGCTCTCTTCCATACACAACGCTTAAAAAGCTCCATTGGATTCTATTTCAAAGGGAGGAATGTCAAAAAGAGATCCTCCAAATAGCTTCCAGATGTGGTTGTTTCTTTTCCTGATCTAGACTTGGAAGGAGGGAGCAGGGAACGCCTTTAAGTGCTTCTCCGTAGTGAAATGGGGGTGCAGGGAGTCTTCACTGCAAGGAGAGAGAGGAGACACAGAACTAGAAATCATGAGATGGGGAGGAGGGAAACTGAGCCCCTGTTTGAGACATTTCAGGGCGTGAATTGCATTTCAAATAATATCCCCCCTGTGTGCATGGTAGTATTTTAAATTATACATCAGCAATCCAAGCTCAAGCAATTTATCATGGGATGGGCCCTGTCAAGCTGGGGCTAAAGAGAAAGGGATTTAACTTTCAGGAAGTTCAGCCTCCCCCTAATCAAGGCTTCTGATTCAATCTTACATTCTGAAATTCCTCCTGAGACGCCTGACAGAGAGCCACAAAGGCAATGATCATCATCTAATGATGTTTGGCAGCAACAGCTGTGTTCCTCGTGCGAGCTTTTGAATGTAGCTCTGTGCACAACTTGTTCCAAACAGATTTCTGGGACTGATGGCCCTCTCCTGAGAGGCAGGACTGAATAACTGAAATGCCTCTGATGGGTACTTGGCCATTCATTCTTCCATCTCGAGAATAGAACTCCATTGCCTCCTCTCAAAAACATGCTCCATGCCAGTCAGACATTCACAATGCATGTGCTGTTCTCTTCCTTTGTCTCCTCAAAACTTTTTTTTCCCCTTTTCTTTAAGTGAACTGCACATCTAAAACAGAACTTGTGTTTGGATGCTTTTATGTGAAGCTACTCCGACTGGCAGTGGTCCTCTAAGGTCTCGGGCAGAAGTCTTTCTAGGGAGTCACAAACATGACTGCCAGGTCACCCATGTCAATTATATCCTTGAATTTGGTGAGTGACTGCTCCAGTGCCCAGCAAAAGACAGGCAAAGGCCTATCCCGGTAACAGACAGGCATGGACTTGTCTTGACCAGGTGCCAATTGCACTCCCCTGAAAGCAGCGAGGCCTCCAAAGCTCACGGTGGACTGCAGGGAGCAGGCTCTGGCTATCTTCTATGTCAGGAACTTGGGAGAAAGGTGGAGGCTTATCAAAGAATCATAGAATTGTAGAGTTGGAAGAGACCCCAAGGGTTATCCAGTCCAACCCTCAGCAATGCACAAATATCAGCAAAAGCATTCAAGGAAGGAGAGTTCATGACCTCCCGAGGGAGACCGTTCCCCTTTCAAGCAGCTCTTACCACCAGAAAGTTCTTCCTGATGTATTTTAAGTTGGATTGAATGTCAGAAGCAGTGGGCCCTCTTTGCTTCCAAGTGCCAGTATCATGTCAGGCAAGAGTCCTCCTCTCAGGAGAGGTAGGATCAATAGCAACCAGGCACATGAGAAAGGGCCTTTTCTTCAGTGGCTTGTTCTCTGTCTTCAGAACACTTTCCCCAACACCTTTTTGACACCAGGCTAAGGACACACACACACACACACACACACACACACACACACACATATTTGAATGTTGATATCTGTCCCTCATTTTCTCAGTGGGTGGTGTTTGCTCCAGCTCCGAGGGCCTTCTGATGGTTCCCTCACTGCAACAAGCGAAGTTACAGGGAACCAGGCAGAGGGCCTTCTCGGTAGTGGCGCCTGCCCTGTGGAACACCCTCCCATCAGATATCAAGGAAATAAAAAACTATCTGACTTTTAGACTGAAGGGACGTTTTTAATCTTTGATGATTTATTGTATTTTTAATATTTTGATAGGAGCTGCCCAGAGTGGCTGGGGAAACCCAGCCAGATGGGTGGGGCATAAATAAATGATGATGATGATGATGATGATGATTGATGATTGGTGATTATTTTACAGCAGGAAATGTGTGCTTTGGGAGATCCTTCATCACCATCATAGAAGCCCAAAACTCTTCCCAGTATTTATAGCTCAGTTGATTGTCATGGTAAAAATACAATGGTGGCCTCTCCTAGAATATTGTGCTATATCCAAAGAAGTCTAGTAATGTTTTTACATGAATGCATATTTCCTAGAAGGATGATTTTGTCACGGCTAAAATGGCCGCTGTTTCTTTAATGGGAATAAAGCTGGGTCAGCATGACTCAGCGGCCTGCAGCAGGTTGTATATATAAAGTGAGAAATGTTAGTTTGTGCTGAGGCTGGAGTTTGGGTTGGTGCGTGCTGGTGTGTATAGTTATTCAGTCGTGTTTTGCACAAAGACTTTTAAGAATAAAACTCTGCAAGGATATTCTCGTGGACTCTTTTTGTGCCGACAAGGGTCCGAGGACCAGGCTGAGGAGACAAAGGGAGGTCAGAACCTTTTCCTTCTTTTTTTTTGCTTTTTACAAACACTGACAGATTTCATGCATCAATTGCAAGAGTTTGATTGGTGGTCTGGTCTACTGCACCCATTTAGAGTTTACATTTTCCCACGTTTGCAATTGTCACCTAACACTTGAAATAATTTTTTCCAACTCCTAATCTTGCATCATATGGAATTTTAATAATCCTTTGGAAAGTTACCTCACAGTGGAACTTGTTTCTAAGTAGAGGTAGTTAAGATCAGGCTGCATGCAGAATTCCTATCTCATTCATCCTTTGAAAAAGCTTCATGGTGTCCACTTTACTTCCACTTTACGGAGGCTTAAGTCATAATAATATTATATATCTCCACGGCAGAGTTTGGATTCGAACCTCTTGTCATGCATTTGGCTCCTGTTGCTGTGCACAGTGGTGTCACTTTTTTCATTCCCATTTCACAATATTGCTGCAGAATTTCCATTTCCATGTGGAGAATTTGAGAACTGGGTTTTAAGTCCCTGCTTAAAATATATATACAGAAATTCTCATGAGAAGGGATGGTTGAGAGTGTTCCTCTCTCTCTCTCTCTCTCTCTCTCTCCATAGTGAACTATTAGGCGAACTTCTTTTAAAACAGAGAGTCACATTACCCAAAATATCAGGAGGAGCTCCTCCTTTTTGTCCCAGAGGCAAATGGAAAAGCATCTCAGGCACGTAGTTCCCTTAGGTGTACCTGATCTACACATTTCTCCCACACCCACCCCTTCTTGTTTAGTCTGTTCCTCCTATCCCCAGGATCCTATCAACAAAAGAGTTAGTCATCTAACCAACTGAGCAGCCTTTACATTTAAAGGTGGAAACCAGAAGCATTGCAAATGCAGCAAGTCAATGACTGGCTAGTTCAAATTGGTGTGGGAAATTCAGTCCCACCCCAGCCTCACCCCATCTTCCATTCCACCCAGAGGTAGAGCACATGCTCTGCATTCAGAAGGCCCCCAATTCATTCCTTGGTGTTTCCAGTTAGGGCTGGGAAGTTTGAGAAAGATTTCTTCATGAACCCCCAGAGAGCCACTGCCGGTCAGGGTTGACAAAACCAAGCTAGAAAGGTCTGAATTGGGTGTGTGTGTTCACATTACCACCTGAGGGTGCAGTGATGTTGTGTATTTCCAGGTGCATTTCACATCAGCAGAGTTTCCTTAGCGTCTGATTCTTTTCTGCGTGTGCAAGCACACCTGGGGGGCAGGAACATTTTTACACCCTGCTATTGTGTTCACACTTTGGCAAAAGGTGGATTAGGCCTGGGCTTAAGGACTCCAATTAGTGTGAAGCTGGTTTGAGAAACAACTCATCAAGAGTTGTATTTCATAACAAAGTGCAGGTTGCATATGCATTTTGGATAATGTCTCATGAACAGGGATTAAGAATCCAGCGCTGGAAACACAGTGAGTATAAAGTATCTTCCTCTGTTCTCCTAATTCTGAACCCTATTTTCCCCCTTGAAGATTATCAGGTGTGCAATTGGCAACAGAAACCAATCTGGAGAGCCATAGATTCCCTGTTGTCAGGATGTTGTCAGTGGCTCCTGACTGGTTACCCAGGAAAGTATAAAGACAAGAAAAAATTTCTTACCATCCTTTTTTATCTCAATATTTACAGAGAAAGGCTATAGAACTCAGCCTCTTGGATAATGGCATTGTCCCAAGTGAATCTCCACCCCCCCACCCCTGTCTCTCCCACTTCCTCATTCATCACTTCTACGGGTGCTGCTAAGTGCCCACTGTCTTTGAGCTCTTTGCTCTCCTACTTTTAAGGCTCTCCAGGTTCTGGGAGACGGAGGGTCTGGAATGCTTTCCAATGACACCGTGTCAGCCAGCTGCTGCTCTGGTTCTGCCTCCTCTTCCTCCTCTTCCTCTCCCATTATTTCCCAACTTTTCCCCTCATCTGCCTCTGAGCTGCTACCTCCCTCAAACCCGTTGTAAATCTATACTGTCTTCCTCTTCCTCCTCCCTGGAAGGGTCAGGATGGGGAGGCAGTCTCCATCATTCTTTCTCTGCCCAGTCTCTGACGCCTATCCCAGGATAATGGTGATGATGATGATGATTTATTAATTAATTTAGTTTGTATACCACATTTCATCCAAAGATCTCAGGATGGTTCACAGCATAAAATCACAAACTAAAAACACAAAGTTTGTTGCGCTTGTGATTACCTTATGCTATGTCCTGTAATTATCTATCAAAAGAGACATTTCCATAGTATGCTTTGTCAGAAAGAGTTTCTAAATCACAGAACTGTGAAGAAACTCGAAACCAGAACCTCCCAAGAGTTCAGAAACTAGAAGAAATCTGGAGTGGACCTCCAGCTGTCAGTGGATGAGGTCAGAGAAACCTCTTCCTCCTTTTGCAACTGCCACAAAAATCTGTTCGTTTCTGCACCCACCACTCTCATCGCTGTGCTTCCCTCCACCACCACCCCATACCCCTGCTAGAGATTCAAGTTTCTGAACTTCCCTGTGTTAAACTCCGAAGAATGAATAAATCTGAAAGGTGATGCTTATGCAAATGTCATGTTCCTAACCTGATCAGAAAATGGAGTCAAGATGGGGAGGAGGTAAGGCAGGGAACATTCAATACAAACTAATTGGCATCACGTCAACACTGCTGCCCTTTCCTGAGTTAGCAGCTGCTTTTACAATACGGTCTCTCCTTTTTTCAAAACTCCCAATTCCCCCTCCCACTGAAATATCTGTTTCACATTATTTTCCCCAAGATAAACTGCCTACATATTTCTATGCTGAATCTCACACTATTATTTCCTGCCCATATGGTGTCTCAGAAACCAGGGAGTCATAAAAGGAGTGACAAAGCATTGTGAGAAAAAGCATCAAGCTGCGTGCTTCTTTTTTTGTTTTTTTGTTTTTTACAAATGTGAATTGTGTGCTGTTGGCAGATTCTTGTCGTTGTCTTGTTGGGTTGTGTATGTGATAAAGGGGAGCCATACCAGGGTGAAGGCATCTTCTTCTGTTTGTCCCCATGTCAGTTTCAGTTTATTGGTCAGTTTTTCTAATAAAGCTGTTTCCCATACTATTTGGTACCATTGGTCCATGCTGACTCCTGACAGGTCTCTCCACTGTCTGGCTATGATGTTTCTGGCTGCTGAGAGTAGGTGGGTTATGTGCTCTTTATGAACCAATAAATCTTTAATAAAAAATATGTAAAAATAAAATATAATGTGAATTGTGTGTCTGTATCTGAGTGTGAATGAAGGAGAGGATGATCAAGACAGGGAGTAACCCTAACCCTAAAAACAGTGGGTGTGATTCTAAGATGCAAATAAGCAACTCCACGCATACATCCAAAATTTGGGAAGATTATAGGGAGAGTGAAATGTGAATCCCTGGGAGCGACTTCTAGCACAATAGAAAAATTGAAAAGATACAACAGAAATTAAAACACAACCTTAACAACAATTTAAACACTGATACACACATCATACGTCCCTAAAAGACATCATTCACATAAAACCAATTTACAATTACCAGCCAAAAGATCCTCTAATCAGTTTGCACCATCAAATGCCTGGGAGGAAGTCTCCTGATGCAGGTAACCCCACTGCCTCACTCAAACTTAAAGAGTTGCTTTTGGGAACTGTACTCACCCGCATGGGAAACTTACAAGGGGTGAAAATATTCACATGTGTGTCTTCACTGCTAATAGGGAGAGGCAGATTAGAACAGTGATTAAGAGCACAAGCATGCCAATAATCACAAAGAAGCCTCAGCCTCATTCCCACCACCCCTCTGTAACATGGGGAAAACAGTGCTGCCAGAGGTGGTTTTAGAGTGGCGCAACAAGTGTGGTCGCCCTGAATGCTGCGCTGCAGGGGGCACTAAAACTGTGTTTCAGAATGGAGCAGGTTGTGCGTCTAATTTTAGCGTTGCACAGGGCGCCGCTGAAAGTTGAGACCCCTAAGACCGCCACTGATGCTGTCCTACCTTGTATGGTTGTTGTACATATTACAGAATAGCGTATGAACACCGAATGCCTGAGCTGGGAAACCTGAGACCTGGTGAGCAAATGGGCTCCTGCAGCCTCTCTACCTGGTCCTCAGGACTTTCACTGCCCAGCCACAGCTTTTCTCCCCAGGCCACACCCACTCACCAGCCCTGCTTTGCACCCTCCTCAACTGTTTTTGCCTGGCTGAAATTTGTCCTTGAACTGGCCTAGATGGAGGATAGAGGGTGATGTGTGAGTTTGTGGAGAAAGAAACAAAGGGCAGCAGCTGTGATGGGCACAGATCTTTACTCACTGTGGTTTCATGGGTCTGCTTGTCAAAGGGACGCACCCAGAAACCTGACCTCAAAGCTCTCCTGAGCATATGAATGTTGCAAGGTGTAGACTCAGCAGGAAGTGCCATATGACCATGTGAAGTGTCTTATTCTTCTCTCCACCCCCCACATGTCCTCCTCATGGCTATGAGTGGTCTATGCCACCCCCATTAGTTATGAACAGCTTGGCTAATATGTTCATTAGAGCATCATGTGAAGACTTGTCATGGTGATGGGACCAAAGAATGACAAATTTGAGCATTTTGATTTCTCTCTGCTTACAACAACAACAACAACAACAACAACAACAACAACAACTTTGTGCCACCCTCACTGCCACCTTGCCCCTCCCCCTTCTGGTAAGCAGCAGAGACATATCTGCCAGGAATTCAGGTAAGCACCTCCTCCCTTTCTGAGCAGCACTGATTCCACAAGGAACTTCCATCTGGAAGATCCCTTCATGGGAATGCACAACTTTTTTTTTCCTCACAGATCACCTGACATTGCCATTATCAAAATGCCAAAATACTCGTTTTTCCATTCAATTCAGATTTTTCCCTCACCATGGAAAAACTGTGAAGTAAAACTAGTCCACTGCAGATCAACAGCCTGATGGTGATGTAGAAATCCATTAGCACATTTTCACAAGCAGGTTTCTCACAGAAGTAGTGATGTTTCTGTGGATGAATATATTGCCCTACTCCTGGATGTTTTGTAGCCCAAATAATACAAGCATTGCCTATTTTCACTGAGTGCCAAATGTTGTGGGCATGTCAGAATTTCAAAAAATCAATTCTGAGGTGCTATTATCTCGTGATCTAAACACATGTGGGGAGTTACCTTGGAGACTGTAAACATAGTATATACATTGGGATTTAAGATAACACTACAAGCCTTCTCCCTGTGGATTAAAAAAAGGAACAATCTGTATGCACAGGTACAGAAGTACTTGTTGCATAATGGAGGGTGGGGAGTAATGGTTAAGGGGAGGGGCCAGGAATCATCATATGCAAACATTCCATCAAGGACCACCCACTGGTGCAGACAAAAGATTGTTGGATACCTAAGAAAAATCTAACAGTAAGAAAGCGTACTGACAGTCATGTGCCAGTTCGCTCTTTAAAGCTGAATCAGAGCAAACAGCAACAGAAAGAGTGCCCAGACACAGAGCTTTAACACAGAGACCTGTGCCTGGAAAGAGCAAGGTCAAAGGTAAATGTGGATAAGCCCAAACACTGTTTTCCTCCTGTGCTGCTATTGTTTATCACTGCTGCTTGTAAAAAAAAAAAAAAGTTGAAAGGTGGTCTCACTCCTTCTCCTGCAATGTGCCACACGGAAAATAGTAATTCAAAAGGCGTGTACTTTTTTGGGGGGGGTGTCAATTGACACAAACTCATGAAATTGCATATGGGTGAACTACTGACTAGTAGACTGAGCCTTGTTCCAGAATCCAGAGCTTTTAAAATCCAGGCTACCTTCTGCATTACAGATTCCAATGGTAGTTCAAATTATTCGTCCAGAAGACACTTGCGATGATTGGTATTGCGAGCCCCACATTTTCAAAACACATGACTTAGCTTCCTGAAATCATGAGATGAAAGAATAACACTTGATGTTGTTTTCATTTATCTCCTAGGTTCTGAGCTTCCTTGTTCTCAAACCACATCTTAGCCATGAGGAGTAGAATTTTCCTCCTCCTTCGTTGAAAATTAAAATATTGTGCAAAGCGACTGGAGGCTTTCAAACCACCTTTGCCCAAAGGCAAGCCATCATCAATATTGAATTACGTTGCCATCATTGAAACGACTTCCATTTCCCAGCTATAATCCCTGTTCTGGGATTATTTCTTAATGAAGAGCAGGGTGTAAATCATCTAAACAAATAAATCAAATCAAATTATAGCCGTGTATGATCCTGCAGCCCAAAGCTAAACAGTAGTGAGAGATGGAAGTGCATCGAAGAGACCTGAGTATCAGTTACATTTCATTCGCATTTAGAAAACTCTGTGAAAGGGATTAGCACTCTATTACTATTATTAAACTGTGCTGGGGAAAGATGACGTGTTATCCCTGTGTCTGTTTTTCTTGCAGGGAGGGATGGTACCTTTGAAAAACTGCCAATAAATAATTTTTTTTTAGAAGAGGGAGGGGAAGAGAGCGCTTGGGGCTGGAGCTGCCCAGTTGCGCACCTGCAGAAAGGTGCTGGGCTTGCATTTCTTTCTTTCTTTAAAAAAAGGCCATCAAGTAGCAACAACAGAAGCAACGTGTTATAGAAAACAAGAAACCGAGGGTGGTTTCTAGGCATGTCCCATCTCATAATAGCACCCTGCTCATGTGGCATCTGTTTCCAATGATAAATACAGGTGGCACCTGCTCAGGCTCCTCAAAGGCTTAAGTATAGGCTCAGCGTTGCCTGTCTTTAGAATGGCAGGGCCAAGAGACACCCTGCTAGGGGTGGGGGTGGGAATTCCATTCCATTCACACTGAAAGGTGAACTCACCTCATTGGCACTGTTCTGGGGTGATACATTAACCACAACACAGGCACACTTTGAAATTCACACTTCTTTGAATTTTGGAAGAAGAAGAAAAGGTCCAGCAAAATAATGTGTGCAAAAATGCATCTACTGGGCTAAAATGCCTATAAATGGGAAATGGGGGGGGGGGGAATGGCATGATGTTAGGGGAAATGGTTTTGCAAACATGTGCAAAATTGAATGCAAAATGTGTCTATTGGGAGAAATTCACACTAAAATGTCAAAGGATTATTCAAAAACGACTTTCATTGCAGGCAAGACAGGGCTAGGTGGAGCAATGGTTGGATTTGGCAGAAAGCAGTTTCCTATGTTCCTATAAGCACAGGTGTGCAAAATACAGTGGTACCTCAGGTTACAGATGCTTCAGGTTACAGACTCCGCTAACCCAGAAATAGTACCTCAGGTTAAGAACTTTGCTTCAGGATGAGAATTGAAATCACGCGGCAGCAGCACAGGAGGCCCCATTAGCTAAAGTGGTACCTCAGGTTAAGAACAGTTTCAGGTTAAGAACGGACCTACAGAATGAATTAAGTTCTTAACCCGAGGTACGAGTGTAGGGTTGGAGAAAAGCTGCAGGGAGGGAGTTAGAAGGGGGAAATTGGAGGCAAAGGAAGACTCAACTGTCCTCCTTTTGCTTTTCTGACGGAAAACACGCCCTCCCAGCCTTGTTTTGGCAAGGTGATGACAGAAAGTGTAATTCCACATAAGTGAGTAAATTTCTTCTGAATTGTTCAAACTGTCAGCCATAGTTTACCAGAAGCCTGGGAAGTGTGAGATGTGAAAGGTTTTGTGGAAGAAGGCACATTACTGGGTGTTTTAAAAAACACTGTTTATTACTGTGCATGAACTATGCACAAGGTCTGGAGATACCCATGTGATACAGTGTTTTGCAAAACATGTGATGCCCTTCAGAACATTGCGATGAATTGAATTTGTCATGCATGACCCTTTGGAGCTAGATATAGGAGCTTTTATTGAGGTCACAGGAAAAAGAGAATTCCAGTTTTGAAATCTGGGATGTTTAGCATTTTTTCGCTCTCCACAGGGTCCCTTGGTTCTGAGATGAAAAGCAGTTTAGCATCACATGGATAGTTTGTGGGCCAGTTTTAGTGCCATGTAAATAATAATAATGAAAAATAATAAATTTTATTTATATCCCGCCCTCCCCAGCCGAAGCCGGGCTCAGGGCGGCTAACAACAATAAAACAGTACAAAAGTACAGCACAAACAACACTCTAAAATCATTCATTATAAAATTAATTAATTCAAGCCACTGGCAACCATTGGGCCAGAGCTCCGCGAAGATTGCCGAGGGAGGGAGTCAGGCTGTGCCCTGGCCAAAGGCCTGGTGGAACAGCTCTGTCTTGCAGGCCCTGCGGAAAGATGTCAAGTCCCGCAGGGCCCTGGTCTCTTGTGACAGAGTGTTCCACCAGATCAGAGCCACGGCCGAAAAAGCCCTGGCTCTAGTTGAGGCCAGCCTAACTTCTCTGTGGCCTGGGACCTTCAAGATGTTTTTATTTGAAGACCGTAAGTTTCTCTGTGGGGCATACCAGGAGAGGCGGTCCCGTAGGTACGAGGGTCCTAGGCCATATAGGGCTTTAAAGGTTAAAACCAGCACCTTAAACCTGATCCTGTACTCCACCGGGAGCCAGTGCAGCTGGTATAGCACCGGGTGAATGTGATCTCGCAGCGAAGACCCCGTAAGGAGTCTCGCTGCAGCATTCTGCACCCGCTGGAGTTTCTGGGTCAGTCTCAAGGGCAGCCCCACGTAGAGCGAGTTACAATAATCCACTCTGGAGGTGACCGTCGCGTGGATCACAGTGGCTAGGTCAGGGCGAGAGAGGTAAGGAGCCAACTGCTTAGCTTGGCGGAGATGGAAAAATGCCGCCTTTGTTGTAGCTGCAATCTGCGCCTCCATGGAAAGGGAGGTGTCGAAGATTACACCCAAACTCTTAACGGATGGTGCTGGCACTAATTGCGCCCCCGCTAGAGATGGGAGTTGCCCCCCCAATCCCATATCGTCCCGTCCCAGCCACAGGACCTCTGTCTTCGAAGGATTTAGCTTCAACCGGCTCCCACGTAACCATCCAGCCACAGCTTCCAAACATCTGGTCAGTGTGTCTGTGGCCGAGTCAGGATGGCCATCCATCAACAGATAGAGTTGGGTGTCATCAGCATACTGATGGCAACCCAGCCCAAAACTCTGGACAAGCTGGGCAAGGGGGCGCATAAAGATGTTGAAAAGCATCGGGGAGAGTATCGCACCCTGAGGTACTCCACACACCAAGGAGTGGCACGATGACAATTCCCCCCCAAGCGCCACCCTCTGTCCCCAACCACAGAGAAACGAGCGCAGCCATTGAAGGACTGTGCCCTGGATCCCCACGTCGGCAAGGCGGTGGTCCAGAAGTTCGTGATCGACCATGTCGAAAGCTGCTGACAGATCTAGAAGAATCAGCAGCCCCGACCCACCTCGATCCAGCTGTCTACGAAGATCATCTGTTAGGGCAACCAGAGCCGTCTCGGTCCAATGACCAGCGCGGAAGCCGGACTGGAATGGATCCAGAGCCGATGTTTCATCCAGGAACCCACCAAGCTGTTCAGCAACCGCTCTCTCAATCACCTTACCCAGGAACGGAAGATTCGAAACCGGGCGGTAATTGGATAGATCTAAAGGATCTAATGATGTTTTCTTTAAGAGCGGGCGCACCACTGCCTCCTTCAGTTCCCCTGGGAATGTCCCCGTGCCAAGGGACAAATTGATGATATCCCCCAGGAGGGCCCGCACCTCGTCTGGACACGCTCTAATCAGCCAAGACGGGCACGGGTCAAGAGGACAGGTGGTGGGCTTTCCAGCTCGGAGGAGTCTGTCCACATCGGCTGGGGATATCCGGTTGAAGTGGTCCAATACTGGACCTGAGGACAGTTGAGGGGCCTCTTCAACTGATCTCCTTTCTAAGGACATTAGATTTCTAAGTCACAGAACAGGGGAATTTCCTGTGAGTAGCACCATTGGTTCACCTGGCTCAGTGACCCTGAGTCAGTTTTTTCTACACACTGAAAGGCAGCAAGGGATGAGGGAGCAATTCAATTCATTTAGCATACAAAGGTAAACTTACCAAATTCACACTTTCCACAACAATATGTGAACTGAAACACAAGCAACCTTCAAAATGTGCACTTTCCCCGATTTTGCAAGGCAGTTCTCCAGCCAATCAACGTGTAGAAAAATGGATACATATTAGGATAAAGCCTGCATATAATTACACGTATTAGTGAAAATAACATACAAAAATGGCTTGTGCTTATGGGCGTAGTTGTTGAAGCAGCATACAAACATATTTATTAGGAAAAATTTGCACTAAACTGCAAACTGGAGAGATGATTTCAAGCCTGGAAAGATGAGGGGAATTGGAGAGAACCAAAAATTTAGAGATTATTCCATCCCTACTCCCAGCCCTAGCAGGAGATGCTGGGGATTGACCCCATGGCCTTCTGCTAGGAAAACATGTGCATGAATTCTGCTAGGAATGCATGAATTATGGCCTTGCTATGTTCATGACAGAAGCACAGGATTGGCCGAGGGAAAAGCTGCTGGAAGGAAGCAACTGGAGCTGGGAAGTGGAACAGTGTGGACTTAGCCTTCTCCATGCTAAGTGACCTAGTGATGACTAGCAGAGGTGTCATCAGTTCCATGAAGTGTCCTCAGTCCAGTATAAAACACCATAACAAACTGTATCTTGTACGGCTAGTAGATCACTTATCTGTTGGACACAGTTTGTACTTCCAACTGACATGCTGACCTTTCTGGGGCTTATCCTGCCAGAATAACTCACAGACTAGATCACATTCGTCTCGCAGTGCTGCTGTTCCCTGCATCCTGTATCTCAGGGTCAAACGAGGACAGCCATCACCAGTCCGGCATTCACATGGCCTGAATGTATTTACTTGGTATCTAAGGGGTGGCTGGGCGGATGGCTCTGTAAAGCTGCCCTTATGAAACTGGGTTTCAGGAGAAGCCAATGTAATACTTTGTGCAGGATTGCACCTGCACCCCATCCAAGGAATAAACCAGACCCAGGAGCTTTTCCAGGGTCAATGTGAAGGAACTGAATTACAATTCACCATGAGGTTCAGTGCTCTCAGGTGGTGCAATGGACCAGCGTGTTTTGCTCTTTACCAGAAGGTTGGTGGTTCATGCCCACCCAGGACAGGATTCCTGCATTGCAGGGAGTTCGACTAGGTGACCCTCAAGTTCTATGATTTGAATTTGGGATAAAGGATGTGGTTGTTGTTATCAATACCTGGATGTCTTTGTTATCAAGAGCAGCTGCCTGTCCTTTTTCACCCGTAATTTCTTTCTGATCTCATTATTTATAGTAGCCACTTTTAGGATATTTCCGTTCCACCTTAAGAAGGGAGCAGGTTGTTGTGTCACAGCCTGCGTATTTCCTGTTCACAGGAAGTTTCTCTTTTGTATATGCTTTCGTTTTCTCTCTGTGCCTGAACATCGCATACAGGCAGTCATGTTTTTTCTTTGTTCTGACCAACGCTGAATAAAGTTGTAAATAATGCTCTCCTGAGTGCATCTTTTGCTGTGCGAACTCTGCTGAAAGAGCGTGCACAAGCCCTGGAATGTGGCAAGCTATCTCCGAGGCTTGTGTCGCTAATTGACTGATACTGTATCTACGGGAGGTTGATGGATCGTCCAGAAATGGCGTGGGGGCATGATGGCCTTTGTCTCCCTGGCAGTATCCCAACAACAGGTTATGGGCCCAGATTCACGGCACTTACAGGAGAGTAAGACTGCGACAGACTGCAGAGGTATGTGGAGAAAAGTAAGGCTTTTCTGTTGCTGCAGCAGAGCAGAGACTTTGATGTCCGGCTGGCTAATTAGCCTGGGAGCTGAGCCAAAGAGGCTTCGTGATTTATGGGCTGCCAAGATAAGGTGTTTTTGAAGGCATAAAGGCTCACGGCTCAAGTAAAAACCTGGGATGGAGTTTTTACAGGCCTCAGATGCTCCTCAGTGCCCAAAGTTAAATCGGCACAATTATGAGACCTGGGCAGTGTGGTGTGAGAGCTTGCTTCGTCAGTTTGGAATGTGGCATACTGTGTGTGAAGCCCCTCCAGTTCCTCTGACAGATAGATGGAGGGCCCAAGATTCAAAGGCCATAGACGTAATAATCTTGTCCGTCTCTCTGGAGGAAATAACAACACTGGCTGGCAACACCACAGAACGTCAGATGTGGAATGCTTTGAAAGTAGCCCATCTGCCGGTCATCCCAGCCCAGAGTTTGACTGCGTCGGAGGTCCTGGCTGTTTCCCATAATGCGAGTGAATGCAGGGATGCCGAGGGCACCGGTTGCAAGCTGCAGGGGGAGCTGACTATGATGTCATCCCAGGCAGCATTCCAGACTCCAGGGGGAGCCAAGGAGTCGGCAGCTGAGAGCTCTGTTTCTCATGAGAGCCAAGGTCATCCTCACAGATACCGGAAGGCCAGAATTAAACAGAGGAAGAAGCCTGCAGGTGGCCCGAAGCAGAAGGGGGGTGAAAAGCCCAAGCCAGGGAAAAACAAGGCTTTGTTTGCTGGCAATGCTTCACCAAAGGCTACAGGCAAGTTTGATGGCCAGGAGCAGGGGGGCAAGCAGCAGCCCAAGCTGGTGGAAGACAAGGTTTTGCTTGCTGGAAAAGCTGCTCCAAAGGCCAAAGCCAGATTTGTTGTGGATTCTGGCACATCAAGGCACATTGCCAACAACAATCGTCTGTTTATCTCCTTCACGCCTCAAGATGGAGAGATCCACCAGGCTGATGGAAAGACGTTGTGAATCTCAGGAGAGGGGACTGTGAGACTGGCAAGTCTGCACACTACCATCAGAGATGTACTTTATGTTCCAGATTCTGCAGACAATTTGCTCAGTGTCCCACAGCTGACTGGGCGTGGCTTTGAGATTTCCTTCAAGAGGAGCGTCTGTGTCATCAGGAAAGGCAAAGAGGACATTTTGCATGCAAAGTTTATAGATGGTTTATTCTGTATAACTTATGATGACAATGCTGTTGCTGTGTCTAATGTTGATTCTTGTTGTGTTGCACAAACTAACAAAGTTCTTCATGCAGGATGCATTCACGAGGCGCACAGAAGATTTGGTCACATGTCTTGGCAGGCGCTGGCCAAGATGCCTGAATTGGTTCAGGGTTTGAACATCAAGCCCTGTAAGTTTCACATGAAATGTGTATCTTGTGCAGAGAACAAGGTGAAGGTTGCTCCAAAAGGCAAGGAGTCTAGCAGGCAGGCTTCCAAACCCTACCAGCTAGTCCACGCAGACCTGGTTGGTCCACTTGCGCCCTCTTTGGGTGGAGCAAGGTACTTCATGGTTCTAATTGATTCTTTTCCCAGGTACATTCATGTGTTTATGCTCGAGCAGAAATCGCAAGCGATTCCTAGGTTCAAGGCATTCTGTGCTTGGTTGGAGAATGTTCACAGTAAACGTATTGGCTGTCTCTTTACTGATCGGGGCAGGGAGTTCACTTCTCAGCAGTTTGAAGCTTTCCTGACTGAGAAGGGAATCCAGCATGACCTCTCAACGCCTAGATCGCCATGGATGAATGGACTTGCTGAGCGAGCAAACCAGACTTTGCTTCAAGGCCTAAAAACCTTGTTGCATGATGCCAATCTCCCTGAGAAGTTTTGGGGGGAGTCTCTGAACATGTTCGCTTATTCCTATAACAGGAGACTGTCATCACCTATTGGTTGTACTCCCTATGAGAAGATGTTTGGTAAGAAACCTTACGTCAAGCACATGAGAATCTTTGGTTCTGACATGTGGGTACACACCCCACAGAGCAACAAGCTTGGAAAGCGTGGGGCACATGGTTTGTTCATGGGGTACGAAAAAGGTGCATACAGGGTATGGATGACTGACTCTAAGTCCATTAAGTTCACAAAGAGTGTTGAGTACAATCCTAAGTGGGGGGGAAATGTGGGAATTTTCCAGAGTTACCCAGAGGAAGATGAAGATGATGTGAAAAAAGCAGATAATGTTGAGGTAAAAGAGGAAGCTGAGGATGATGATGATGATCAGAGTTCGGATTCCAGCTCAGTGGGCGGCGCTGCTGCTGGTGTCAGTGACAGTGATGACTCAGCAGACTACAAGAGCACAAAGGCCTCAGTCAGACCATCTGATGCGTCTGACAATGAACTGGAAGAACCACTGTTCACCATTGGTCACTTTTCTCCTAAGAAGGAGGAGATGACTGAAGAAGACTTGCATCTAGTACACAGATCTGAAAGGGCGACAAAAGGCAAACCTCCAAAGAGATTTGCTGATGAGTTTGCTAAGACAGCAACTGCTGTTCTTAGTAGCTCAGAGAAGGTGTGGGAACCTTCAAGCTTCAAAGAGGTTCAGGAGTTAACCTCTAAAGATGCTGAGCCTTGGCTTAATGCCATGAAGGCTGAAGTTGATTCCTTGAATAGGAACCAAACTTGGGAGCTGGTACCGGTAGTCCCAGGAATGAGACTGGTTGGCAGCAAATGGGTCTTCAAGGCCAAGACAGACCAGAATGGCAAGGTAGTCAGACACAAAGCCAGATTGGTTGCCAGAGGTTTTTCACAGGTACCAGGACAGGATTACCACGAGACCTACTCATCCACCGTCAAGTATGAGAGCATTCGGCTAATGCTCAAAATTGCTGCAGAGGAGAAACTGCATGTTTCCCATCATGACATTAATACAGCTTTTTTTGTACGGGGTTTTGGGGGAGGAGCTGTATATGCTTCCACCTGATGGAATGCAGATACAGAAGGGAATGGTCTGTAAACTTCGGAAATCCTTATATGGTCTCAAGCAGAATGCCAGGTGTTGGAACACAAAACTCACTGAGACATTGCTTTCTCTAGGTTTTCACCAGGGCAAAGCTGATCCATGTGTGTTTGTCAAGGAGGAGGGGCAAAACAAACTGTATTATTTATGTTTTGTTGATGATCTTCTGATGTTTTGGAAGAATCAGGCTTTGTACCAAAGCACCCTAGCTCAGCTGAAGGAGCACTTTGACATGAAGGATCTTGGTGAGGTGTCCAACTATCTTTCTCTGCAGGTGGAGAGGGACCAAGCAGGTAATTTTCTGGTACACCAAACACAGAAAATTGCTGATGTATTAACCAGGTTGAATTTGGTTGATGCAAACCCAGCAGACACACCGATGGTGACAGGTTACCAGGTAGATAGTACTGCTGAAGCGTTTTCTGACACTATGCTGTACAGATGCATTCTAGGCAAGTTGAATTTCATTGCTAGATGCTCAAGGCCTGACATAGCTGTCAGCACTAACCTGCTTAGCAGACATGCTAACAATCCTACTGTTCAGGATTGGAAGGCTCTGAAGCGCATAGCCCGCTATTTGAAAGGGACTTTGCACTACAGGCTGAGGTTCACCAGTCAGAAGACTGGAGGTCTTGAAATCTTTGCAGATGCTAGTTTTGGAAGTGACACCACGGATGGTACAAGCACTTCTGGAGTATGCTACATGTACAACCACTGTCTGTTTGACTGGCTGTGCAAGAAGCAGACAACAGTAAGCCTAAGTTCCTGTGAAGCAGAACTCAATGCTCTGTCATTTTCACTCATGGATTGTGAATGGTTGATGCAACTGTTTAAGGACATCAGAGTTTCTGTGAAATGTCCTATACAAGTGTATCAAGACAATAGATCCTGTTTGGCTTTGCTGAACTCAGAGAGTTGCAAGCAAAGAACCAAGTATCCCAACAGCCACCCCCTCCAACCATGCCTATATATACCTGCAACTCAATATAATGCTTCGTGAATCCACCAGTGGACTGCAGCCAAAGAAAGTTTATGCGCCAATAAATTTGTTAGCCTTTGTTGTTTTTAGTTTCCACTTAATCAAACTTGCACATTCTTCCCCTTTAAGAGAGAAACTCTGAGATTTAAGGCTTGTCTCCTTACCTTTGTCCTACAAAATGTCATATTCTCCCTTTCAAAGTGTGGATTGTATCTTGACAAACAGTTTCCTGGTCAAGTTCGTCTGCTCGTTCATCCTCACCAGCCTCCTTCTCCTCCCGTTCACAACTGCACAGCAACCCAAGGCAGCCGCGATAATTCTCACTCACAGCAAAGGAACACCAGGGAAGAATTTATGGATGTTCTTCTGAGAAGGGCTAAAGCTACTGTACATCAATAATTTCTCTGCACATGCGCACACCCCAATCTCAACACGTGTTCCAGCATCATAAAAGGGACTTCTGGTGGACCAGAACAGTGGGCCAGAACAAGAAGCAGAAGAAATGCTTCCAGAAAAAAACAAGTATTTCTACTGAGGCACATTCAGTGCATAGTATAGCGTAAAATACCATGTATCAGATTTGGGGGGTGGGGAACATTTCCTTCTGGGCCAGCTTCTGAGAGATCTGCATGCCAGAGGCAAAGATGGGAGGGGCAAGAGATGCAAGTTTGTGTCATTATTTATTTATTTAAGTAATTGACGACTCGCCTTTCGCATGCATCTCACGACGATTTGCAAACATATCATAAATACATTTTTTTTAAAATGAAACAGTACCAAAAAACTAGGATAGCTTTAAAAACAAGACATAATAAAGAGATGCAGAAATCTTGTCCAGCATGCGTTTTGTCCCGTGGGCTAATTTCTATGCTCTCTCATGCATCTGTCTCTGTCCTGCATCCTGACAAGCAAGGGTCTTTCTCAGAGTTCAAGGACACCTTTCCAGCCAAGCCAAAACACTCAAGAGTGTTTCGAAACAGGACAGGTGAGGGGCGTGGCCTGCAAGAAAGGAGTGTGCCTGTGAGGACTGCAATGTTGGGAGAGTCCCAAAGACCAGATCTAGAGGCCTGGGGGACTACCCTCTGACCCATGGGTAGGCAAACTAAAGCCTGGGGGCTGGATCTGGCCCAATCGCCTTCTAAATCCGGCCCACAGCTGGTCCAGGAATCAGCATGTTTTTACATGAGTAGAATGTGTCCTTTTATTTAAAATGCATCTCTGGGTTATTTGTGGGGCATAGGAATTCGTTAGGGTTTTCAAAATATAGTCTGGCACCAACAAGGTCTGAAGGACAGTGGACTGCCCCCCTGCTGAAAAAGTTTGCTGACCCCTGCTCTGACCCCACACCCCTGGTGCAGTAGACTGGCAGCAAGGACAGCATTGCCTTCCCTGGTGCACACCTCCAAGATCCCAACTGCTAACCCCTGGAGACTCCTGGCTCCCCTCCTCACTCTCACGGCCTGTTTGCTTGCCCTCTCTGAGCCTGCAAGCAGTGACAAGAGTGAAGAGGTGAAGCGCCCCACTCCTCTTGCCTTATGCTGTCCCTCTGGGCAGTTCTGCATCCTGGGCCCAGTGGGAGAGGGCAGGGAAACTGTGAGAAGGTGAAGTGAGCCCGCTCAGAGTGGACAGTGGAATCGCTGGGGGCACCTTACTCAAGCCCCCTAACCTTGATGCAGCAAGGAATTAGCATTGTGCTGCAGGTGGCACGGAGTAGGCACTCCACGTGGAGACATCCAGGCCACAGAAACCAGTCCTCTGCCTGTGGGAGTGCCTTCAGGAGAATGCCACAATGGACACACCCTGCAGCGTTGGACAGCTTGGCATTCCAAGGAGTCAAAGTGCACTCCGTCCCCTTGTACTTCTTTCCTTGAACAGGCGACGTTCCTGGCATTGTGGCCAAGGAGGGTGGCGTCAGCTTAGTGACTCACGAGGACATCGCCACCCAATGTACCCAGGCAGCTGTTGGCCTGTTTGTTTATACTGGATGTATCCCCTTTGCATTGTTACCACATCTGTAACTATGTTTTTTTTATGGTTGGCAACCATTACTCAAGATTTACTAAACAGACCTGGCCAGGGTGTCTTCTCTCCGGTGACTCATCAGGCTTGAAGTCACTCCTTTCTGTAGCGTAGGCTGGGGTCCCCCTCCTCTTGCTGCTGCTCCTGTTGCATCAAGCCACAAAAGAGAGAGAGGGAGGGAGAGAGAGAGGCTTTGCAATAGCTGGGTCCCCGCCCAGAAACTTCTGGCTCACTGCCAAGCAAGCAGGGCGTAGTATATTTTTTTAAAAAAGAAAGAAATTTCATGAAAGCCAGACTGATTCATAGAAACTCTTCTAAAGCACAGTCAAAAAGACACCACCCATCCCAGCACACCAGCAGGGGAAACTTATAACCCTCGCCAGCCGGAGCACTCCCTTCACTGCAGCTCTGAGTTTCAAGGCAGCCGGAGTTCAAGAGCACAGCTCCTTCTGCAAAAGACCTCTTTCTCTAAGGTAAGGATGCTTCCCAACAGAACCTGACTGTGCCTTGTGGCTTTGCAATTTTGTCTTGTTTGGAGCTAGCACCTGCCTGTCTTTCCTCTCCTCCACTTTCGGGCTCACAAAGTTTCAGAGAGTTTGGAGAGGGGGACAGGCTGTCCTTGATTTTAATGCACTTGCCCTGTTGCTGTTTAATTCATTTGGAAGACCCCAGTCCAGCGACGTTTCTTGCTGGCGTCCCAGACACTGTATGCAGGCTGCATTCCTTGCAACAATTAGAATATGGGGGTTCACTTAGAAGAGGGAAATGGAACGAAGTGCCTAATGGGTGACTGTTGCAGAGAGGGGAATTGCTACATTCCTGTATTGTGACACGCATGCATTTGCAAACCTTGCGGGCAGGAGAAAGTCAAAATCTAAAGAAAAGTCAACTGAAGGAAGGGCTGACACTTGCCACAAGGATGACCACAATTCAGGTACTCTGGAAGAAACGGGCACAATCCGTTTGTTCCAGAGTAACTGACTCTGCTCAATATATTGTCCCTGCACTGTGTACAGTGAGTCTTCTTCTATTGCATTAGCAGGTCTGGTCTGTGACACTTGGGTCCCCTCCCAAGCCCTCATAGTTAGAAAGATTTAACTTGAGCTGGGAAGATTCCCAGCTAGCAAGAATGATGTTGAATACGCCCTTTCAGCTGGAAAAGTAACAATGGTTTTTAAAGTGGGGGCGGTTATTTGAAGTGGGGTGGATCTACACAGTTTGGAGTGTCTTAACAAGTTGTAAGCTATTGGGCTGTGTGTGGAACTGGAACACATAGCTTAGCGTGCCTTCCTTTCCCCAGAAATTCCTCTGGGGAAGGAAATCCTTTAAGGGCGATCCCTTAATAAACTTATATTGCATTGATTGGACTTAAAGAGTGAATTAGCTAATGGGCACAACAAGTGCATTGTTTGAGTGTAGATTGTGCCATGCACACGCAGTGTTTTGCAACGCAGATGGCATCATTGTCACGAGCAATTTCTACATGCCTCTTGGTGCTCCTGCCAAGTATCACCTGTGCAGAGTGATATTTAACTGGCAAATGTTATTGAATGCTTTGCACCCAAGGCAGTTAAGCACTTGTGGACCTTCAAATAGAGGGATCTTCCACTGAGGTCAGCGCTTTGCTGCATTCCAGTAGTGGATCAAACAAGAAAACATTTCAAGGATTATATTACAGTTCCCCACCTCCATCTGCTCAGAAGTAGGTCTCACCATGGCCATTTGGTCTTACTTAGGTAAATATGCATAGGGCTGCAACTTTATACTCACCTGTCAAAAAGGCCTCTGGTTATATAGCAGCATTATAGATCTTTATTTTTTAATGAAAGATTATATATATGTAACTGAAGTGGCGGTGGAGGAAAGATTTTGTTTGAATCGACTTGCACGCTGCCTGAAGGAATGCAGCTTTCCCTAGGTGTGGCCCATTTCAACATGTTTCCAGGGAGGGGAGGGTTCTCTCTCCTCGCACAGACAATGAAGGGAACAAAACTCCATTTGGAGGAAGAGATGACTCAGTTTGCCCCCAGTACAAACCAAGCTGGCCCTGTTAAGTATTCCCTCCAGCAGTCCCATCCAAGTACCTGGAATGATCCAAACTTTGCCTCCAGATTCATCTCATGCTGCTAGCAAAATATATATATATATAAATATAAATGCCCAAGAGGTGGAATGGGCAAGGCCCATTAAGCTCATGCTTAAACGTAGATTGCTTCCAGATAACACGGCACTGCAGAACCCCCTAATTAAACGGGCAATTATTTAGACTTTCATGATAATGGTCCACAATATCCTTGGCATATGCTTAGCCTTTAGCATGAATATTTCACTAATGCTCGGGATCTGCCATGTTGTGCTAGCTAAGGCATGCCCACCGAGTAAGAATTAGGACTTCTGCTTTGAAGACCTAGAGGTGCATCACGTCCTGTGGGTTGCATTCCAAATAGAATGCTTTTCTTTGTGCATGATGCCTTTGATCTTCTCTTGTGCACATTTGCGCTATTAAAAACAAATATATGTGTGAATGATAGCTGGTGCTGGTTTTATGTTTGCATTAGCAGGTGTGGATGACGCAAAAGGCCCTTCTGGGCTCACGTGTGGAGAAAAACCGCACCTTTGCTTTTTAACTCCATTGGAAGGGTAGGGAACTTCCACCATGGGCCAAAGAAGGCCGATGGAGTCAAAGTTGGGAAGGCTCATAGACAAATAAGTGGGGCAAATGTTTCAGAGCTTTCTTCCCCCATCCCACCTCACCCCATATGTTTAAAGCAAGGCTTGTTGAGTGCTAGATGGACTTCAAGAACAGGAGAGATTCTCTCACAAGCCGGGAAATCATTCCCCAGTTGGATCATGTTGCAGATGCATCATGTGCAGTGCGCCCATGATTTTTGGGCTGTGTGCTGCACATGCAATGCCATGTGACGGAGGGCTTTGTGTGGTCATGAAAGCTGTGGTTGGGCTGAGAACCATTCTGGAATGTTTCAGGTGACTCAGCCTGTGGTGTGTAGGAGGGGAAGAGAAGATGGTGCTTGCTCAAGGAACCTCACATGGCAGGGAGAGGGACCCACCAAATCTGCTGCCTTGCCTGCCACTTAGCCACAGCCCTGTTGGATCAATCAAAGGTCCATCTATTCCAGCATCTGGTTCCCACCAGTGGATAGTCTGAGATACCTCTGGGAAGCCCATAAACAGCACAGGAAGGCAAGGGTTTTGTTGTCGTTGTCTCTTCCCAGCATCTGGTATTCATTTTGCAGAGATACTGCATCTGAACATGGAGCTTCCACTTATTGCTCGTGGCCAATAGACATTGATATGAAATGACAACTATCATTATTAGTCAACCAGATCCCACAAGCAATTATCATAAGGCATCAGTCCTGTTAGTTGCCCTCAGCTAACTGGCAATCTAAACCTTCCTCATTAGCTTATGTGCTTGTTAAGGTCTTCACCAGTGTGGAACCTACTGCCAAAGGCAAATGGCGGCTCTGGAAAAGGCTTTCTCTGTGGTGGCCCCCTAGGGCTGGAATGCGCTCCCCAGGGCTGCTTGTCTGGCATCTAGGATGATAAGTTACAGGTACGACTAGATCAAGAACTTAAAAGGAAAATTGGCCAGGCTTTCCCCCTCGCTGGTAAATAAATAAAAAGCGGGGGGGGGGGGAGAAAAATATGATCCTAACTATTTTATAGTTTCTCTTTTTACTTTATTTCAATATTAATGCTGCTTTATTTTAATATTAAAGGCTGGTATTTGTTTTAGTGACATTTTAATTGATTCTCTGAAACATTTAAATGTAAACATGGAATATAATTTTTAGACAAATAAACCTTTTTTTATAGGTTCTCTGTACTCGTTCCATGCAGTTTATTTCTAAAAAGAAATCCATAATTTATGTTTCTGTTCCTGGCATTTCAAAAGTAGGATGGGATAAAATCTTATCACCAGCCTTGGAGTGCTGGGGTATGGCCTGAAGACATGTGAGACCACCGCCTCACTGAAGCTAAGCAGGTTTAGGTCTGGTCAGCGCCTGGATGGGTGACGACTTGGCAACCCCCATATACCGTATGTCACCTTGGGCTGCATGATGCCAGAGGGGTAGGATAAAGAGGAAGAAGAAATACAAGAGCACAAGTGTAGATCTGGGTTCGTACTTGGCTCTCTAACTTGACTGCATTTTATGAAAGCGGGGCAGAGGCTATGCTTTTGAAAGAAATGAAAGGCTTCTTTCTTGGTGTCTTGAGAGGAGATTCAATGAGTACAAAACTTGGTGCAACTGATTAGGAGCAAGGTACAGCAGAAATATGACTTCCTCAAACTGTACTATGGATAAGGAGAAGGTACTTGAGCTCCACATCTGAGCACTCCACCAACACCCAGCAAGGTCAAGCCATTAGCATTGTATGCCCTTGACTCTTCCTGGAAACAAGTGAATGCAGGATCACAACCCTTCTGTAAGAGACGCAGCCTTCCAAAGCCTACTTGAAATGTTCTGTATAATGTCTGTCTGGAATACGTCCTTGAAGTCTAAAAATGCCTCGTTTCCCTGATGGAAGACAGCGTGCGTTGTCTGAGAATGTGTGGAACTAGCCTGCTAGGTGACATTTACATTGGTTGCCCTGCCCACTTTTGTCTCTTTCCTCGCCCACCACTGCCATGCAGCTCTCAGGTGTTTCAGGTAGGACTGTTACAACTTTAGCACTCGATTGCAGCCAACAGACTTGCTTGGTTCTGGGGGGTAGGTGTCGTGCCCATGAAGGTTTTCCCAGATTGCAAATCTGCCCATGTCTTATGTGACATCAAGACATATACCTCTGAATCCATTTGTGTGTGTGTGTGTGTGTGTGTGTGTGTGTGTGCAAATGTCTGTAGCCCAGGTCATCCTATTACCTTCAAGAAAATGGCAAAAGCATCTTTAACTTTGGTTTAGTTTTCCTAGTTGGCAGTGAGGGAAGGAGAGAGATTTCCAGCAAATCAAAATAGCTTCAGCCATGACCACACCCTTTGTTGTGAGGGGGAAGAATCACCATCGGATAAGGGCTGTTTGGGAGGGGCATGTTTTAATTGACTAAAAACATTTGCATCAGGATGGATCTGTATTTTTATGCAAACTGACCAGCCTAACATATGGATCTCCAAATTGTGTAATGAAATCTGTGGCTAAAAAAAAAAATGTACTAAGGTATGCGAAAGGAAAATGTAATTTAGGGTAAGAGGCTTAGGAACGTGTACATTGCAATACAAATGTGTATTTAAATGGGGTTTACAATGCTCTAAAACAGGTGTTTCAAACATTTCAAAATACGCGTTTAAATATGAAAGGGATACATTTTCGTATGTGGTATTTGAAAAGAAGAAATTCATGGGTTAATGTGGACACAGAGCAGAATGAACACATGTGATACAGCAAAAGACTGATCTGTCTGCCCCTAAGCTTGCATGGGCTTTTCTTTTAAATCAAAAACGGGAGAATGTGGACTCATAGTTCCAGCCGGACACACCCTATTCCCCCCCCCCCTTCAAGACCTCTTTATTACTCTTGGGAGTCCTCTGTGGTGAGCACATGGGCTGGCTGGACTGACACACCCCGGGATAAAAGAGAGCAGAGTGCAGGCACATTTTTTCCATCTTACAGAGTCAGGTCAGAGTCTGAGAAGTGCTAAAAGGCAAAATGCTGGCATCCAATGTCCATGGGTGTGATGTGTCAGGGCTGTGGTCTTTCTAAGGAGAAGGGGCAGGAACCTATAGGAAGGGAGATGAAGTGGCAGCGAGGGGAAAGGAGACCAAAGAGCAAAGAACTGGAGGACCCTAGCCAGGAACACAGAGTGTCCCAGGAGTGGAAGAAGCTTAACTGGCTACTTTTGCAGTTACAGTACATCCGCTCTGAAACTAGTTATATCTGTTGCAGGCACATATTGAGGGTTACTTTGTGTGCATTAGCTACCTCTCTGGGCATTCTCCAGCAACCTCTTGTACTCGTAAATCACCTCTTGCAATTTCATTCCCACCCGTCCCATCTTTACAATATATCTTTTCAATCAAAATGGGGATTTTAAAACTTGAGTTGGAAATGGAACCAGAAGGTGGCAATCCTCCTGGATGCTTTAGGATAATAGGAAACGGACTTATACAGAGTCAGACCATTGGTCCTACTAGCGCAATATTGTCTACACCAGTGTTTCCCAAACTTGGGTCTCCGGCTGTTTTTGGACTACAAGTCCCATCATCCCTGACCACTGGTCTTGCTAGCTAGGGATGATGGGAGTTGTAGTCCAAAAACAGCCAGTGACCCAAGTTTGGGAAACACTGGTTTACACGGACTTGCAGAAGCTTTTCCTAGATCTTGGTCAAGAAACGTTTTGTAAGCAAGGACTGCCTGAAACCCCGGAGAGCTGCTGCCAGTCTGTGTAGATAATTCAGAGCTAGAGGAACCAGTGGTCTGACTCAGTATAAGGCAGCTTTCTATGGTTTCCAGCCCTACCTGGAGATGCCAGGAACCTGAGACCTTTTGCCTTGAAATCACGTGCCCTGAGCCTGGCTTTCAAAATTACAGAGCTGTGATCTTCTGCCTGTGTTGCTGAACCAAACACCCCAGGGGAAAGTCAAGCTAGGGCATCTCTCTATGGACAAGTCAAGCTAGGGCATTTCTCAGGCCACTGCTGAGATTTGCAAACAGCAGCCAGAGGATTTCCAACTTTGCAACTGGCATTTTCAACTGTGCCTTTGACAGCTGCTGGATGTTCAGCAATTATCAGGTTTTCATGGCATGAGGAGAAATATTGTCACCTGCTAATTACTGCATATCAAGGCACTTTTAAAGCAGGCTTGGTTGCAGGCAGCATCAATAAATTCAATGCAAGACATTATTATTATTATTATTATTATTATTATTATTATTATTATTATTCTCAGCTTTATTTTTATTTCAGGCTGTTGACTGTGTTGGGCATAAATATTGGTATACATTTAAAAAAAGACAGACTAGTAACTGTTTTTGAGGACTAGTAGCTTTGCAAGGCTATCTGAAAGGTAAAACTGCAGGAGTCTGGTTTAGAAATTGGCAACCCTAAGCAGAAGCCAGGTGGCAGTTTTGATGAATCAGGAGAATAGTTTATTGCAGTCTTTGGAAATCTGCTCATATGTTATGACTTTTTTTTCATGAATCTTTTCCTGGTCTGCCTGAGAAAAATGAATCAAATCTGTTATGAAAACATACATGTTTTTGTTGCTCTGCCCCGGTCAAGTCAGAGGTGGAGTGTGTGCCTGTATTTGCATGCTTCAATCAGGCCAGTAGCCAAAAACCACATACCGTATTTTTTGCTCTATAAGACTCACTTTTTCTCTCCTAAAAAGTAAGGGGAAGTGTGTGTGCGTCTTATGGAGTGAATGCAGGCTGCGCAGCTATCCCAGAAGCCAGAACAGAAAGAGGGATTGCTGCTTTCATTGCGCAGCGATCCCTCTTGCTGTTCTGACTTCTGGGATTCAGAATAATTTTTTTTTCTTATTTTCCTCCTCCAAAAACTAGGTGTGTCTTAGTGTCTGGTGCATCTTATAGAGCGAAAAATACGGTGATCTGTTTCCCATGAGCCTTCCTAAAACTACCAGAGATTGACTGCATTTCTCAATTATGACTTGAACCCACCATGTTTTTTCCTTCTTACGATTCTAATTCATGCCACCAGGGATAGCTCAGTCAGAGTCGTGGGTTTGAGCCCCACGTTGGGCAAAATATTCCTGCATTGTAGCGGGTTGGACTCGATGACCCTTGTGGTCCCTTCCAACGCTACCATTCAAGGAATCGATCTCTGCCCCATCTATGATTCTACAGTTCTATGATTTGCATAACAGCTTTCATTTTAAAGAAATTCCTGGGCAGTTTGCAGAACAATGAAAAACATCAATATATAATGCAATTACAATTTTAAAAGCCGCTGTCAATTAAGTAGCATTGCTATCAATTATATAAGCCAGAAATGCCACGGACTGGTTTTTAACAGTGGGGGAAAGCTCAGGCAAAGAGATATGTTTTGATTTGTTGGCTGAAGCAACCCACGGTCAGTGCCCACCTGATCTAGAGACAGACATTCTGCAACTTTTTTCCTCCTTTCCCTTTCTTTTTTTCTTGCCAGAACCCCAAATCAATGAGATCCAACCAGATCAGTCAAACCTATAAAGGGTTTTGTTCTCTGGGCTGGAGGTGCTTCAACTTGCCTTTTTCATGAAGGGATGTATGGATATGTCACCAAAGGAGCATAGGCCTCTCATGCTTCCTTGCAAAGTGTGGGCTCAAGCGCAGCATCTATGAGGTGCAGCCCTATCCTGAACATTTGGCCTAGGCCAGTCTGTAGGGGCCCATTGCCCTTCAGCACCCGGTCCCTGTCCCAACGCAAACACATTTCACAGTTTCTCTGTCAACGCACTGTGAAAGTTTCAAGAGCTCTTGAAGCTTTCTAAGCATGCAATTGACTATTTAAACAAAAACAAAAAAACCCGAACCTGCAACACAGAGCCTTTGTTAATGCCTTGTGAGTGGCACATAAATGCAACTGGCACATAAAGGTGTTAGTGTGGGGGAGACACTTCATGCTTTTAAAGTGGGTTGTCTTTAAAGTGGGGAAAGACCTCTGGGTGGCATCCATTCATTGCTGCTGCTCCCGCCCCGCCTGCTCTGTGCTTCTGTTGCCCTTCTCTCTTTCCCGGCACAACTGGAGCCATGGCAGGGCGGGTGCAAAGAGGGAGGGAGGGAGGGGGAGGGAGAGAGAGAGAGAGAGAGAGAGAGAGATACAGTATCTTCCGCCAGCGGTTGCTCTTGGCTGCCTTCCAGGCCTCAGGCAGCTGCCTCTGCCCCTCCCTGCTGCCAAGAAAGCTTTGGAGTTTCTGCCGAGAGCCTCTCACACGGCTTAGTACTCTAGGGCTACCACCCCCAGCAAAAGCGATTTCCCAGCCCTTGCCTCTGCAGCGGAGATTCAGCCACTCTCCAAATGAATCACAGCCCCCGAGCTGGGAAAGCGAGAGACGTAGCTCATGTTTTCCACTCCTCTCCCTGCCACATGCGAGAGCAAAGCTCTCCCTCCAGTCTGCTGTTCAGAGACGGCGTGGCCCAGTCCTGTTAGGCAGGGCTTGCTCAATGGGGATTTCCACTCCTCCCCTTGGGAGGTTGTTGCATTGCTTTATGGGGTTTCCCTTCGAGGAAACCTCTCCCCAGAACCAGCTGACACATGTTCGGTTTGGCTAAGTCCCTCCACCCGTTTGCCCTGTGTGTTTGCATACACCGGGGCAGCTAGCACCCACCCCACCCCGAAAGCTATTGCATGTTGTGTACACAGAGGGCCTATTCAGAAATCAAAAAGCCCTTAAGGGTGTACAAACAGACTCCCTCCCAGGGGATCTTCTTGTTGAAAGACTCAACTGGCCAGGTCAGCTTGAAGGGTCAAGTGTAATGGGACTGGAACTCTTTGATTTATGTAGCCAGTAGCAGCAGCAGCAGCAGCATCACAAACATGCATTTATTTATTTTTTAAGCATTTTAAAATGGGGCGCAGCCTCATGGCTCCAAGCAGCAGCTTTACAAAGATCTCAGCAACAGCCTAGTCAAACAGAGCTGCGAGGAGCTCTGTGATCATGCAGCGTAGTTCCTTTCCCACTTTCTGCCAGAATTTTTTTCAGATTAGCAGTGGGTTACATGGGCTGCTGAGATCCCAGCCCAGGGAACCCTCAAACTCCACAGCATTCTGAATAGAGATGAGCAATATTGGCTTCCCTCCGTTTCTCAGTTTTCCAACCTTAGGTTCAATTCTTCACATTTCCACATCCGTTTGCAAATGACGATCACTGCGCCCCAACAAATGAGTCAGTGGATGATGAGATCCTCATTCTGATTGAGGGTAACAATAACACTCATTTCCTTCCTGCTTGATGGCTGTGACTATTCAGGGTTTCCCAGACTTGGGTCTCTAGCTGTTTTTTGGGACTACAACTCCCATCATCCCTGACCACTGGTCCTGGTAGCAAAGGATGATGGGAGTTGAGGCCCCAAAACAGCTGGAGACCCACATTTGGGAAGCCTTGGACTATGCTTTCCTGCCACACAAAGTTGCATTCTAGCAGGATGCAGACTTATAGGTCCAGCTAGCTGATTTGCCCACCATTCCCATGCTGACTAAGAGTCATGGGAGTTGTAGTCCAAAGTATCTAGAGCACACCAGGTTGGAGAAGGCTGGTCTTCTGTGAGCAGAAGTGGCTCTTGGGTACCTGAGGCAAATAGACATCTTTCCCATCATCTTTGAACTGGAGATGCCAGGGCTTGAACTTGGGACATTCTGCACTAGCTCAGTTGGTTAGATCATGGTGCTGATAATGCCAAGGTTGCTGGTTCGATCCTTGTATGGGACACCTGCATATTCCTGCATTGTAGCGGGTTGGACTAGATGATCCTCAGGGTCCCTTCCAACTCTACAAATCTATGATTCTATGCATGCAAAGCAGGTATTCTTCTTCTGGGTTACAACCCTCCCTCTTTATTTCTCACACCAGCAATGGTAACGTGCTTTCGCCTGGAACAAAGCAGCAAAAGCAGGTCAGAATCCCTCTGCTCGTGCGCTGAGTTACTGAAGCCCCTGCTCACAATGCCCTTTCCCCAAGACATGAGGAGAAAATGACAGAAGTGACACTCACCTCTTTCCTTCCTCCTGTTAGCAGATGGTTGGCGGTGTGAGCTTAAATGACCCAAGAACCCTTGATGCAATTGTGCTGATTGCGAGATGAATGAGATGCTTTATTGAGGGAGGCACTCGGTACTTGGCATGTCACAAATCTCACCATGTATTGTCCTCTCGCTTTTGATTCATCATTTTAATTTCAAAATGTCCCAGCGCTTGATTTAAGCCACTATTACCTCTATTACTCACCCTGTGAATCGGAGCTAACTTTCAAACTAGTGCATCTTCCAAATTTTGGGTGGGGTGGGATGAAGCCCATTGCCAGAGGAGGAAAGCTACTCCCAAACCCTTCTTCTGGGATGTGGGCCTCTCTTGCCCCTATTCTCCTTCTAGGTTGCACATTACAGACACCTAGAGGCCTTGAGCTAAGTCAACCCCCCAACCAGACCTCCTCTCTCCCTCCCCCTTCTCTTTTCTCTGTGCCCCTCCACAAGCATCCACTCAATGGATGGTCTGCCCCTCCTAGTCTCTGGAAGCCTCCCAACTGTCCCTGTTTCATGGAAAGGATTTGATCACACTCTAGAAATGTAGGTTTGCATTGTTAAAGCGGATTCAAGCACTCCGTCACAACAGACAGGAAAGTGATGATGGAAAAACGCACTGAAAAATGTGGGAAGGAGGAAATGAGTAACGGAGAGGCATATATAAGCACTCTGCAAGCAAATCAGGATGAACGATCCTTGTCATAATGGCCACACAAACAAATCAGAACAAATGTTTGAATAAAGATTAAATGTAACCACTGTGCAAACAAATGAGGATGAAAGGTCATCTCTTCCAGCCAATCTTTTTCTCTTCTATCTCTTTCTGTCACTCCTTTTCTTCCATTTTTCTTCTGCCCACCCCTTTTCCCTCTCCTCTCTCCTGCTTCTTTCTCTCTTTCTGTGTGTATTATGGGAGGGGTGGGTGTCCTGTTGCCTGAGATGGAGGAAGGAGACTGCATGGCTGGTTACTATACAGGTGAGATGTGGGAAGTGGTGACTGAGAAACCACTTTGCAGCACAGGAGCCATGCCAGGTTTGGGAGAACTGTGCCTCCACATCCACCCTCTGCCCACAGATCCTTGAGCATGCTGCACGCCCTCACAATGCAACAAATTCTTCCATACTCCACCATTTGCATTGGTTGTAAAGGCAGCAGGCTAACAGGGGAAACCTTCTGTTTGGGCAACATCTTTGCTTCCCTACTAGGGACTCTGACAAAGGGATTTGAAAACTTGCTTTGCACCACCGTGGCTTTGTCCTCTCCCACCCTTTGTATCATCACAAGCTGGGGGGAAAGGTCTGAACCACCTGGTGAGCTGATTGTCATTCACTTCAGTTGGGATGACCCAGTATAATAAATTTGAGAATCCTGTTCTAAGAGGAATTCAGCACAACCCAAGCAACTTGCACCCTGAAGGCTCCATGTCCAAGAACATTCATAGCTCTGCAAGACTTCCCCTGGCCTTTCCCTACCCCACTCAAAGTTCCTTGCATATTTCATCACACACCGTCAAAAGCCTTTTCACCGCTTTGAACCATCGCATCAACTGCACTCTCACTCTCCCTTGTGCCTGTCCCTGGGTAGTTGATGATCCAACCAGTAAACAATTGAAGAAGGTCCCTCCACCCTCCCATGTCGTCTCCCTTCACCACAGCGCTATTGATGTGGCAGCTGCGGCGGCAGCAACTGCATCCTGTATGAGGGGAAAGAGCACGTGCAGAAAATCCCAGGCTCAGTCCCTTGCATCTCTAGTTAAAAGGCAGAGATGGGGAACCCATAGCCCTACAGATCTTGTTGGACTACAGTCTCCATCAGCCCCAGCCAGCATGGTCAATGGTCAGGAAAGATGGGAGTTGCAGTCCACCTACATCTGGGGAGTTGCAGGTGTTGGAAGTTGTGGGAATGCAACTCAGCTTGCATTAAGAGTGATCAGATTTGCATGGAGAGATGGTAGATAAAGAGAAGTACCTCCAAACTTCCTAGACTGTCTTTCTAACCCAACTTGTACTTACATTTCCTATATTTCTCTACTGCTACTCTTGAAGTTGCTTGATGGTGGGAGTTGTAGTCCACGCACACCTGGAGAGTCACAGGCTCCACATTTCTGAATGAGGCGGTTTTAAGTACATAAAAACATCCCTGTTGGATCAGGCCAGTGGACCATCTATCCCAGCATCCTGTTCTCACAGTGGCCAACCAGATGCTTATAGGAAGATCCTGCAAACAGGACCTGAGTCCAAGAGCACTCTCCTCCAGCCATTTCCAGCAACTGGTATTCAATGTCATTCTGCCTCTGACAATAGAGGTAGAAGATAGGAAAGAGTCCTGAATGAGACCTCAGAGAGCTGCTGCCTGTCAGAGTGGGCAGCACTGGGTCAGATCAACAAAAAGTCCGCCTTGGTATAAGGCAGCTTTGTACCTTTCCCATGAGTGAGGTTTAAGGACATGAGTTTGGTCAACCACCGTAGGAATCTGCATTCCTCTCTGGCAGCCCTTCATCTGATAGAGGATCTAAATGCAAGCGTTCTCCTCTGACCCTTGACTGCAATCTTCTAGCCTGACATCCTGCATAACATGAATGAGTTCATTGTCCCAAGTGATATTGTGACAGGGGGGGCCTCACCTTTTCTGCATTCCAGGCCGGAGCTACAGACGCTGATCTTCTCGCTTGACAGAACAGCAGGAGTCAGGGTGACTTCTTGTTTGCTCAGAGGCATGCAAAGTGTTTGTTTCTTGCAGCAGGGTGAGGCCACAATAAAATATCACAGGCATGTGTGGTGCGTTGTGTGCATATTTCCTCCCACCTCACTGCAGGTGCAGTTGCTCTTTAGCAAGCATTTACTAGATTGAAATCTGGCCCTGACATTTCCAGGGCTTCTCCCCTCCTTCACACCATCCCAACACAAACGAAATGCCCAAAATCTGTCTTTCAGTTAGCACTGTCCTGCTTACGTGTGTGTCATGCCACTTTAAAAAGTGATGGCTTCTCCCAAAGAATTCTGGGAACTGTAGTTTGTTAAAGGTGCTGAGAGTTGTTAGAAGGCAGCAGACAGAGGCAGCCTTCAACTCAGAGAAAACTCATTACACTCTCTCTGATTCATCCTCTATCAGGATTACCTGAGCATGGTAAAGCAGCAATCAGTCAAGACATCAAAACCCTAGAATTCCCAGGCAAAAACAGAAAAGAAGCACTTTGGTGTGGTAAGCTGTTTATTAGGAAACAACCAACTATAAGCAAACAAACACAAATTGGGTGTGGGTGTGTGAATAATTTAAATGTAGGTGTCGAAGAACAGCAGATCTATCCATTAAGCAAATCAGGAAATTTCTTGCCAAGAAGAAACCACTTTGGCATGTGGAACATCGCTATACTTTCTAGATAAGAAGTGGTGCTGGATATCCAACAAATAGCAGCAAACCATGAAATTGCCTGAGACGAGGGGTGCTCATGGAGTCTTATGGGGGCTTAATACTGTAAACGGGTCATTCAGATATTGCAAAAGAGTTGTTGGCAATAAGTGACTTTTTAAAAACTTTTCCAATTTCTCGTTCAAAAGGTAAATCTGGGTTAAATGAGGAGGAAATGCAGACGACAACAATGTTGCATGGATGCTTCCAAAAGCACACATGCATGTGGCACATTGATCCCATTGAAAAACAGCCCTCTGGAAGCACCCAAGGACCCTGTGTGAGGTCAGAGGGACGCTCTTAGCTATGGCTGACTGATTGACAATACAAGGATGCCCCTGTAGTGAGACTTTATGGTGAGGAAGATTCTCTCACAGTCGCCACAAGTCCACCTCTTATTGCAAAGCCTTGCATGGAATGCAGAGGTTTTTGTCTGGAAGGCTTCCTCACAGAGAGAAGAAAAGTGAAGTGGAAAGCTAAAGGCAAAGTGGAAGCAAGGATGAGGCCCTAGAGGGGTAAGAGGCAGCAGGAAAGGGCGAGGCTTGTGCACACCAGGAAATGTTTCATCTTGGACAGCTTTAAGAGGGGGGTTGACAAATGCATGGAGGATTAGGCTACCAGTGGCTGCTAATCCTGGGGGCTGTGTTCTCCTGGGTCAGAAGCAGTATCTTTGAATACCAATTGCTGGGAATCACAAGCAGGAGAGTGCTGCCGTTCTCCTGTCTTGCTCAAAGGCTTCCCATAGGAATCTGGCTGTCCACTGTGAGGCGCAGAATGCTGGATTAGCTGTGCCTTTGGTCAGATTCAGCAGGACCTTCCTTGTGATCACGGAAGGAATGCTTTGAGACAGAATAGAAAGGAGAAGAAACGCCTCCCTGCCCGGACCTGTGTGCAACTCATTTGGTTAATTCTGAGCATTTGTGCTGGCTATTTGTTGATCCTGGTGCGGGATAAGTGGTAAGGAGCTAGTAAAGTTTGACAGGCCCGGTAAAAATGAAGGGAAACAGTACCATTTTGTTCCAAGAAAGACCCAATAATTTTAAAAAGCTGCTGTCTCTCTTGCACACAAGACTGCAATTAGATGGAGAGGAGGGAGAGGGGAAGGTAGAATAAATGAGTAACACATGTGACTCTGCAGAGGCCTGTGGTTAAGACGTCCGTGGAATGCATCATTACATGGAAGCTGTGCTATTATATTGTCTCCACTCCCCCCTTTCTAATCTCCCACTGCATTTCTTCCTGATAACTGGCTGCTGGACCATGCCCCTGGATGAATCCAGTAAACCCTGAGAACTCTGCACTGACGTAGGCTGCAGTTTTATACACACTTACCAAGAAATAAGTCCCATTGGAATCATGGGACTGCTTCCTTCAGAGTAGAAATGCATCAGATTGCACAGCTGGCAGACAACCTTGCTTGGATCTCACCCATGAGTTAGACCAGGAGGTGGGCAGATCAGCATCTACTGTCAGATCACCGAGTGATTTGCAGAAGGAAGCTGCCTTTATAGCAAGCAAGGCTATGGGTCCATCTACTTCAGTTTTGTTTACAGAGTCACTAACAGGTTGTGAAGGGACTTGGTATGGAAGCATCACGAGTGTCCTAATGGTGGCACTTGGACAATATACTCTGAGGTGCTGAGAGATCTTCACAACTAGAGTGGGCAAGCAGGTTCCAATGAAATAGAAGATACTGATAGCCTTTTCTTAGATTGAGCATGTCTGTCTGGAGCTTCTTTTGGGAATCCGGTTGGCCACTGTGCTAACAGAATGGTCGGCTAAATAGACCTCTGGGCTGATTCAGCTGGGCTGTTCCTATGTTCTTAGGACACTAATGCATTGCATGCAGAAATTGCTCCTGATAGGGGGTGGCTTGAGCCCCAGTGGCAGTGATCCCACAAAGGGTACCCAAGGGCCCTGGACATAATAGGAATTAATATGGCAACCCTCTGCCTGTTGACGTGATGTCCTACATCAGTGTTGCCACTTTGAGTGATGCAGGAGAAAAAACCAGTATGACCTACTTCTTTGGGATGAGGTGGAGGGAATATTTAGGGCTAAAGAATTAGCTCAGGTATAAGAGGCACAAGGAGAACCAAAGCAGGTAAAAAGGAATTCTGAGAAGGGCTATCAATGATTTCTCAAGAAAAGCTCAGCAGCTGCTTCTATTTCTCAGCAACGATGAGTGACTAAGAAGACATTAAAGGTTTTTTCCCCAAACAAAAATAGTCGGCCCCACTGAGAAATCCCTCGGTTAATCAGAGCTGGTTGCACAGACAGGAAAGAATGGGAAAATGAACCAACTTAATTGCAAATAAATGGTGGCTTTCTTCAGAAATGTACTGAGGCAAGGTCACTGTATTAGAAAGGATTGGGTGGGTCCCATGTTTCAAAGCATGACTTGTTCTTCTGCAGGAACCACTACAGTAATCTCATTGATCCCTCCCAACAACAAGCCTTCCTAAATGCCATTGCGTGTGGCCTGAAAACCGTCTAGCACACAGCTGATGGGGATGCCAGCCACAACCCTGGCAGCTTAGGGCCAGCTTATGCAAGCAACAGAATCAAGTGGCTATGCTTCTCCTGGACTGTACCAATTCACTGTGCAAAAGGGAGAATTGGACTTGGTGTCCAAAATGCAGTTACTGTATAAACAGGCACTTGGTTATACAATTCGAGAAAAGCTAGCAGTCAAAAATGGAAGTTGTTACTAGGTGAAGGCACGAGACTTGTCAATGAATCAGCTCGTTCATTAGGAAGGAAAACCCTAATCTAACACATCCCTCCCCCCGCATCTCTCAATGTCAGATCATGGCAGTGTTCATGTTTCCTATGACTCACTGCTGCTGCCATTATCAGAGACCATTTTACTGAAATCCTCCAGGAAAGCGGCACAGCATGACTGTGCTCTTGCAAAGTTCCTGCTATATTCAATGATGCTTTGCACAGGAGAAATCCCATGCCCTTGCTGCATGTCACTGCAGTCTCTGACTGACATATATCATTTTACTCACAGCATAGCTACAGAATAGCAAACTCTTATTATTTCCATTTTACAGACAGAGGACTGAGATACCAGAAGATTGTATGGTCTTAGGTTTTTCAAGAAACTGTTTAGCAGGCCCACTATCAGACATATCCAGTCCCTTGTTATACCACAATCTACTGAATCCCACATCACCTCTTGGAACTGGTATTTGGAGGCATTCAGCAGCCCAGCTCAACCTCCCCCTGAAGTCTCAGGTTTGCCATTTGGGTGCTTGGCTGGATTTAGTCCTGGATGTCCAGATTCAGCAGTGGCGAGGAGACTTTTGCAGAGATATGGCCAGACTATTGACCAGAGCATGTGATAGGGAGCATGTGATGACTCGCATGTGATTCCCATAATGATTCTGAGGGTGAGCTATGACCAATAAAGCAATCCATAAGACTTAGGATCGAGTTACTTGAAATGCAATTTTCTTCCATATAAGCCTGATCAGGTTTTAAGATTTTCAGAAGAGGTCTTTCTTTCTGTCCCACCAACATCTGAAATATGTTCAGGAGCAGTTCAAGAGAGGGCCTTCTTGGTTACTGCTCCCAGGTTCTGTGACGTCATGCCAAGGGAGGCCCATATCATTCCTTCTCTGATGACCTTCTGTCAGCAGGCAAAAATGTTTTTATTCATAACAGCCTTTGAACTCATAGGTTTTTATGGCCATTGTAAATATGTTGCAATTGAACTTGTTTTTTTTATCAGTTTTGCTTTAAATGATGTGCTTTACCTACCTTTTATGAATGTTTTTCATTTGTTATCATGCATTTTGAAGTGCATCTTGTTTCTGTGAGCTGTTTGGAGCACCATTTGGTGGGAAAGGCAAGACACAAATCTGAAACAGACAAATAAACAACACATAGCCAAATTGTAGAGCAAACTGCATGAAACATGGGAGGCCCATAACTGGATGTCCTGATGTACTACAAAGATAGGCCACTCCCTTGAATTAATTGGTTGCAGAAGAGAAAACATGCAGGCACAATATGGGTGCCTGTATACTTTCCTCTCCATGGCTGATAGCAAGTAGCGATGTTGGGTGATGATGAGATTGTGTTAGGGCCAGGATAACCCCTGATCCAAACTGCCCCTTCTCTTGTATGCATTTAGAATAAGAAAATTATGTTGGGAGATCCAATCTTGGCATCTCCACATAACATCTAGACACGTGATGTGCTTAAGGATGTTTTGAGGGATGTGGCAAGCAAAATTCCCTTCTTGACTCTGGCATTTACCCTTTTGCTTGGAGCACAAAGCTGAGATATGAAGTTCCAGGAGATCATGGTGGAGCAGGATCTTGTGGTGAGAATAAAATGGGGGGAGAACACCATGTAGCCACCCTGAGCTCCTTAGAAGGAGGGTGGGGTAACATGTAATTTCAAAAGTGTATCTTTTCTTTTTAAAATTCTCATACCTATAAACTTTCTTTGAAGCTGTAAACGCATTCAATCTAATTTTCTACACATCCCTCATTTCTCCACAAACCGGCTTTTAATTTCCTGAAAAACGAGTTGCAGTACTTACAGTGCCTCAAAAGCATTTCAGGGTAATTAAAAAGAGGATTTGCTCGCATTTGCAGAACCAAGGTGTTGATTTTGTCACTGCCATGGGTTTAAGACAAGTGCCTTTCATTTCTTGAAGATACACAGTGATTTTTTAAAAAACAATGTTCTTTTGATTCAGCACCGGGTTTCATATGCTGCTGTCTGTCTGTTTTCTCCCCAGTAGACTTCTCTGCATTGGAGAGACCCTTGCTGTGAGGAGCCAAGATGTTGGTACTACTGGCTGGTATTTTTGTGGTCCACATTGCCACGGTCATCATGCTCTTTGTCTCCACCATTGCCAATGTAAGTAGCAAGCAAGACTTCCCCAATGGCCGTTCCTTGGGCAACATGGACAGGGCCTTTTGATCTCCTCCAGTCTGACACAGAATAAGGGAATAAAAGCATCAAGGACTCTCACGCTGAAGGTGCTGGTCATTCTTTGGAGGCACACCCCAGAGGATAGGCCTGGAATCTATGGGGCAGAAGCAGATTTCAGCTAAACGTTAGGAGAATCTTCCTAACAGCAGATGCTGTTTGACAACAGACCCACAGCAGGTGGGGTAGGCAAGGCCCTTCTTTCACTGTATTGCAGATCATACACGGAACCGGACTAAAAGGTTGCAGGTTTGATCCCCGCTAGGAGCAGCTCCATATTCCTGCATTGCAGGGGGTTGGACTAGAACTAGATGATTCTTAGAGTCTGTTCCAACTCAAAGATTCTATGCTTCTATCTCCTTAGTCCCATCCAAGTCAACAATCTATGATAAGGGCTAATTCGGTGAGGCTAACAATAGGCTTTTGTGCTGATATAGCTCCAGAAGACAAATCACTTCCAGAAAAAATGTCAGAAAATTTCCTTGAATTTTATATGGCTTAAGGTGCCTCTATTTGCATAACTGGCCCTTGAAACCTATTGCAACAAGTCACACCCTGAGAAATGGAGGGACATTATCTATTTGTCAACTGAAACAAACCAGCAATTCAAGGCTGCCTAAAGGCATGAAATGGTGGTGTTTTCACACTCCTGTCCTGAAGTGAGAAACACCTGGGCACACCCCACTCAAAAACCAGTTGAGTGAGTGGAATTAGCACATAATCGCTTTGAGGTGTTTTACCATCCCACCTGCCAGACAGTCTGCTATATAATTATACAGTATTTCCATACTTGTCTGTTTCTGGAATTAGAAAATATTCTCATGAAGTGTTTGGGCAAAGCCAAGTACAAGAGGAAGTTAGAGGGTATTATTCAATGCTGTGATTTGTAATAGAAATCTAGACTGATCCCCACTTGCCCAAACCAGAATGCTATAACCCACTCTCAACAAAATTGCAGGGTCTCTCTGATTTTTCAACTGCATATTGAGAGAGGCAGCATAAAATGAAACAGTTTATGGTTTTTTTAAAAATTTAAAATAATAATAATTAAAAATCAAAACAAATTAATAAAACATAAAACAAGTGGAAATAACAAAAATAAACAAATTTATCTATTAAAATTTAATCCACCTTAGATAGATAGCTATATATGCTGCAATGTGTGTCAACATTTGTGATTTCCATCATATGAATGTGGGTGCAGACAAACCCAGATGCATTTTGTGGGTGTCCAAAAACACTTCAGTTCTCAGGCCCTGGATGTTGATTTGGTTTCACAGTGAGCAGATTTTGGACATTGCCCTATAGCACTTACTCAGTGGCTTTCCTCACATGCAATGCTAGATCAAACTGGCTTACCGTGAAAGTGGGCTGTTGCACAGTAAATGAAGCAAGGCTTAGCTCTTCCCTTGCTCCTGGAGCTGCCAGACTACTAAGAGTTAAGCTATGGTTTGCATTACTTGTGAACCTGAGCTCCTGGTTAGTTAGTTTCACTCCCAAGCAAACCACAAGCTCTAACCAATATTTGTTCTCTGCTTAGAATGATTGTTTCATTATGGTACTGCTCCCTAGTGGACACAAGTAGATATGGGGAACATGGATACCTCTTGGCACAGCATGCTCTCTTCAGGCATTAAGCTTATGGTTATGGAGAACACATAAGTCCCCCTTTCCCCTGGCATTGACCTTTACAGAGGAAGCAAGAGAGGGAACCTTTGCATGTATAGACTTCCATAAGATTCGTAAGCCCAATTGCTCAAGGATCTAGAACATGGGTAGACAAACTAAGGCCCGGGGCCCGGATCCAGTCCAATTGCCTTCTAAATCCGGCCCACAGACGGTCCAGGAATCAGTGTGCTTTCACAGGAGTAGAATGTGTCCTTTTATTTAAAATGCATCTCTGGGTTACTTGTGGGGCATAGGAATTCATTAAATCCCCCCCCAAAAAAATAGTCTGGTCCCCCAAAAGGTCTGAGGGACAATGGACCAGCCTCCTGCTGAAAAAGTTTGCTGACCCCTGATCTAGACTGTGAGGAGCCTACGGACATGAAAGCTCCCTTCTTCCTTCCAAATATTTGAGCTGCATGTGCTGATGTTAAGGGGAGAAGCTGCATCATAAGGCTGTGCTCACATACAGTGCAGGTTCCAGAATAAGGAGTATAGCAGCTGAAGAGAGCTACTCTCATCTTCAACAAACTCTCAAAGTAGAACAGCTAAATCCACATCAAATGTTATCACAGAACAACCCCTTTCAAAAAACAAAACGCGTGCTATTTAACTGATTGGACTGAATGAAGCATTTTAGGTGCTTCAGTTCATTATTTATCAGTCCTGCCTACATCCAAGACATACACAAAGTAATAGATGATTAATAGAATATCAGGAATATATGTTTGGCTTGTTGCACTAAATCCTGTTGATCTGTGTGATGATTATAATAAATAGGTAGGGAATGGTTTATGCCAACGTGTGTGCTCCTGCTAGCTGTATCCAGCAACTGATGCTTTCAGATCAAAGACGGTGTTGTGCCATGAATGAGAATTGTCTGCAAATCCAGTAGAACAGATTGTAAAATATATTTGCAAGTCTATTACCTGCATACATGCAGCTATCCGATACTTTAAAGATGCTAACAGTCAAAGGTTTGGTTGACTCAGATTTCCTTAGACACTCTGAAGTGTGAGCTATAATAAGCAAATGCAACATGAAAGGCCGAGCTTTTCAGGAAAGCAAGCAATTGTGCCTCTTTGCAAAAACCCACAATGACACATGGAGAATGGAGAGTTTCAAGCGCCGCATGGTAGACAGGACTACAAAGCATCTTGTTCAAAGCTGTGCCCTACCTCCTGCCCCAAAGGGAGGTCCTTCAGTCTACCCATCCTCCCCAGATCAACCTAAATTTGCCACAGGCTGGAGTGACATTAAATGCGGATAATTTGTCTCTTTTTTTTCAAATTTGGCATTAAGTGGGCCATTTTCCTTTTCTCAGGGATGGAGGCAGATTTTAGCAGAACTCTTGGGTGGGTGCCATCCAGACCCAGTGATTTGTTCATCTGTCCATGAGGTCTAGACCAGTCTTTCCCAACATGGTGCCCTCCAGATGTTTGGGCCTACAACTTCAATCAGCCCCTCAATCAAAGCATTTTTGGGGCACCAGGTGACATCAATAGGGAAAGGGAGAGGGGTAGCCAAGGCTGCCCTTGGCTTCAAGCTGCTGGGAGCAAGCTGATTTATTGTGTTTCTAGTCAAGAAATTATTACTTGCACAGCTAAAGTTGGAACTGATTAGATATTCCTATACACTCTCTGATGTTCTTTCTAACTTATCAGCATCATTGCTTTACCAGCTAATGTTTAAGGCTGCTTAAGCAGTTGCTCTGGAGAAACTGGTTTAAGTGCCTGGAAAGAAGAGTGTCTGCGTTGGACTTTAATAAAGCAACTGCATCCTCTTCCCTTCAATTGCTGAACTAACACACTCTCACCTTCCTTGCCTTTTCAGCTGCCACATAAGCACTTTGGCTTTTAAGAGGCACACCCCAAAGGCACATTCGTGGTTAAGCAGACGGACTCTTAAGGAATTTGATTTTTGCAAATTCCAATGCAATCAATATCTTCTGAACCGAATGTATGGACAGAAACATAGATATTCATTGGCTTTCACGCTACCCAAGTTGTTCCTCTTGGCTCAATCCTGTTCCCCAATCAAAATATGTTTTAAAATGCATGTTTGAAGGGGAAATACATTTAAATGGGATTTGTTTGTGCAGATTTCCTTTTTTAAAAAACCAAAAAAAGATTAATGTGGAAACTAGACAGAACAGACTTGTGGGGGGGGATGCATAAGAAAGTGAAACAGACCAAGAACAAACTGATTCTCTCATGTCTATCTGAGTGGCAGCATCTTCAACATGTGTGTGGTGGTAGATGCTTAGGATAAACCAGCATGGGCTGGAAGTCAAGGTTTTGCCTGCAACTGCATACCCTCCAACATTTCTCCAATGAAAATAGGGACATCCTATGCCATAAAGATAATTTTACTATTTATACCCCACACATCTTACTGGCTTGCCCCAGCCACTCTGGCCAACTTCCAACATATATAAAAACATAATAAAACATTAAATGTTAAAAAAACCTTCCCTATACAGGATTGCCCTCAGATGGCTCAGGGTTCGGATAACTCCATACCCTCCAACATTTCTCCAATGAAAATAGGGACATCCTAAGGAAAAGCAGGACGTTCTGGGATGAAATCAGAAACCGGGACGGCTTCTCTAAATCAGGGACATCCCTGGAAAATAGGGAAACTTGGAGGGTCCACTGCTGCCACCATCCCTGCTGGGTATGTGAGCAGGCCCTTACAGTCGAAGACCAACCTACGTTTTTGGACCAGTTTTAGTACCAAAACACTTCATCTTCATCAACTTGCTGCACAGATCAAAAGAAGTGAGCCCATAAAATGAATGGACAAACTAAGCCCTATATATGTTGTGATGTCCACCCCGCACCACTGGTCAATAAATAGCAGATGTGCATCATCAAACAGGTTTTCCTTGGGGGTGAAATTCCCAGTAACATTTCTATTGCCATTGCAGACAATTGTGATTACTTCAATCAAGTTACGATACGGTTGATAGTGTATTGTTGGAAAATTAGCTCCAGACAATAGTAATCTCCACTGTGGTCAATCTATGTCACACACTTTAGATACCTATTTGAAAAAGACCCAAAGCAGCTTGTGGACTACGAGGCAACTCATGATCTTAATTAGACAAATGTCAGTAGCAAATAGAATGATAAGCACAGTCTTCACAAACTAAGCAATCAAGGGGTATAAATCCTGCCCTCTAATTTCCTTTGCAATTAAGCAGTCCTTGGGCATGCAGGAAGTATGTGTCATTTTAGGAATTTTGGTGAAGGATTTGAAAAGCTTATCTGAGATCAGAAAAACAGAAATTTATATGAGGCCCTTCCATGTCTCCAGGGTGACTCAGTTGAACACGGTATAGAGAAGACTGATGGCTTAAATGACTTACACCCAGTCCTGAATTAGTAAGCCTGCTAACTACAAAGTAAACCCCACTGGATTTGCTGGGGCTGCTTTCAGAGTTAACTTGGAGTAGCTGGTACCACTGACTTGTCATGAGAATGCAAAGGCCCTTCTGCATTCTGCTCTTGGCTGCTCAAGCTAACCTAGAGCTGCTCCTTTGCTTTAGTTTATGATGACCCCTGCTGGATAGTCCTGTCTGAGAACGGGCTGCCATTTATTTATTTTGAAAAAACAAGCCATTGGGAAACATTGAACAACAACAGGAAAGGCCTCCTGAAGCCAAAGAGATCAGGAAACCGCAGTGAGTTTTCTCAGCACTCTGTTGTTCCAGAGTTTGGCACAATTCCTGTTTCAGCGGAGATTCGAGGGAACAGACGTCTGTGGTCTGTGTACTGCCCAGAGAGAGGCTTGGGAAGATTATAGTCACTCCCAGAAAATGATTACCTTTTCAGAAGCAGCTTCTTGCCCTTTCAGCAAGGCACTGAACTTGGGAAGAATGCCGGGATACCCTTATATACATCATAGGTAACCAGCTACAAGGACTGTTTAAGGGCCTTGTCAGAAGTGTGATCCAATGGGAGCCCACATCCATTGAACCATGCAGCCCATCTAGAGTGATTCCAAGAGTTAGATGCCCATCTCCAGAAATGATCTGAGACATTGGTGCATCACAGCACCACCATTATCACCACCATATAAATATATGGTAAAATAAATAAATGAAGAAATAGGTCCCCAAATGCAGATGCGGAGATAGCTGCTCTAGCACCCGGAGCAGCATACATGGGGCTAGCTGCCTGTGAGGGCAGGGCGAGCATCCTGGGGGGGCGGCAGCGATGTCACCCCCCTCAGGGATGACACCCAGGGCAGGCTGCACCCACCGCAACCCCCTTCCTCCTCCAGTGCCCAAATGCATGTTTGGCTTCCAAGTAGATCTGGGTCTGAAAAAGCTGAAGGCTGCCATTCAAAGATAAACAGAACAAAAGGATCGATTTTCAGCTTGCTAGTTGCAAGAGTTCCCCAACAGCCACCACGGACAAAAGCAAGTCATAAGGAGCACTTAAGCAACAGCCATCTGAAAAAGCTCAAAATCACACACAGATTACGGAATGGCGCGTCTCATGGATTCAGATCATAACCCTCATGCTGCGGCATAATTTCCAGATACTTCTTTATTATTTATGCATTTATTTAAAATATTTATATACTGCTTTTCTATTAAATTATCCCAAGGGGCTTTCAATAAAAAATTCATCACAGAACAATAACAATCCATCACAAATAATAAAAACTTCTGTCCAAGCCGGCATCATACAGATGATTCATTTGGAGGACTGTTCATGAGATGTGCCAAATGATCTTCTCAGAGCTTCTGAGTAATCATTCCTAGAGCGGGGGGTGGGGAGGGTGGGCTAATCTGTGGTCATCTACAGATGTTGCTGTATTTCATTTCCCACCTTTCCTGATCATTGGCTATTTTGGCTGGGACTGATGATGGGAGTTGGAGTCCAACAATATTTCCCAAGCCTTTTTGAATCTCACACCAATCAGCTGAAAGCCACATCTTACTTTTCCTCCTAGCAAAGTATTTGGCTACATCTCCATCATTTCTGACCCACGGAACTCTGCTTTTTATTATTATTTTCCTGTGTGTTTGCTACTATATTCAAAAATTCCATTCTGCTCATATTATTGGCTCTACTTTTGTGATATTTTTTGTGTGCTTAACTTCACATCAGTATTTGAGCAGAATGTACCTAGGGGTTGGCTAGATTGGTGCCTGGCAAGGGCACAAGTGCAAGGCCACCCATCCCCACACTCCCTGGCATGCTTCTCTGGGTGAGGTATGCAGGCTCCTCTGGGCATCTTGGTGGAGGAATTGGGTCATTGGCATGGGTCATTGCAGTAGCCGTGTGGGATCTCCTCCCCAGTTGACCAGTGGTGCTATTAGAATTGTGAGTGGAGTGCCCAGTGGAGCTTGGAGGAAAGAAATATGAAGAGAGCAGGTGAGAGTTACAGGAGGAGGAAAAGGGGAGGGAGGGGACAGAAGGGAAATCAGTGAGTGGTGTGAGGGAGGCAGACAGGCAGATAGATGGACCAATTGAGGAGGAGGAGGAGGAGGAGGAGGGGAGGCGGAGCAGAGCACACCTGACCTCAATGGCTGTGGATGAAGTCGCTAGTGGAGCGTGAAAGGTGAAAAAAGCAAACTTTCCCATTTCTGGTCCATGATCTCTCCTGGCTTCAGAGGTGCAGAAGCAGCTCCTTGCCAAGTATGCAAGGGAGCCTAGGTACACCTCTGAATTTGAGTGAACGATTCCCCTGCCCCTGTCACAAACAGTTTGAATGAGCAAAAGTTCATACATGTATGCACATTTTCCATGTTGTACACTGATGTCAGATTTCTGGCAGTATAACTCAGAAACCTTTTTGTTGCGAAAAACAAAAAAAGAGGCAACCATTTTTGGATATAATAATAATATAAATTACAATACCTTGTGAATACTGACAATTTTAGAAGGGCATTGCTGAACTCGCCGATGTTCTCCTTTCTAGATTTAGCCTGGCAAGCTGCTTTTCTTGAAGGGAAGCAATAAAAAACATTCACATTTCTTCTGTTTTGCTTTTAGGTCTGGATGGCAGGTCAGGCTCAATCGGGCATAACAAACTCCTCAGGCCTGTGGCTTCAGTGTGTAAACGGGGTTTGTGGGGATCTTCGCTTTGAAGAAGACGACCTCAGTAAGGGTCCATTTACTTTCATCTGAGTAATGTGCACTGTTTGAAACAACAGTCATGTATTTTGACAAGGATTGTGACTTCACGTTCACACCTTTTTCTCTCTCTTCCGTGTGTCACTAGATGCACTCAAGGCAGTGCAAGCCTTCATGATCCTCGCCATCATCTTTTCCTTTGTCTCCCTGGTCATGTTTGTGGTGCAGCTCTTCACGATGGAGAAAGGAAAGCGCTTCTACATGACAGGAGCCATTATGCTGGTTTGCTGTAAGTGAGGCACATGCAGAATGTGCTGCTTTGTTTTGCTATGCTCTCACAGGAATTGTGAATTATTTCCCATGGGCTCAGGTTGGTTACAATTAGGGAAGCTTGAGGAATTTGTTCTTTGGAAATTTTGACCTGATCTATGTCCTCTTTTGTCTGGGGGTACAGGGTCCAAAATTAAATTGCTAGCCACCCATGTAACAAAATTTGAACCGGTGAAGTTTCCCCTGTATTTCAAACTAGAAAAAGCTTAACCTATGGAGTTTCTGTCGGCATAAAAACCCTTCTTTTCCCCAGTGCCAACCCTAAACCCAAAACTTGACTACAATCTTGTACTCATCTACTTGGGAATAAGCACAATTAAAACACAAAGAGACTTACTCCTGAGTCGAAAGGAATACCATTGTTCTGTCAGTTAACTATACAGTATATTCTTAACAAGTGCCTTGGTTTTAGCTACTGCATAGCAGGAGACACGTCCAAGCCTCTTTGCAAAGTTTTCACCTTTTGCATTTGCCATGCCACAGGGAACAACTTAATATCCACCCACATTTACTGTGTGCTGGTATTTCCAGGAAAGAACTTCTAGGGAGTACAGTACCTGATCTTAGATTAATCCACAACAGTGCATCCTGTCTTGCTGGGGGGGGAAGGAAGTGAAAACTACAAAGATTCTAAGAACTAGAAAATTATTCAGAAGTAGGAAAAGTGAAATAAAAGGGGAAAGGAAAACCGCAGGTATTCCTATCTCCTGCTGACTAAACAACTGACACATAAATCACAGCACCTACTTCACTACTTAGCTAAAAGTATTGAAGGCAGGAGCAGTCATTCTGGCACATTTCACAGAAATCAGTTAGAAGGGTGCATGCACATTTTGTCTTGTAACTTTCTTTCTAGGAAGGCTAGAGACTTACTTTTTGTATTAAATGAAAACTCAGAACCTGGGCTCCCTTATTGGCTGTGTGCCTGGTACATAAGTGCCTCCTGTACATGCCTCTCCAAGTACCGTATTTTTCGCTCTATAGCACACACCCGACCATAACACGCACATAGTTTTTAGAGGAGGAAAATAAGAAAAAAATATTCTAAACGAAACAGCGGATGTATGATTTTTGTGGTTCATGCTGTGGCCACAGACATGTGATCTGACGGAGAGTTTGGGGTAGCCCAATGCAAAAATCCTGAGGATCCATGTGGATCCATGCTTTGTAACCACGTTTTTGCACCACTGCGGCCCCAGGCAACAGTGGGTGCGTGATTTTTTTGGTGCAAGCTGTAGCCATGGACATGCTATGTGATCTGATGGTGAATTTGGGGTGACCCAGTGCAAAAATCCTGAGGTTCCATGTGGATCCGTGCTTTGCAACCATGTTTTAAGTGGGGAGGGAAGGAAAAGCACTCAACGGACAAGGAACACGCGTGGGGTGTGTGGAGAAGGATGCTGCTAATAATGCAGAAGAGGGGTATAAGAGGAGAAGGCTCCCCTCCTCTCCAGCTTTGCTCCTTTAAAGCAAGCAGGCTCTCTGTCCCTCTCTCCTCCCCACTCAGCGGGTCTTCTCCCGCTTTGCTATTTCAAAGCAAGCCACGGAGGAGGGAAGGAAGGGGAACCATGGATCCTCTGCACACGACTGCAGCAGATCCCCCCACCATCCGTAGGCATTCGCTCCATAACACGCACAGACATTTCCCCTTACTTTCTAGGAGGAAAAAAGTGAGTGTTATGGTGCAAAAAATACGGTAAATTACCGAGATAATCATGGGGCAGGGGGTGCTATTCATGACGATCTTTGGGCTAGAAGCAGAATTCATGTTGAAAAGGAGTCACTTGAGATCATTTGGATGGACTAAAGGTTTATTCTTTCTTTCCCTCCTCAGGGCTGTTCATTCTGATCTCCGTCTCCATCTACACGGCCCGTTTTCCACAATACTTCAAAAGCAGTCTAGACCACCACGGCTACTCCTTCATACTTGCCTGGATCTGCTTCTGCTTCAGTTTCATCGTTGGGATTCTGTATCTTGTGCTCAGAAAGAAATGAGGGGAGCAGGGGAGAAACTGGGAGGGCGGATTGGAAATATGGGGGGCTTGTGGGAGGGATGCGAAGTTGCTTTGCTATGAGAACTGTTTGCCCAAAGACAAGAATCCATACACTGCTCACCTAACGTGCCCAATCACAGAAATAAATCAGGGAGAGAGGGAGAGAGATTGAGCAATAGACTTTCCACTGTCATGGATCCTGACACCAGGAATGTGCTTGAAGAACCAAATAGCCAGCTCTTATCTCTTTTCTCAGTAACTAACATGTGCATCCCATCTTCTGCCCATTTTCTGCCCCACTTCAGAAAATCTGGAAAAGTTATAAGGTGCAGCTTTCTTCCTTAAATTTTAGAAGTTATGATATGCTTCCCAGTGGTTTCCATTCGGGAGAACATTCCCACTCAGTCTGGAAGGTGTAGTGCTTGTCAGGGACGCTGGGGCAGAACCCTGCCTCCCTTTTCTTGACAAGCAAATGACACACAACGTAGGCATGCCTTGACTGACATGAAGCCAAATTCCAGCAGTAAAACCACTGCAAGCCACTTTTTTTTCTTTTAAAGACACTTCCATCACCATCTCATTTCCCCAGGAACAGACTTGCTGCTGCTGAGGAGATCAGAGGGGAAACAACCAGCAAGGAATGAAAAGAGGGGTGAATGTGGGTGGCAAAAGGTGGGACAGGGGAGAGGAAGGCATACAAGGACCTTAATTATGTGGAATAGAGTTATTAGGGCTCTGATGAATGTCATTAGAGTGTGACTTTCCATTAGAGCCCACTGTGTTACCTATTTAACGCAGCTGCACTAGGAAGATCAGATGGAGCCCCCATGTTGCCACCAAATGGTTAGGTCTGTGATGTGTGTATTCAACAAGCAGTAAGTTTGAAAGGTCTGCTTGCAGTCAGATCTTTTGAGGCATTCAACTTAGGCTCATGGGACCAAGCACCAAACTGGATTAATTTTTTTCATCTATAGGCAATAGGCAACTTTCTTTTGGTTGTCACATAGAATAGGGTTGGGGGTTGTTTTTCAGAATAGGGTTTTATAATATCAGACTTGCCTTGGCACTATAATGTATACCTTAGAAAAGCCTTAAACTAACTATCACCCGTTTATTTGTTTGCTGCTTTTCTGCGGTAAACCATGCCCACGGCAGCAGACCTTATATCCCACAAGAAATGTTGCATATGACTTAGAGCAGTGCTCCAGACACAGGATTCTGCGTAGCTGAATGGAATCGGAGAAGGGCCTTCTCTCTGTTGTGTTGGTTTTAATTCCTCACTCCCTGCCCCCATGCCATCATCTCATATAACATCTCCCAGGGCATGAGAAGCAGTTCAGCTAATTAAATGTTGCAAACCGAAGGCCAAGCAGGAAATGGAAAGAATTATTATGTCATCATGACTGTCTGCATCAGGGTTTTCAACCCTTTTGGTCTTGCCATTTAGATCACTTAGGATAATGTGTGGAAACTATGAACGTTAAGAGGCTGTCGCTCTCACTGCCTTGCTCCACCCCAGTCACATGAAACGGGGAGAGACAAATTCAAGGCTGCAAGTTTAATATCAACAGTATTTTTCTTCTTTCTTTTGTTACATTCTCCCTCCCTTCCCATGTACAACTTTTGTAATTTGGTGGCTACATCCTTCTATTGTACTTGCTGTTTCTTGAAGTTTGTTTCGTGTGTGGTCTTTGTAAATATTTTGATACAACCATTCCTAACTGTAGGGATATATTAAAGACAAAAATGACAATAATCCAGTTCCCGTTATCAGAAACAAAGAGTCTTGCTGGAATTGATTTCTTTCTCCCATGTATGAATGTTGTTCTTTTCCCCTGGCTGCATCAAGTTTGATTTCAAATATGGGCTGGCTGATCTGTGGTGGCACGACCACATGGCTGGGTAATTCAGAGGACTGATGTCAGGAGCTAGCAGAATATAAAGGCTAAACCACATGTAGAGTACAGTGGTACCTCTGTTTACAAACTTAATCCGTTCCGGAAGTCCTTTCTTAAATCGAAACCATTCTTAAACCAAGGTGCGCTTTCCCTAATGAGACCTCCTGCCGCTGGTGCCCTTCCACTGGTCAGATTCCATTCTTAGATGGAGGTAAAGTTCTCAAACTGGGACACTACTTCCTGTTTTGTGAAGTTCGTAAACCAAATCGTTCTTAAACAGGACTGTTCTTAAACCGAGGTATCGCTGTATCACTTAAACCGAGGCAACTACACTGTAAACCACAGGTCAATGGTGCTGGTAGTGGGGGAGAAACCACAGATCTTTTGTGCAGCATGGAGAATTTCAGGCCTCTAGTCTTTGTGGCTGTGAGGGGAAGTTTAAAATACATTGTGAGAGTATGCCAAAAGCTACAAAGCAACCAAAGCAAAAGCAAAGCCAACGTACTGTGTTTTTCAAAATTAATCATTTCAAAGCCTACCTCGGGATACTGGTGGACCAAAATCTCCTCAAGATATTTGGGGTCTGTAATGCTACACTTTTAGTCTCCCCACACATGTTTTTTTAAGGGCCCAGATTTCATGAGTCCCAAGCTTAATGGCTTCAAAGTAAGGTTTCACTCTTATTTTGTAACACAATGCTTACAATTATGTTGATGTAGCAGTTAAGATAAGGAGGTGTTAACCATTCCTTGGTTTTCTATTCAAAACTCCAGGAGGTTTGTTGCTGCCTGTAAGGTAAAAAAGGTAAAGGACCCCTGGACGGTTAAGTCCAGTCAAAGGCGACTTTGGGGTGGCGGTGCTCATCTCTTAGGCCGAGAGAGCTGGCGTTTGTCCACAGACAGCTTTCTGGGTCATGTGGCCAGCATAACTAAACTGCTTCTGGCACAACGGAACACTGTGACAGAAGCCAGAGTGCACGGAAACGCTGTTTACTTTCCTGCCGCAGCAGTACCTATTTATCTATTTGCACTGGCGTGCTTTTGAACTTCTAGGTTGGCCAGAGCTGGGACAGAGCAACAGGAGCTCATACCGTCATGGGGATTCGAACTGCCAACATTCTGATCAGCAAAGCCCAAGAGGCTCAGTGGTTTAGACCACAGCGCCACCCGTGTCCCACGCTGCCTGTAAGACCCAAAAGAACCAATGTGCCCTTAAATAATTCAAATGAATTTCATTTTTGGATTATTAAGAGGAGAACAAAAGTCAAATATGAAAAACTGCTGCTTGTGAACCACACCCAAGGTATGGGATTTATTGTTTTGGGCAACAGGGAGAAATCACGTTGGCTATAATTATGAAGGTAACACTTAGTGTTATAAGCAAAAATAGCCTCTAGCATTGTTTTGTAAAGGCTTGTGCAAGAATTAGCTGATGAATTCACACAGTTCTATAATCAGCAGGTTCTCATGTTTCCAAGGCACAGGAGTTTGCACAAATGGAAGAATGGCTTTGAATTTGCTTCCAAGCTTTGTGAAGGGAACTCAGGCAGCATTCCAGGTTAGGTGTGAAACAGCAGGAGACATCTTCTGCTTCCATATGGGCACCTTTCAATACAACCCACCCAATACCACTGCATGGATCTCCCCTGCCCCACCCACATGCAAAAAAAAGGTTAAATTGCAAAATCTCATATTCATAATTATAAGGGGTGGTTAATTCTTGGCCCCAAGTGCTCATAGCTCCAACCCTCAAGCTCTTCCCATTGTCCTCAACCCCATCTCCATCTCTTTGCCAACTACCTTGGCAAAAACACTACCTTCTGCACCCCCTGAGGGCTGCGTGTTGAAGCATGTGGTGAAATTTCTTGGTTTCTTGGAGAATGAAAACAACAACACATTCTGAACTGGTTTAAGTATATACCATTGTATAGATCTCTCCTATGCGATTGGTGCAGACTATCAAATTTGGAAGATCCAGTTCTGCTCTCATCCACAAAGGTACAGTAATAATAGTAATAATAATTTATTTCTACCCCACCCATCTGGCTGGGTGTCTCCAGCCACTCTGGGCGGCTTCCAGCAAAAGATTGAAAATACATTAAAACATCAGTCATTAAAAACTTCCCTAAACAGGGCTGCCTTCAGATGTCTTCTAAATGTCATATAGTTGTTTAGTTCCTTGACATCTGATGGGAAGGCATTCCACAGGGCGGGCGCCACTACCAAGAAGGCCCTCTGCCTGGTTCTCTGTAACTAGACCTCTGTGTCGGGGTTGAACGATGGGGGTGGAGGTGCTCCTTCAGATATATAGGAATGTATTTTAGTGGAGATTTATGATTCGTGGCTTCCTCAGCAGGACAGAAGGAAACAGAGAAGGAGACAGGCATGCCTCATCAAAGATATATACACAATTAGCATTAGAAGGCTGGGACAGGTTTTGGAACAGAATTAGTTAAGAAGACAAGCTCGGGGTGGTAATAGGAAATATTGAAAACATGGGACAAGTCCAGCTAAAGAATAGTGCCTCCAAGTCTGTGTAAAGTCCTCACAGTATGTTTAGTAACAACCAGCCACTCTCAATGGTCAACTAATTGGTGCCTTGGGGTAGTGAGGAGTAGTAGTGAGTGTTTTCTTTAAGGTCATGTGGGCAACATCTGGCTAAAGTTGTCAGTAGTGAGGCTTCTGAATTTCATTGGGAGCCACCTTACTAGTAGTGGTCTCTGGACAGGACTTTGGGGCACAGATTCATCGCCCTGCTCTGGGCCCTAATGAGCAGTGGGGCTCCAAATGCAGCAAGGCTGACTTACCACATGTTGAAGTAAGTGCCATCTAAAGAGGGGTGGACTGAGGTGTAAGGCCATTAAGTCCTAAAATTACCTAAGTGCACCACACTACACCCTACCTTTCCCTCTGATCAGAGCATTGTCTGCTATCCTGCATTCATGATGTTTAAAGAGAGAGAGCTGTTGAGATCAGAAGAAACCTTATGGGAGCTGCCCTCAGAATGAAAGTTTAAATCTGCATACACACCATACATTTAAAGCACAATTAAATCACATGGCATCCCCCAAAGAATCCTGAGGACCGTAAGGATGATCTGTAGCTCTGTGAGTAGTAAAGTATAGTTCCCAGGCAGGTATTCCAGCTTGGGGAAATGCACACAGAGTACTTGTGTTGGAGACACATTTCCTCTTGCCAGGCAATGATTCTAATCTTCTTAAAATAATCATGGGCTACAACCTGTCAGCAAACTCACTAGTCATTTTGTTTGGCTATGTAAAGGACTTCATCCTATAAGAAGCCAAGGAAATAGCCTATGTATTAACAGCTGCACATAGGACAATTTGCTCCTCCTGGAAAACAATACCAAGCCCCTACAATGGACAAGTGGGTTATGAGTATATGGGATTTAGTAAATATGGATAAACTAACTAATATAATCAGGGTAAGCTAGAGTTGACAAGCTAATATCTATCTACTAAAAAATGGAGTATGTTTGTGATGTATTGGTGTAATAATACACAAGAAGATATCCAACCACATATACTGGTAGACATCTCGTAAATACCAGCATCGGAATATATAACAATTATTTATGAACGAGGAATGTATAAAGACTCCCTCTAATTTTTGTTCCTATTTATTTATTAAAGTTCCTTGTTTTTGTTGTTTTAGATACCTATGCATGTGCATATGGGTGTAAATTCTCTTCTGCTTCATTTTAATGTTAGTATCTAATTTTGAAGCTTGCTGCATTAGTTGTATAATCAGCATAATCTTTAAAAAAAAACCATAAGAAAAGAACTCACCTTCCTAAGGGAAATGATCTTCCACTGTACCCCATGTTTATATGTACTAATCACATTCTCAGTCTGTTTGTTGCCTAAGTTCTTGTCAAGCAACATGGTCACCAGCTGCACGCTGCATGTATGTAGTTCAGACTGAATTGGGGATATCAAATGTCTGGACGCTTCCCCCAGGAAAGGCCCCTCCATGCACCTTCAAAACTACTACATCAGATGGGATGCAGTGCTACAGTCTTTTCCCTCACATGCTAGCTTTGTATCTTCAGAGTGGTTTTGTGTTTCTTAATGTGGGAAAGCATTCAGATAGTGGATTCCATAGCTGCAGTCTCAGTTGGTACAATCCATCACATGAAGCTGCTGATAATCTAGACAGGCTCTTACAGTCCAGTTCTAAGCATGTTTATTGCAGTGGGACTGATTTCAAAACAAGCATGCTTCATTTCTAAAATGCTGTGGCACCTTACTTTAAAACACTGGTCTTCAGCTAGTAGGTCTGGACCTGCTAGAGCAGAGCTTTCCAAACTGTGTGTCGTAACATGTTAGTGTGTCGGCTGCAGTGTGTAGGTGTGTCACATGAATGCTCCCCGTGCTCCTTCCAGGGCTGGAAAGGGTTAGTTTAACCTCTGGTTTGCTAGTAAAGCAGAATGACTGTGTTGTGAAATGATGCACATCTAAGAAGTGTGTCACCAACATGCAAAGTTTGGAAAGCTCTGCACCAGAGGATCCAAGCCCTGATCCAAGCTGGGTTGTAGAGGAGCACCATACAAATATATGGTAAAAGACTAAGAAACAGGTCCCCAAGTGCATGTTTGGGTTAAAAGTGAGACCTAGATCTGGAAAGGATATATATACCTGCATTGAATTATTTTTGTATATTATGGTCCAGCCACTACAGGAATTGCATAGTGAAGCAGGGATCCTGAAGATTTAATAATTTCTGACCTACAATTTCCAAATCAGCGTTACTCCTTCATGTGTATCAGGGCAGGATCTGTGCTCTGTTGTTTTCACACAATGCCACTAGAGGTCAGGGGAAGACTAGCAATAGTTTTTTACCAAAGATCAGTAACGTTCTGGTTTGGATTTGGCAGGTAGAAGCCAAGGAGCTCTGCCTTGACTGCCAATTACTGTAGAAACTGGCAACTTGTACTCCCTTCTGCAGTCATGTCCAAGGCTGCACATGCTTTGCTAGTGACCTTGAAGATGAAGGAACCTGTGTGGCTGATGCACTGGAGATTGCTTTGTAGGAGGCAGAATTAGAGGATGTCCTCCAAATTTCCAGCAAAAGCACTCAAAGCATACTAGAAGTCTTCAGAACATCCTCCCGGTTCTTCCATGCAAATGCTGCAGTTCCACATTTTCAGATAGAAGGGAAGCACGTCAGAGTGAACAGAACCACATGGGAAAGAAGGAAGAACATTCAACTGATATTACTCTCTTATATCTAACCAGCAGGAATACAATCGACAAGAGGCTGTGAAGTCAAGAGCTGCTTTAGTTTTAGTGTTGGTCCTCATGCTTTTCATGAGGTAACTGTGATTGATCAACCCAAATAACTCAGAGCTCTTCATACGTACCTAGGAATAATGATTCCTTATATTTTGAACACTTTAAGGCTGGTTTTGTAACCCCACATGAAAAAGACAGTAAAGGTCAAGTGATTACATCAAAAATTTAACAGTATTAGTAGTAGAAGTAGGCCCCAGTTCCAAAATGCAGAGAAAGCCACTTCCGGCCTGCCCAGGAGGTGGGGTTACGGGCTTCACGCCCACCCCACATGAGCGAGGGCTGGTTTCAGCCCCCGCGAGAACAGGGGAATCCCAGCCGGGTCTGCCGCCCCCAGCCAGCCAATCGGCTGGCTGGGGGGGCGTGGCCTGGGCTATTTAGGGCCGGCGTGGAGGGGGCTCACCCTCTTTCCGCCGGATGTACACTATCTTGAGCTCCTTGGAAGCAAGGTGGAATAGACATTTAAAACAAACATACACAAACACACTCTCTTTCCTCCATCTCCTTTATCATCCACAGAGAAAATGCCCCCTTCTTTCTTTCTTTCTTTCTTTCTTTCTTTCTTTCTTTCTTTCTTTCTTTCTTT